AACATGATCTGGATGCAACATTTTATTCTAGCATACTAGATATACTATAAAGTCGTACCTGGTCAGCCGCCAAAGCTGGTCTGATTTACATGAAAAACCAAAGCCAATTTATACTAAATTCACTTTGATAACACGGGTAATTAATAATATGGAACAAAAGGACTTATGTAAAGACTACATAATTAAATCATTTGTCATTGATAGATTATCTCACTATAAGCATATGGCAGGCTTCAGAACAATTGATGTGTGACAGCTAACGCTAGTAAACGTCATTAGTGATCAGCGGATTATCTAACTTGACCATTATACATATGGCAGCATCTGGTTCTTTATTAAATGAACAATAGTGTGGTCAATTAGAGAACAGTGGAGAGTTTATTACACATGCGGTCATAGGATAATTATAATCTTTTACCTATCACTGTCTCTCACACTATGTAACACAGTTTTGGTCCGATTTTCACGAAATCAAGGTGTAACGGTGATATATTCAAAGTTTTTTTTTTTAAATCGGAATAAAATTGTGACTTCCATTGGGTCCACTAGCTACAAAACGTGAATTTTCGTACAATCAGGGGCCATAATTCAGGAAGTTACAGTCCGATATCGAAAGGAACCAAGATCGTTGGGTTATAAACTTACATTTTAAATTTCAACAAAAACAGATAAAAATTGTGACCTTTATAGGGGTCCATAAGCTAAAAGCGCGATTTTTCGTACAATCAGGGGCCATAATCCATGAATTTACGGTCCGATACATGCCAATATCGAAATAAACCGAGATCTCAGGGAGATAAACCTATATTTCAAGTTTCGTTGAAATCGGATAAAAATTGTGTCTACAAACAATTGTGGACGGACGGACAGGGGCGACGACAATATACGTCCACATGAAAATGTGGGCATATAAAAATAGGGTCCACAACCGTCGTATTACATATTTGTAATTTGCGTACAAGGAGCGACCATTTTGTCAGGCAGTTTCAGTTTGATTTTCACGAAATTCGAACTCAACCATTATTAGGGTGTAACATTAGAATCATTGACTCCCTAGATTTTTTTAAAATCTCAGCTAAAGAGGTTCCTGTTTACAGAAGCGTGTCCGTAGTTCAGTAGAAAAAAGTTGAAAAGTGCAATAGAAACCTTAGTTTTAGTATTATCGCGCTATATAAATAGAGGATTATTATTAATATAATTAATCCATTATTTATCGCAAATTTCAAGTTCAAGCCCGTGTGTTTACCGTTTCAAACGCTCGATCGCTGCCATTTGGTCTTGTTCTGGAGCGTGAGAAAATATCTATTCATTCACTGATTGTAGTAATTCCTTATTTGGCAGTTTCTTGCATATAAAGCAGGCTATTTGACCCCATTTCATTGGTTTATCTGGTCACATGATAATTTTATCCAATGAAATTATTTGATTTGTAGGTTGCGCATGCGCATTCAATAAAAATTCGCAAGATCCTATTGCTTCCGTCACAATAAAAATACATCGTCTGTTAGTGTTTTCTCAGTCTGTGACATCACTTTAGTGGAAGCAGACGTGATTTCTTAGTCATAACTTGAGTAAGGTGATGGCCCGTACTAAGTTCAGAACGATAAAACAGCTTGTTGGGAAACGTAGAAAATCTAAAAAAGTAAAAACCGCAGCACACGGTACCGTAACAACAATTATTCTGCATATACCGGTGACGATACGAGTAACCTAGTTGCTAGTTAGAACGAGTGAAATAATCCGACGTTCTGTTATGGCGATGAAGGGGATCGGTGGTGGTAAGGCAGATCTTGATAAATTTGCCAAGGTTAAATCGATTTTCCTGCAAGCCTTGAAAAAGAAACTTTTTCGAAACATCTTGGAAAAATCCGGACGCACGGAGGAAGCGAAGGACCACCTTTTAATTTATGTTATGTCGCCAAGATCGTTCGTAATGCATATATGTAGAAGCCGACCCGTCACTTGTGAACAAAGATGTTAATTAATATAGCTGTTGCGAGCGATGGTACATGGCATAAACGGGGATTTACATCCCATTATAATGTGACCTCAATCACAGATCTCCTAACTGGATTAATATTGGATTACAAAGTAATGTGTAATTACTGTCCTGGATGTGCCAAAAATAAAATTGACAGAAATTCAGCCGAATATGAACATTGGTATGCACAACATAAAACTAGCTGCCTGATTAACCATCCAGGGTCATCCAAGTCCATGGATGGAATCATCAGCAGCAGTAATCTTATTTCAAAGATCAGTCGCCAAATTTAACTTCCGTTACACCACGTTGTTGAATGACGTAGATAGCTCAGTGTTTAATGCGATTGGTTCTCTAAATCTATCAGATCAGAATTTTGAAATCGGTCAACTGATGGTCACCATTTTGTACTGAATATGAGAAAAAGTGAAAAATCCACGATAATGGACATCGAAATGAAAACAATAGGCCGTAGTTTTGGGAATACGTGTTTACAAAACAAAATGAATACATTTCTGGATAGACGGGATCAGGGTCGAATTTATGGTATTTGAAAATGTCACAATTTCAAATTTTGCCTTTGACGTTTTTCGTGCCGACAAAGTTGTTTACGAGTGAAAAATCGCATTATCTTCGCGAGTTTTTGACAGATTTTAAGGATTTTTATTTTATCTTGTTCAGATTCTTTATATGACCCATGACATGTGACAGAAACTGACTGTGAATATGAAAGATTTTTAGGCATTCGTTCAAGGATTCAGAAAATGTAATTCATGTGGCACTTCCGGTTCAATCGGCAGACTTCATATTTTGTGTACTCAACAGTACTTTCTTAGCTAGTACAGAAAAATAATTTCAAGCAAATCTGACCTATATTTCGTCGATTTTTTTTAAAACTTTGATCCTTAATTTCATCAAGGAGAAATAATTAAGAAGGTTTCTAATGGAATCGCTCACGTCGCATCGGTTAGATCTACTTACATACTAATTTTCATGAAAATCGCGCAACTTCCGGTTCGAAATCGAACGAATTTTCGAAAATCCGAAAATGCTGATCTGAAGTAAATGTTTTAAGGTACTCAAAGAAAAAAGAATTAGTAAAATATATCAAAAAGTCACAGCTATGTGGGTCAATTTTTTCATCGGTCAATTTCGGTGATTTCGGATTCGTAAAACTTTTTTAAACATAAGGATTCCAAAGCCACAGCCCATTCATGGAAGGGGGCTAACCAGGAATGTATTAATTTTGGAAATTGGAGACGAATTCACGAAACGGCGGCCGATTTCGATTATTTTCAAGTCGTTAATGGGAATTTTTCACTCGTAAACAACTTTGTCGGCACGAACAAATTAAAGAGCGAAATTCGAAATTTTGAAATATTCAAATACCAAATATTCGACCATGAGCCAGGCTTTCCTGAAATGTAATAATTTCAGAAATAGGAGACGAATTCATCAAACTACGGCCTATTGTGTTTATTTACTAGCCCGTTAATGTAGATTTTTATGTATATCTATAATGTTACAAACTATCGTAAAAGTTTGCTCTAACAAATCTGTTTTTGTATTATATTATATTGTTTATTATAAACTATTTATGTAATCTATTTGCAATGTCACCAAGTCATATTTGTAACTTTTGGTCTTGGATCTATACTACAGAATATTCTATTCTATACGAAATGAAATGAAATGGGGTTTAACGTACTACTTTTCTACTCCTATACTGGGCTAATGAAGACGGGCATACCCCATACAGTGTGCTATGAGGGAAATTTTGCCCGGGCGGCGGCACTATCCCCTACTCTTATATCGAATTCCAACTGCCCACGGGTCTTTTACGTGCTTTCCAATGTATACACGGTACTAGGCAGCTGTCCTTGTTAGGCCCTCCGTTCTGCACCACTGACAAGGGGAAACCACGTCGGAAAATCCCGATGAACTTTCTCGGCCAATGCAGGGATCGAACATCCGACCTCCTGGGCGACCTTCGGTTGCACGGATTTTCGTACTATAGTCGAACCATCTGCATGCGAATGACATTTAGTTCAACCAGTGGTCGTGACCAGCCGTACCATGCGATAAAGCACGGTCGGGATAGTTCAAAGATGGCTGACAAAACTGACACTTGAGCAGATTCTCTGAAAAATATAATAAAATTGCCGATTCTCGTTGCGTTATTTACACCTTGGTCGGTATTGTAGGGGGCATGTTGACACCCGAAAGTTATTGAATGGGCATTGTGGTATAGATGTTGAATTTGATTTTTTTTTCGTCTATTTTTGATGAATTTGACAGATTAGGATCTTCGTATTCGAATATATATATGCACACGACAAAAAACTACGTGTGAAATGATCTTGGTTGGGTGACATAAATCCAATGAAAAATATTCTGATATTGACTAATCCTATTTGTAACCTAGTTTAAGCTTGCTTTCACATCGCAGTATGGAAAATTAACTAGTTTTTAAAAATACATGAGTAAATAGGAGAAAATATAGCAGACGGAACAACTGACATGGTCGCCACCATATTGAATAGTCAATGGCTAGGGCCATTTGCGTTTGGGTGCTGGTTCAGGCTGTAGTCGCGACCATAGTCTACATCCGAAGGTCGCCCTGGCTAGCGAGCCGGCGTCTTAACCACCTAGCCACTCTATATTCTATACGATTGCTTAACAATTATTGAAGTTTGATCCTGACTGTTTAACGTCGGCGCACACAGTAGTGATATCGCAGTTCGGTCGATATAAGAGAAGGCGATAGTGCCGCTGCCCGGGCAAAATTTCCCTCATAGCAGTAAATGGTCAAAACCAAATTTCGAAAATTTTTGCCCTCTCTGTATGGCGTATGCCCGTCTTCATTAGCCCAGTATAGGAGCAGAACAGTAGGACGTTAAACCCCATTTCATTTCATTTCATTTATTCACTGTACTGCGTGTAATAATAACTATAGACATCGCCTTACTGTTTCAAAATGGACTCGTCCATGCTGGCTAGTTGGTTAGTGTAATAGGTTGTTACTATTATTAGTATATAGACGCCATTGGTTGTTACTAATACAGCTGTTTTGGGAAGTTAACGGTGTAGTGAATAGTCGACGGATACAGTATTGAATCTGAAGTAGTACATTGTAGTATACACATTTAAAGATATTCTAGTCAAATGGCAGCCTCTTATAAGGTAATATTTCATTTAAAACAGTTCTCAAATGCAGCAATCAATTAAATGTCGATTTCACCACCCTACTCGGTGTTGAAATATACAGGGGGCGTGGTCATGGCTGGTTCACAGCGAAACAGCAACACATTAATATGCAGGTAAATACAGGTTAGACCCCATCGGGTTTGTTTGAACGTGCTATGGCTTCATTTTATTAACATTGAAAGGTACAGAAACTGGTAAATAGTTTAATTTCGTTGACAAGTACTTGTAGGTCACGTATCCGTAGTCATATATATATATTTGAGGAGATAACTCTATTAGATCTATTTTTGATGAACTTATAATCAACAAATCCCATACTGTTCACCAGGCGGTAGTTAACCTACAGAACACATAGCGATTATCTATAAGTAAAGTAAATAAGTAAATTTTATTGCATAAAAACGCCCACGAGGAGCAGCATACAATTACAAAAATTACATAAATACAATACAACAAATATACATGTAACAAATAAAACGATCATTAATACAATGCAACAAATATACATGTAGTAAATAACGAACGTATTACATGTATATAAAGCTAGAAATCTATTAAATATCTATAGACTGGAGAACCATGTCATATCTCTGGAGAATTATTCTGCTGGCAAGATGGGCTAGTGTTGGCGGTCATAGACGTACACACATGTACAGTTAGAGGGTCGCGGATAACCGCCTTGTACCACCTTATGCTACTAATTCGGATAGGCCCAAAACAACCCGAGTGCTACCAATATGCAGTCATAGTATGTACATGTATATGGAATTTTTAAATTCCGATGTTTTTGGAGATCAGGCGTTGACATTATCAAATCATTGATATAATAGTTTACAACATAAGGAATTAAAATAATGCATGGTAAACAATAGATTAAAGGCTCAATCAATACCACTCTTGTTGTAACTGAATAATATGTCCCAATCTTTATTCTGGTCAACAAATTGTACTATTTTACAATATTCCAATTAATTGGTGATACAAATTTCATCTTAACACACCTAATTTAAAAAATTGGAAAAATTCAACTAAATGATTTGAAAAGCCTAACGTAAACCTTTTCAAATATGACTTGGATTTAATGGATAATTTACACAACAGGTAGGACACTTAAACATCTAGTACTTAGAATAAGGCTATTATTTATTTTCTGGAGCTGTCAAGCCAGCAAGAGTGTTATTGTCCTTTTAAATCACACGCTTGTCATTGTTGCAGGACGGAGGGCCTGGCAAGGTACAATGTATAGCCGTTCAGATGAGACGAAGAACCGAGGTTCCGTGTACACATTGGCGTGTACGTAAGGACCCATGACAGTTAGAATTCAATATAAGAGAAGGCCGTAGTGCCGCTGTCCGAGCAAAAATTTCCTCATACCACACTGTGTGACTTATGCCTGTCTTCCTTAGCCGCCCACCCCCACCCGTCTTCATTAGCCCAGTCAGAGCAGAACAGTAGGACGTTAAACCCTATTTCATTTCATTTCACTTCCTTAGCCCACTAGGTACAGAAATGTAGGACGTTAAACTCCATTTCATTTCATTTCATTACATTCTTGCATAGTCGTTAATGCACTCCAGATAAATTTGTGGACATTGCCCCGACTCTTGAAATCAATACAGTATTCATTTTAGATTTTTTTTTTCATTTTGTTATGATTAAAATTATATTCAAAATACATGTACTTCAGATATAAATTACAACAGATAAATAGCCCACTATCGTACACGGTAATAGATTATGAGAGAACTTGGATGGACCTTCGTGTAAATGCACTATATTTATGATAAATGGATGTAATATATAAATTAGAATCCCAACTGCCGTTCGGTTAACGGGAGCCACGGTGGCTAAGTAGGTTTATAAGACGCGGGCTCGCTAGCCTGGAGGTCACGTGTTCGATCCCTGCATTGGCCGAGAAAGTTCATCAGGATTTTCCGACGTGGTTTCCCCTGTTGGTGGTGCAGGTTGGAGGGCCCGACAAGGACAGCTGTCTAGTAGTACGGATGTGACAAAAACTGAGATCTCGTAGATCCCCTGGCAGTTGGAATTCGATGCAAAATGTCCCTCATGTGCCCGTCCAGTAAGACGTTAAACACCATTACATTTCATTTCATTTTGTTCGATTAATTGATTTTAGGGTATGGACAATTATTAATTTATTTTATTTGTCTGTTGACTTATTAATTTCTTCAAAACATATTTATATCTCAATAGTATCGATTATCTCTTCGTAGGCTGGACGTTGTTACCTTTTGCCATATTCGGTCTTACTAATCACCGACATAAGCGAGTGAAATGAAATGAAATGAAATGGGGTTTAACGTCCTATTGTTCGACTCCTGGGCTAATACTGGGCTAATGAAGACGGGCATACGCCATACAGTGTGCTATGAGGGAAATTTTGCCCGGACAGCGGCACTATCGCCTACTCTTATATCGAATTCCAACTGCCAGGGGATCTTTTACGTGCATTCCAATATATACACGGGACCTCGGTTTTTCGTCTCATCCGAAAGGACTAGACAGCTGTCCTTGTCAGGCCCTCCGTTCTGCACCACTGACAAGGGGAAAACCGACACAAGCATTTTTCATATAAAATTGAAAACATGTGGATGATTAAAATTTCATTTATCCATATTTTTAAAAAAGTTCTTAAATCGGTCACTAGCAAGGAGACGACCGTTTGTCAAGCGAGTAGGGTGTTGACTGGTTTGTTGGTGTAAACGGGGCAGTCCTCTCCCACACTCACCTATGTTATTGCCGAATCCCGAATAATGTGCTGACAAGTTATTCCGGATTCGCGAATAACGAATATTGAGCCAGCAAGTTTTTCGGGATTCGGGAGTAAAACATACCGATCTACCTTCCATCCGACCATTTCATCGTTTTATCCGACATAAGTGAACGTTGGGTGACCAACTAGCAAGGAGGCGACCGTTTGTCAAGCGAGTAGGGTGTTGACTGGTTTGTTGGCGTGCACGGGGCAGTCCTCTTCCGCTCTCACCTATGTTATTGCCGAATCCCGAATAATGTGCTGGCACGCTATTCCGGATTCGCGAATAACGAATATTGAGCCAGCACCTTATCCGGGATTCGGGATTCGTCAATAAAACAGACCGGCCTACCTTGCATCCGACCATTCCTCGCTACCCCCGGCCGTAGTGGTAAGTGAACGTTGGGTGACCGACGAACAAGGAGGCGACCGTTTGTCAAGCAAATAGGGTGTTGACTGGTTTGTTGGCGTGCACGGGGCGGTACCTTAATAACCCAATATGTAGCAAATAAAAAAAAATAATTATACATAGTTGGCGGATAAAAATTATTTGGTTTTTTGGGGGGTTTTTTGCATGCAGTCTATCAGAACGATACACGTCATTGATTCTGCACAGCACAATGTATGATAAAACAAATTCACATTTCGAAATTAATACATAAGACGTCACTGCTACCCCCAGATTGTTATTTATTGTATTAAAAAGGATTCCCCGGTTGTACGTGACAAGGAGTAGGGTCGCCTGTCCAACCTCGTGGGTTTTCTCCGGGTCCTCCGGTTTCCTCCCACCGCTAAAGACCCCTGCGCGCAAGCGAATGATTGAAATAAAATTGAACCATGTGTTAGTCCCGAAATGACCTAGTTTGTGTCGAGTGGACGTTAAACCCCATTTCTCTCTCTCTCTCTCTCTCTGTATTAACATGTAGCTTCGAGAAAGCACTCAGTTCCAATATCCACTAATTACATAATTAAATAATAATAAAGCTGATTCTTAATTACAGCCCACAGTTTTCCCCGCAACCCCCTTTAACGCCGAGGATGCAGCTGGAAAATTACGGAAAGCCATGAAAGGACTTGGTATGTTATAACTTTGTTAATTGGTCTTGTATTTTTATACGGATATCTATAAAATGCATATCTCCACATGTCTAAGAGCGGCACTGCTGGCTGTTAAATGAATAAAAACCGCTTGGTGGGTTGTATGCGATTTTTAAATGCCCATTAATTGCTATCCCGGCTATTACCAAGGCAACGTCGAGTTCAAATAGCAACAAAGTTGCTCTGGTATGACCTGGCAAGGTACAACGTATAGCTGTTCAGATGGGACGAAAAACCGAGGTCCCGTGTACACATTGGCCTGCCCGTAAAAGATCCCTTTGCAGTTGGAATTCGATATAAGAGTAGGCCGTAGTGCCGCTGTCCGGGCAAAATTTCCCTCATAGCACACTGTATGGCGTATGCCCGTCTTTAATTAGCCCAGGTTAGGTGCAGAAGCGTAGGACGTTAAACCCCATTTCATTTCATTTCATTTATTAGCTGAAACAATTATTGACAAGTGGTATATTATCGTGTTTTAGGGACAGATGAAGCTGCTATTATTGATGTATTCAGGAGTCATTCTAACGAACAAAGGGTGCAGATAGAGAGACAGTTCAAAACAAATTATGGAAAGGTAAGTATTATTTTTTTTTTCATGTTAGTGTATCTACATGTGTTTTGAACCATGCCACGTGTTCATATTGACATTCCACGTAAAAAGAGCTGTAGGTAGTCAGATTTAAGTACTTTTTTCATGTTAGTGTATCAGCATGTGTTTTCAGCCATGCCTGATGTTCGTATTGACACTCCACGTAAAAAAGAGCTGTAGGTAGTCAAATTTTAGTCGCTGTTCCTAGCCTTTCTGTTTTACACTAAGCAACCGAAAACGGAAAGATCTGGGTTAGTCCCGCAATGAAAATAACCGGAGCAATGTGCTGTTTAGGAGATGTCATACCCTTTTTCATTTATTCCATATAAATGCAATTTCGAGTTACCCTTTTCTTTTTCTTTTAGGATTTACGTGCCGATTTAAAATCAGAATTAGGTGGAAGATTTGAAGATGTTGTTCTTGCTCTATTGGATACACCAAGAATCTATGATGCCAAACAAATTAAACAGGCCATAAAGGTATAAACTGGTAATTCGTTTGAAAACTATGTTAAAAGGATACAGAGGGGAGATTTATTTGGAATTGTATGTCACTTTTAATTTGTAATATTCATCACAGTGTTTTGAACGTTTCGCAGGGGGCTGGTACAGATGAAGCCACGCTTATAGAAATTTTATGTACCAGATCCAATGCTGAAATAAATGAAATAAAAAAACATTATAAAACATGTAAGTTTTAATAATTACTCCACTAGTATTTTCTCAACCTCTCCCATTAAAGTTGTTGATTTCTTTCTAGAATTTGGTTCAGTAGAAAGAACAAGATTAAACTAAAGACTGTTCGTTACTCCGGCAACTACTGTAGTATAGAAATTCTATTATTTCAAGGATAAACTCTGTCAGTGAGCAGGGTTGCCTGTCCAACCTCGTGGGTTTTCTCCGGGTCCCCTGGTTTCCTCCCACAGCTAAAGACCCCTACGCGCAAGCGAATTAGGGAAATAAAATTGAACCATATGTTAGTCTTTAAATGACCTAGTTTGTGTCGAGTGGTCGTTAAACCCCATTTCTCTCTCTCTCTCTCTCTGTCAGTGAGCCATGTACGTGACGAGGTGGTTAAGATCGCCTGTCGAACCTCGTGGGTTGTCAACGTGTCGCCTGGTACCCTCACACACACATCCTCACTTCTAATGACACATACCCGCAACGTATTATTGAATGAAAAATGTAAAAGATGATCTAGTTTTTGTTAAGTGGATGGCAACGTTCACCCCCCCCCCCCCCACCCCCCCGCGTCTCTCTCCCACACAGATATTTCAAACGTATCTTCAATATTATTATTATTCATATTCTACTCTTATGTTTCAGTATTCAAATCTGATTTGGAAAAAGACATTGCATCTGATACTAGTGGCCATTTTAAACGTTTATTAGTTGCCCAATCAGCAGCTAACCGTAGTGATGCACCACCTGATACAGCTCTAGCACAACAAGATGCGCAAGATTTATATAAAGTATGTGAGAATATTTGAATATATAAAACGTCATATATCAACACATTAAACCCCGTCAATCTGTTTTAAAATCCTGGGCCCTGTTTCACGAAATTTTAACTAAAGATAAAATCCAAATTTTAGTAGATACTTTAATTTTGATTGGCTAAGCACTAAAATCAATCTAATATTATCCAATCAAATTACTAAAATTTGGATTTTATCTTAGTTAAAACTTCGTGAAACAGGCCCCAGATCCCGGGTTCAAGCCCAGTTTTAACTGAGCAGGTTCCTTTTTTCCCCTTGTCAGTGATGCATGATGGAGGAAGTTGAACAAAAACTTGTAGTCCTGTAAACACGTCTGTGCGCACGTAACATAACCCTTGATAGTAAGAATTCGATAAAGAATAGGGGGAGACGCCGATGTCATCCCACTGCATCCCACTGTAGTCCTGTAAACATGTCATCCCACTGCATGACGCTTGCCCGGTGAAGAAATGCAGGACGTTAAACCCCATTTGAATTGATTTCATTTCAAAAGCTAATGCATTATAAGGATTCTAGTAATTTAAAGATCGATAGAGATATGTACTGTAGAATACACCACATTCTATTTTGAGTGACAGGGGAGCGCCACTTCGACAGCTAACACATGCATTATTACTGTAATATTCACACAAAGCATGAAACGTAACATCAGTAGTTTATATGTTTTATACCCTACTTTAAAATTATATTGTACTAATTACAAGATACGGGTGGTATCAGGTGTTCGAGAAAGGGCAAGATGTCGTTGCCTTGTTCACGAAAGCCTTGGCTGCTAACAATAGGTTAGACCCGAATGTCAAGAACTGAATAATTCTAGTGTTTTAAATTGTGTATTTAATAGGCTGGTGAGAAGAAAGCTGGCACTGATGAAGCAGAATTTAACAGAATTCTTTGTGCAAGGAGTTTTGCACATTTAAGGGAAGTATTCAACTTTTACCAGGCCCTTGCTGGGAAACCTTTAGAAAAATCCATTAAGGGTGAAACAAGTGGATACCTTGAAGATGGCTATTTGGCTATAGGTATTTAAATAGTTTAAATATAAATTAACCAAATACTTATGTAACCCTTTGTAATTGTTATCAAATGTATCATATTTTTTAAAGAAAGTGCATAACGTTCGTACGATTGTGGTCATTGCTATTGTTAAGCTAGGTCAGAGTTGATTGTGTCCGAGTGATACCAATACCCAGTGACAACACGACTAAATACAAAATATGACTAAATACAAAATATGAAGATTTCTTGTAAAGTTACATTTGAAATTGAAACACTTAACGTGTTATATTGCAGTAAAAGTTGCAACAAACACTCCAGCATTTTTCGCAGAGAGAATATACCACAGTATGAAGGGTGCCGGAACAAAAGATGAGGCACTAATTAGACTTGTCGTGTCTCGATCTGAAGTAAGTTGGTTTAAACATAGTTTATTGTACCAGAACATAAATACAGTACAAACGGATTGGGACAAAAGTTACGAAAACTTACTGATGCCCTCTCCACATACATTGTAATTGACAGTTGTAATAGTACAGTTGTTAAGAATCCCAAACAAATGAAAGATATAAATGTTTTAATAAATAGTTAAACATCCCATTATTGTAAAATTATTAAATATTCGATTGGTGAAAGTAATCTTTTTTACATGTCCAAAGAATCTCACTGGCAGATTTAATGTCTTGTTTTGAAATTCAATGTGAGGAATACTTACGAATAAAAAATCGAAATCAAAAGTTGCAAGGGGAAAATTTCACAATGTAATAGTATTAAGTATACAAAACGTTTTTACAGTTGTGCAATTACGACCATAGTTTTATTGAGGTTGAATTCAATTGGCCAATTTTTTGACCACTCAGAGAGTTTTTTAAGTATAAATTTAGTGAAGTTTTGTTGCACCCAATTACCGTGTCATCGGCAAAGAGTTTAGCAATATTACCCAAACCATCCTGCATGTCTTTTATGTAAACAAAAAAGAGAAATGGGCCTAGTACAGATCCCTGGGGTACCCCAGAGGCACCATAGGCCACAGTTCCATAACCTGAAAAGGAACTGTTAATGAAGACGCTTTGTTTACTACTGGTGAGATAATTTTCCACCCAGCCTATCATTCTATCACGTATACTATAGCTAGATAGTTTGTGGTGTGGAATAATCCCGACGGTTACTTGTTTTGTCTGGGCCGTTGTCCTTTTTTTATTTTAGTTTTAGGAGAAGATCAATAATCTCTTGATCGGTAATTTCCGGCATATGAAAACAAAGAGTTTGTTCGTTTGGGAAAATACGGAAATTCCTTTTTGTCATCATTATTGGAAACGGAACCAAACAATGTATTTAAAAGCTCGGCCTTATCGAAATCTGAATGTGCAATAATGCCTGTATTGCTTGATATTAATGGTGGCATGTCAGAATCTACCTTTTCATCTATATAATGTTTAATATGTTTCCAAAAATCTTGAGGACTCCCTTCTGGATTTGATAATTCAGATACCAACCTGTCATTGTACCCTGTTTTTAAAACTTTTTTTTAAAATTGTTAACTTTATTACGCTGATTCTTGTATTTCATTATAAAAAAAACTAGGTCGTTGTGTTTGAATTTCCCGCTTCCTTAAACGATTACGAATCCGAATCTCCTTACGTAAACTTGAATTAAACCAGGGTTTATCCGAAGGTCGAATAATTACTTTCTTCCTGGGAATACATTCGTTTGTACATTTCGTAAGGACTGAATAGAAGATATCAACTGAGTTAAGTCAAGGGGAGTGAGTACTTTGTCCTAATTAAAATCAGAAATACGATTATTTAACTTTTCGTAGTAGCTAGCATGTATAGAACAACTTCTCGTTCAAAACATGCGTTAGAATATGTACATAAATCTAGAACCGCGGCAACACCTTAATAGTCTGATATTCTCTTAACTATATACTTCCAGTTAAACATATTAATCTCGTCTTAAATAAGAATTGCGTCTAGCAAGGATGGTTTTGAAGCAGTAACTCTAGTTGGTTCATAAATAATATTTTTCAGATTGTTTGTCAGTATCAAATCATAGAGTTGACCATTTTTTAGACCCAAAAGATCAAAATTATGTACACTGTTTGAGAATTGATAAGCCAGTTGATTGATGATGAACCAAAGTAACCAAGATTCTAATTCTGATCTTCGTTTACATGATAGTTTCTTATCAACATACACAAGTATCACCCCTCCCAACTGAAGTTCCTATCCTTTCTAAACGGCTGTTGAAAATTTTCAGAAGTAGGAATATCATTGTCTGTTTTGTTATCAGGGTGCGTTTCTGTACAACCACAAATGTGATAATCTTCGATCAGTTCTGAGACTGGGTCTAGTTTGTTCCGAATGCGTCGCGCATTAAGATGAACTATTGACACATGACCCTTTGACGAATGGATAGGACCAGGGTTTAGCTTGATGCCTCCTGATAAGTGGTGTGGAATATAATACTATTAAGCGATTAATGTGCGATGCGGTAATTACATTGCAAGCAAAAATAAAGAAATAAACCAATATATTATAGCATCTTATATGAACCCCACAAGTATGTACAACCTCAAAATATAAAAAACATTAGTGTGGCGCCAGGCAGGGTACGCTTACTCTTCCGGACACCTGTTACCACTGTTTGTCATGTATTTTGTTCACGGTGAACAGTCCATATGCTGATTACACTATTTTGCCTTATTACACTATTTTGCCTGTACCGTTTTTTTAGGACTTCGAATTTTGTCTAATGGTTTGGATTGTTGGTACTTGGTTTTATTTTATTCTTATCAACTATATATATATATATAATATATATATATATATACACACACTAGATGATCTTAATATACCACTTGGTCAAAACAGAGTACTGATGCAATTTGTTGTCCAGCAATTTTAAGATCAGCCAGTTCTAGGACTGGAGCATAAAACTAATACAGTTGGCAATTTACAAATGTTGGTTTGTGTCGTGATCGGGGTACAAATTCTCTCCGAACTAAGATGCCTAAACCTAATGGAAATATTGCATTTTTATTTTTCAATTGCAGATCGACATGGGTTTAATAAAAGAAGAATTCCAAAAAATGTATGGCAAGACATTAGCTAGTTTTATTAAAGGCGATTGTAGTGGTGATTATAAGAAAATGTTGCTGGCTCTGATAGGCGATATTTAAACAAATTAATACTGGCTCAGGCTATTGTTTATATAATTATTATATATTTATTTGTTTATTATATACATTTTATACATGAATAAAGAAGAAAAGTATGTAACACGTGTGTAGATCAGAGTTATTTTAAAGCGGAAATTTCAAATTTTTAAGTTATATTTTTAAAATTTATTAAAATAAAGCCTTAAAATAGATGGTATCCATAAACAGCCCTACCTTGTTAAAGAATAATCCTATTAATCCTATAATTCACTATTGCCAGCTGAGAAATTGGCAAAAATATCATTTTCAACTTCAAATTCCAACGTTGAGGAAATGGCAGACCATTGTTTTCAATAGGAAAACAAGGGAGGTAATTGTGTTGCTATTTCCTGTGTACCTATGATCGCATAATAGTGAGTTGATAATCTATTGAGCAAAAGACATAGAAATAATTATGTTTTGACTTTCTTAGAAAATATGAAATTCTCGCTTTAACTTGAAAATGATTATAGAATTATTTTTTTTTTCTTGATTTTACTTAGTCAAATTAGGCAGTATTTGTAGTGGGGGGAAGAGTGGGGTTAATTCAAATAATATCTGGTCACATTCTGTAGATGTATTTTTATAGGTATACAATTGTAATTAATGAGAATTCCATTGAAGGGAGTAGATGTATTTTTATAGGTATACAATTGTAATTAATGAGAATTCCATTGATGGGAGTAGATGTATTTTTATAGGTATACAATTGTAATTAATGAGAATTCCATTGAAGGGAGTAGAATCTATCACTAATATTTATATTTCTCGTTTCAACCGTTGTATTAGGGCACTAAACAGTGTATACTTTAAGCACTGAAAAAATATAATTTAACAAAATTTATTACTTCATCCACATTATAATTTTCCAATTAGAAATGAACGTGTTGATGTAAAACAAAATCAAAATACAATAATTACAAGAATATTAACATATTCTTTTGTTGTTTTTTTTTACCTAAATAATAAATATTGCAACCATCAGCAAATAAACCGAGAATATAGCAAGTCCCTCGGGATTTTCCACACTGGTTTCCACCTGCAGGAAGGAAAGACTGACAAGGGAAATGTGTTTAGATGTCCAGATGAAACGGAAACCGCGGCTCACTTGTGTGCGAGAAAATGCAGAATATCCCTCATAACATAGCGTGGCGGATGCCCGTATTCAGCTGACCACTTGGGCAGAGGCGTAGCCGTGAAATATATATTGGGGGGGGGGGGGTCCGCAACCCTAACCCATAACCTAACCCTAACCCATTTTTTAAAACCCGTAAAAAATATAAACAAACACCATGTGGCCATGCTGTCTACCAAGACACCGCGTGCAAAAGCATTATGGTTTAGGCGGTTATGTTTTTGGGTACCTACATGTGATTCACTCTGATAAGTGGCAGAAAAAATTAACAAAATATTACTGACAGGCTAACTAGACACAATGTTATGGAACACAGGTACTTTTCACTTCACACATGTTTCCAGGATGATTATCTCTGTGTTTTATTTTAGCAGGATAAACCATATTGGGATATGTACAGGTTTTATACAGATAGAATCTTAACTAATTCTAATAATTGTTGTAAATAAAAAGGAGTTTGGGCCTACTATGTAAAAAAATTTTTAAGGGGGGGGGGGGGGGTCCAAGTATATTCAGACCCCCCCCCCCCCCCCAGAAAAACAATTTGGGGAGGGGGGTCGGCATAGGCCATGAAGTGTATTGAAATTTTGCCCGGACAGCAAAGTTTCGCATACTCTTTAACGAATTCCACTTGTCAAGGGTTTTTTCAGATTACCTGCATGTAAACTTGTGGACCTCGGTTTCTCGTACCACCCGAACGACTAGGCGTTTCTACCTATCCCGGCCCTATGTTTTGCACCACTGTATCTGACCTGGGGAACCCAATTTTGAAAATCCCAAGGGACATTCTCGGCCAACTTGGAGTATGATGAATAGAAGAAACAACATTCGAGGCCATGCCATTAGATTTCCTCGCAGATTAAGGTCATCAACATGACAGTGATATATCTGGACCAAAGAAAAATCAACGGTGACCCGGGGACCTTCTGTTCGATTTATATGTTTCACCTTTGGAGCCATGGTGGCTCAGTGAGTAAGACGTCAACTCACTAATCTGGAAGTCCAGTGTTCGATCCCTGCGTTGATCGAGAAAGTTTTTCCGCCCCCCCCCCCCCTTGTCTGTGGTGCAAGACAGAAGACCTGGCAAGGGGCGCGTATAGTCGTACGTGTGGGACGAAAAACCAAGGGCCCATGTACACATTGGCGTGCACGTAAAAGACCCCTTCTTGTCAGTTGGAGTTCGATTTAAGAATAGGTCGCAGCGCCGTTGTCGGGGCAAATTTCCCTCATAGCACACTGTATAGCGTAGCCCAGTCGAAACAGAACAGTAGGACGTTAAACATCAAACAGCATTTCATGCGGCACAGGCTATTTTAAATAAGGGTGTGACTGTTTTATATCTAGTATACTGTATGGGAAGGCCACTGTGTATAACTGTTGGAAGTTTACATGGCTTAATATAAAGTACAATTTTTTTTTTAGTGTATCATAATATTGTACAACCAGTTAATTTTTAACAATTATTAGGCTTTCACACTGCGTAGCTTTTTTTTTTTTTTTTTTTTCTTAACAATATTTATTCGATCAATATTTACATATTATAAAGAGACAATATTTAATTATGGGATCTGAAAACTAGCCGGAGCTTATATAAATCCATTTCCCGTAATAGACATATAAATACATTGTTTATAATTACAATCACAATTTACATAAGGTTATAATTACAAAAGCAAAATATATTTATTCTCAATTGGTTAAAATGTATAAAATACTAAATATACATAGGTTAATGTGGTTAGTGACACGATTATGGTGTGGGTGATAGTGTGGTGCGAACCTCGAGTTGTGGATAGTAGAGGGAGGAGGGAAAAGTCACGTTTAAAACCTGCGTAGCTTGTGTGAAACACTATTGTTTTTGTTCGGATTATTATTCTTATTATTTTAATCATAAAGGATGTATTTCAGATTAAGTTTTTCATGTGTCAAAATGGCGGCGTATCATTTGCCATTTTGTAACATAATTCCTGCGCTGGTAACCTACAAATTTAAGGCCAAGGTCATTTTTAGTTTTTCCCTCCCTTTCCATTTCCCCCCTTTTAAATGGCGATTTTTGTTGACTTTTTGGTGAAGTATCGAAGAAAAGGGTTTGAATATACATATTCTGTCAGGTTTTAGTGAATATTCATGATTTTGAGGCGGAAGGATAAGAGAGTTAAGAGGTTGGTTACGTTGAAATGTAGGGCAGAGAGTTGCATGTTTACTTCCAGTCAAAGTTCGTATATCTCAAGATTTCCATGGTGAACCTCATAAATGTTTTTGAGCAAGAAGTTGCCATATGTTGCTCCAGCTGTGATAGAAAGCGTTCAACTCCACGAAAGTTTCGGGAAAAAGCCGGTCAAAGAGACGAGAATTAACATTTAAGTCAATGTTGAAATTAATGGTGCTCTGCGTCATTTTGCCAAAATAACACTTACCTGTTATAGCCTGGTTACATATAAAGGTTAACAGGACAGGCTTACTCAAATTTTGATAAAACTAAATTATTAAACAGTCTTTTTGGATCAATCTCAGATAATACACAACACGCTGATTTACCAAATGGCTTTGATAATATTAGTAACAGGCTATTAAAGTGTACCAGAATCACCATATGTATTCCGCTAAAACTTATTTTCAACGAATCATTTCGATCTGGTGTATTTCTAACAATGTTATGCTTTTCTTCAAAAAAGGGTGACAGTTCTCTTGTTTTCAATTATCGTCATATTAGCTTTTTGAATATAACATATACTAATGTCCAAAAGAAAGTATACACTGTGCATTTTGTGCTGCATCAACCAAAGTCGTTATTCCATGGTATACGGTATTTGGGTAGAATGTCAATTTGTTTCACATTTTTATTTTGCTTAGAAATGTTGAGTTTGGACGCAAGAGACAAACTCAGTAATGCTTTATCAAATGTTTTTAATCTAAACAAAACTTAGTCATACTTTTAGTGTGTATACTTTCTTTTGGACATCAATATAGGTCAACCATACTCTACTTAAATTATACATTACGAATCACATTGAACATAATGTATGTAAATGATGATGTTGAATCTTTTTTCACTTTTTATTTAAAGCTACTATATAGTTTATTTGTTTATCTTTACCTGTTATGTATTTACAAATATAAACATTTACGTATTTAATACAGCATATTATTGGTTCTCTATCTTTTTTAAAATCATAATTAAAAACACTTATATGGATATACTACTTCTGAATTTATTAACATGCTACGTTTCGATACACATACAGATATCGTTATCAATCAAATAATTCAGAAGTAGTATATCCATATAAGTGTTTTTAATTTGTGAAATCTACAATGAATATGTCTTATAAGGATTATAAAATTATAATGTCTATAACATGATGTACGGAAGGGCTGCGCTAAATGTTTGAAACTTATGTCCGATCCTTTTGAAATGTGTCAATGAAATATGTTTAAATGTAAAATATATAAACTTTTAAACGGGTTAGTCCGCTTTTCTTACAAGGGCTGGCCCTTTTTATATAAATAACAAAACGAGATAGCCCTACATTTTTATAGCCGAGACGAGATAAAATAGCTCGGTTTAATTCTTCCGTGAGCCGACTCGAATATCATGGCTAGCCCGCATGTATGGGCGGGCCCGTTCCATATACCCAGGCCTTGCCACTGAAAATTTTAATAGATGTTTCCAAAGACAAAAGCTAATCCCAATATTAGGAAAGGGATTAGGAAATGTATGCTTCGACTGGAATGTGTGTAAAAAAAGTCTTCAAAAGTATTAAGATAGAAGATAAAACGGATGAATAAATTATGAGATTAGTATATTTGTATCGCTTAGAAGACTTATCCTAAGCCAGAAAATTAATATTAGTTACCAGAAATAATCTTATAATCATTTTGAGATTAAATAGGGATCCGCGGAGAAGGAATAATATAATATGAAGTAAGTAGAACAAAGTATTACATGTACCTGTATGAGCGTGTCTTAAATTAGTTAATTTTAAGCAGTTTGATATTTTAAAGATATTTAGGTCTTTAAACATATATTATGCAAGGGCTAAATCTGCCAATTGTGGGTCTTTTGTAGGCCTGAAATGTTATCTAAATTAATAATTAAACATTAATTAACTTATCCAGACCATAACCAACCCTCGATGTCAACGCTAGCCTGCGATATATATTGGATTAGGATCTGATTCGCTGCTAAACTTTCATTCCTGATTTAATCATGAAATGGATAATCGAGACTATGTTTTTTATCGTACCGATTTTAGTATGATGATCGAGGCTAGGCCGAAAATTCAATCGCTTAAACCCCGGTTTAGAGTGGATCAATTTGACTGGAATGTTCATCAATAACCCTTTACATTATCTAGTTTTTAACTATTATAGTGAGAACTACCAGCTCTTTATCTAATCTCCCATAATGTATCTTTAAATATATACTAATCAGGTTGGTATGTTACTCTGAATAGACGCACTGCATAAAACTTACCAAATGTTTTTATTGTATATTTGGGACCACATCTCCAACTTTACCTGAGCAATAAGGCTCCTTCCCAAACACAGAATTGAACCCAGGAAATATTCTCAAAAACGCAACCTGACTTCTGAGATGTTAATGTGTTCTCCACGATTTTCATGTAACTCATGCTGCACGTGCTGTTCACCGGGACGAGCCCTATAAAATGCACCCCCATAGGCCTACCCGGTTGAATCATTCACACTACAGCGTCAGTAGCATGCCACGACTCACAACAGCTCAGAGGAACCAGGCGCTTGGAAGACTCGACTCTGGCCACACTGCCCAAGCCGTTACCAATCACTTCCAGGTCAATGTTAGCACCATCTACAGGCTTCAGCAACGCTTTCGGGTCACTAACATCACGGATGATTGCCCCCGATAGACCAAGGGTTATCACAAGGCAACAAGACCGCCATGTTGTGCGACGGCATGTGAGACAGCACGTGAGACAGTTGGGACACACGGAAGACCCTTCTTTACCGATACAGTGTGCCGACGTCTCACCAGAGAGAACATCCATTGCCGTGGACCGACCCTCACCCCTCGCCATCGACGTGAACGTCTACAGTTTGCCCAACAACACCAGAATTGGCGACACAGGCGATGGAGACCTGTTCTGTTCACAAATGAGTGTCGGTATTGCGTATTAACAGCAAATGTAATACAATATCATTTGGGATCTAAATTTTAATATTGTATTTTGAATTCATATTTTAATTTATATTTTTTCATTTTTAACTCATTTCGGACATGTGGCAGATTAATTGTAAAATTTAATCTGCATCAGGTGTGGGGTGTTGACATAATATTATGTAAGATTAAATGGGTTGTACAAACTTGTATACTCGGAGTGTCTATATGATGTAAGATTTAGGCTTAACACGTATCGACACCTTTTGTCTCGAGCTAAGATGTATGACTCTTAATAATTAGTTTTCATTGTTTCATTGATCTGATTACTAATACTGTTAACTATGGCGTGCATATCTGACGTGACATATAGTCGGACGTAAAACTAATTAACAACAGAAATAAACATTTATAATGACTCAGAATCCACAAAACACATAATCATGTGTGCATGCGTCATTGTAAACAAAAAAGGATCGTGGACACTGATTTTCCGGTTGTTTTTTTTTTTTTTGTTTTTTTTTCTACAACTTTATTATTTTAAGTGTTTGGCTTAGATGGTAGCTGCTCGGAATACTCTCTTTTATAAACCCCTCATTTCTGTACGTCATAAACCCCTCATTTCTGTACGTCATAGAGTGGCCTCGGCGTTAATTTCCATCCTAAATATGGAATAATCATCCCCATTCTCCAAAGACCGAGGGGAGGACATTACCTTATTTGGCCTACTAAACGCATGTCATAAACAAGATAGAATTTGATTGATGTTTTGACAATGGTAAGGATTTTACCAAAATATTACTGTTTTTTATATATATAAATATATCACTCAATTCATTAAGTACGTGTGATTTGACTCTATAGAAAGTGAGAACCAAAAAAAGATACAATATGGTCGTAAAGACCATAGTATTACAGTCGTGAGAAATTTGATGTTTAATGTAGCTAGTGTAAGCTTGTGTTCTGTTATTGATAGCTTTGATTAAAGCTGCAATTTCATATTTTTAAGTTATATTTTTAAAATTGATTAAAATAAAGCCTTAAAATAGATGGTATCTATAAACACTCCTACCTTGTTAAAGAATAATCCTATTAATCCTATAATTCACTATTACCAGTTGAGAAATTGGCCAAAATATCATTTTTAACTATTAATTCAAACGTTTGAAGATAGCTCATGGGAGGTAATTGTGTTATTATTTCCGGGGTCAGAGGATTTTTAAGGGGGAGAATAATACCTATAATCGTATAAAAGTGAGTTGACAACCTATTGAGCAAAAGACATAGAAATAATTATGTTTTGACTTTCTTAGAAAATATGAAATTATCGCTTTAGGCTTTTGTCAACAATAGTTTTGGCTGGTTGTTAACAATAAGTTAAACTCTGGAGTATTTGAGGATAGGTATAATTTAATATTTTCCCGTTTTCTTGTAAACAAGTTATTTTGCAGGTATGTTAAGTGTATTGCGACATTACGTGATATCAACTTTGCTACCAGCAAGCTGAACTGAATTGAAATGAAATTCAGTTTAATGTCCTAATTTTCTGCATCAACCGGAACAGTGTCTATAAAAATTACTAAATAGAAATCTAGAAGGGCTCTAGAATAGTTTATAAACATACAAACTACAGTATTACAAAAGTTAAACAACGATTTCTAGTTATCTGAGCTAAAAGCTTCTTTATATGTAAAAAAAATCAAATATTTATTTTATTTACGTGAGTCACAGTGGCTCGGTAGGGCAGAGAAAGTTCCTTGAGATTTCCCAGCCTCGATCAACGTCTAGTTGTTTGGATGGGACAAAGAGAGAGAGAGAGACAAAGAGAGAGAGAGAGAGAGAGAGAGAGAGAGAGAAAGAGAAATGGGGTTTAACGTCCACTCGACACAAACTAGGTAATTTCGGGACTAACATATGGTATAATTTTATTTCAATAATTCGCTTGCGCAAAGGGGTCTTTAGCAGTGGGAGGAAACCGGAGGACCCGGAGAAAACCCACGAGGTTGGACAGGCGACCCTACTCCTTGTCACGTACAACCGGGGATTCGAAACCACGCCAGTCGACTCAATGACAGACTTTATGATACAGTGGATGGGACAAAGAGAATCCGGTGAAGAATAGGCGGAAAGCTCTCGCTGCCCTTGAAAAATGTAATAAATAATAAGTCCTTTTATAACGCGCTAATTCCACATATAGATTTGGTGGGGGGGGGGGCAAATATGTGCCTCCTTGCTCCCCCTTGGCGCCGCCACTGAAACTGCCCACTAAAGTGATAAAGACTGGAACGTTTTATTTATTGTTGTCTGAACACTTGTAATGACAACACAATTCCCTGTCCAGTCAAAAATTTATTTCCAAATGTTCAATGTTCCCGCGTCGTGTAAACACACGATTGACGTCAGTGTTCAGGGATCAACAGCTTTGTCATTATTATAATTTTCTCTCGTTACTATTTATAGCATGTACCTCACTGTGACCTGAATGACGACACGCGGTATATTTCTCTATTATATTGCACCACTCTACAGAGCGAGATAACCTCGTAGTGCGATCTGTCAATATTCTAGAAAAGATATTAACAACTGGGCCAGGCTTTCAGTCGAGTGAATACAACTCTGTCTATATCGACGTAAAGGGGATAAATTAATCTGAAATGGCAACAGGCGTACGAGTAAGTATTTTAATTTTGCTACGTATTTGGGAAAATGTTTTTTTCCGGAATGTTTTATTTATTGAAGGCCATTCTCGTGACACTAATCGATAACAAAAAGTTGAGATATATCACACGACTACTTTGACAAAATGTGTTTATTGTTGTAGCCTCGACGGGGTATTATCTTGTCTTACGGGCCATAACGTGAAGGCCTATTAGATTATCATCTCTAGACACCCCCACGGTGTCTAAAAACAAACACATCCGAGATACCGGAACGTTTTAGCCCTGTTGTCGTTGCTAATATTGTAAAGATAGTAATGTTTAAATGGGAGGCAACTCCAAATTAAACACCAAATTGACACTGCAGCATAACTAGACGACAAGAACAAGAACAATTATAAGCGATATGAGGATACAACGGAGGCACTATTTTTAGAATTCCAGATAAGATACTTTGGAATGGGTTCTATTAAACAATATTTAACAGAAAAACATATGTACCATAAGCCTAAATTATATCTACATACATTAACAAAACGTTAATAGAATTTACAGAAGTAATCAATTATAAGTATTGTAATCACGAACATGTGTATATTATTGTAATTACGATCATTAGTATATTGTAACTATGAATTTATGATTATGAGTATATTGTAATTATGATTTGAGTATATTGGAATGATGATGAATGTATTGTAATTATGGTTGTTTTGTACTATCTGGTCACCTTAAAGGGACAATAACACTCTTGCTGGCTTGACAGCTCCAGTATATAAATATTAGCCTTATTCTAAGTATTAGATGTTTAAATGTCCTACCTGTTGTGTAAATTATCCATTACATCCTATTTTACTTGTCCAGAGGGCTCGGAAATATTTTTAAATCCAAGTCACATTTGAAAAGGTTTACGTTAGGATTTTCAAATCATTTAGTTGAATTTTTCCAATTTTTTAAATTAGGTGTGTTAAGATGAAATTTTTATCATCAAATAATTGGAATACTGTAAAATAGTACAATTTGTTGACCAGAATAAAGATTGGGACATATTATTCTGTTACAACAAGAGTGGTATTGAGCCTTTAACTATTGTTTTGTTCGTTTTTCGAAATATTGCCTGAGGGGGTTTATGTTTAAAAAGTGCAAGATGCAAGGAACGACACTATTTATTCATTTCAAAACTTCAAACCATATTAAAATGCTGGCAACCTTTATAATCAACACAGGCGACGATTGGCGTGTGTTTCGTTGTCGGGGTCACGGTGGCTAAGTGGGTAAGATGCTGGCTCGCTAGCCTGGAGATCGGCTGTTCGATCCCTGCATTGGCCGAGAAAGTTCATTCAGATTTTCCGGCGTGGTCCCCCCTTGTCAGTGATGCAGGACGGAGGGCCTGACAAGAACAATTGTCTAGTCGTTCGAATGGGACGAAAAACCGAGGCCCCGTGTACACATTGGCGTGCACGTAAAAGATCACTTGGCCGCTTTCCGGACAGAATTTCCCTCATAGCACACTCATATGCCCGTCTTCATTAGCCCAGTTCGGAGCAGAACAGTAGGACTTTAAATCCCGTTTCATTTCATGTGTTTCATTGTCTGGCAACCCATATTATGAAACTATAGTACTGTTGATTATCTTACCTGGAAGATGCCAGATTTTATATGACCCTCCTTAACGTTATCAAACGCATCCAAGGTTATTAAAGTTCGTCGCGAACTGTTATCTAATGAACATGTAAATACAAATACTGAGATAATATGTTCCCTCGAGGTTTATTAGGTCACGCTTTCCAACCCCAATATATAGTATATGACTTAACGCATATTCCTGAACCGAGAAATTAGGTCTAATCAAACGAAACACTGCGAGGAGTTGATCAACGACCTTCCCTTTTGACATGATTATAGGTTTGGTCATGTTCAACCTACACTCTTATTTGGACGCTTGGCTGTTTATTTTATAAACTGATTTTATTTTAATGTATTTTTAAATCTTTGTTGACTTCTTTTAAAACTCTTTTTTGTATTGGAAACAAACTGCAAAGCCCAACAAGATGATTAATTTGAGTAGCAATCTAAAATCTATTTGTCGGTTGTAAAGGGAGATAACTGCGTAAATATTTTCATTTTCTGTAAATTATCTAATATTCGTTGCAATTATTATACTGATGTGCTGCTAATTGACGATATTAAGTTTGTATTTTATAATATTGGATAGTATACTTAAAAGTAGTATTTGATAAGTATTTGGTAGTATTGGGTTATTATTTGCTTGATTTGGGTGATATAGAGAGACAAATGGAACAGCCAGACATCGGTAATCACATTTGAAGTACGTTTCCCACGATATATCTCACTATTTTTGAAAAAAAATCAAGCAATATGCTCATTAACATGTCGTTATATATGAGGCGCCCCCAAATGGTGAGGCGCCTGATAATGAATCACACGATTAACACTACAACTTGATTGATGGGGCGCCCAAAACGGCGTGATCTGTCGGGTGCCTTATCAAGGAGGGGTGCCTATAATGACATGATTGGTCGAGCGTCCTATAATGACACGACTCCTGATCAAATTAAACGTAACACACTAAAGTAAAGATCTAAACAGTAAATCTTATGCAAGAACCGATAGGAAAGCAAACATGGGTAGATAAACCAGCACGCGGCAGTTTTCATCAACCCTTCCTTGAAATGTCAAATTTGACAATGAACCCCTCCCACGTGTATGGTGCTATTGCGTGTGGCATGTGTAGCTCAGTGGTTCTGTTGGGGCGATAAGTTCTTCATCTGTGAACATACTCTCAAAGCATGTCAAGTGTTCATGACTATTTATCATATCACAACCTGCATATGTATGTGCATTTCAATATCCCTTACTTTTTTTAAAGAGTATATTATCATTATTATGTCAGCCGTCACAATTACATTAATTGTAGTGTGTAACCAAGCCAGATAACCTTCTGAAGTCGGTACTTACAGTGATATTTACAGGGGCGGATCCAGAGGGAGGTTTGGGGGGGCGCCCCCCCCCCCTGCTCAGCTACATAAAATTTTTTGTAAATCAACACTTTTTATGAGAAAGGTTTCTCGGCCGTGTGCTTTATCCTTTATCGTCAGATTTGGGACAGGATGGGCACTCAAAGCACGAGATAATGATATAGACATTATGTGATATCACAATTAATGCTTTGCATCCATGAAATTGAATCACAAAGTCATTGTATTAATTCATAATAAAAATTGACGTCAAACGAATTGTTGAATTTCTCTGTTTAAAAAGCTCAATGTATATGTATATACGCCAAAATGACGATAGAGACCAAGCGGGAGGGGGGGGGGAGAGATACATTGTCTCAGGAACATGACCCCCCCCCCCCTGCAAAAATTCCTGGATCCGCCCCTGATTTACATATTACATAATTAGTCGTTTAATGAATGAGGGTGACTTATGATATTAGGAAAAAAACTTGAATTCCTTACACAAAACCGTCTATAAATGCCAATAATGTTTCAGGCCTAGAGTGGAATGAACCAAATTATTTTCAACATATACTCATGCACCCCATCCCCACTCTCCGCACCTTTCAGCATTTTAGGTATTTCATTTATAAAAAAAAACAAACATATATATTATGAAAGAGTATTTGAATGATTTCAGCCCACAGTAACTGCTGCCAATCCATTTAATCCCGATGAAGCGGCCCAGAAACTGCGGAAAGCTATGAAAGGATTGGGTATGTTATTTAGATTTGTTCACTTATATTTATGATAAACAGCTGTTACAAAATGCTATTAGTCAGGGCCCGGTTACACGAAATCTTAACTAAAGATAAAATCCAAATTTTAGTAGATACTTCAATTTTGATTGGCTAAGCACTAAAGTCAATCTAATATTAACCAATCAAATTACTAAAATTTGGATTTTATCTTAGTTAAAACTTCGTGAAACAGGCCCCTGGTTGTAAAATCTGTATGAGATTATTATCTGTTATATTATTGTATATTTACACCGAACTCAATCATCCCCATGGGTTAACATTTTCACACTTCTCATTTGTAAGTTTGCACGAATTGTAATTTCCATACTTCTCTACATTAACAAAATATTAAAGTTACATTTTTTTTACTGCAACCACCGCCATTAACATTTAACGGTGATAGTAATTGCAGGAGAACTACACTACACACAAAACAAACCCGAAGGCAAGACAAACAACACAGATATTGCAAGAAATACACAGCAAATATCCATTCAAGTGAATGGATCCAGTGGCCAACCGTAAGCGTCCACTGCGCTGTACAGCGCCGGGTAACGATGTAACTTAATTATAACCAAAGTTATCGTGTCTCAATTAAAGCATCAGCCATTCAAATTGCTTATCTCTGATTACCTAAGCAGAAAATGCTCATCTTCGAACTCCATCAAGACATTCACCTTATGAACGCCTACACCAGTTTGAACATTCTATTTCAATTAAGTGAGTTATTGTTTTTCTCGACCAATCAACTTGCTTATCGCTCTGCTTACCCTGAGCAGAAATTACTCATTATCGAACTTCGTTATCTACACCAAGTTTGAACATTCTTCCTCAATTAGAAGGTGAAATATTGTGCCCCCACCCCCACCAAAAGTGTGACGGACAGACACATTTTAATAGTCCCATGCTTTCTTCGAAAGGCTGAGGACAATAACATTAATGTATAAAATTAGGAACAATCTTGCGCCATCATATTTATCTGACCTCTTAGGGGGGTTGGATGGCTGAGTGGTTAGCGTGCGCGCGCTGTATCATAAAGTCTGTCATTGAGTCAACTGGTGTGGTTTCGATTCCCCGGTTGTACTTGACAAGGAGTATTGTCGCCTGTTCAGTCTCGTGGGTTTTTTGGGTCCTCCGGTTTCCTCCCACTGCTAAAGACCCCTATGCGCAAGCGAATTATTGAAATAAAATTAAACCATATGTTAGTCCCGAAATGACCTAGTTTGTGTCGAGTGGACGTTAAACCCAATTTCTCTCTATATATATACTCTTAGAAACAAAGATAACATGAAGTAAATAATCAGATGCAGAACCGAAATTTTCTCCGAGTCTTTCATCTCTTCAAGCACCCTAGAGTGGAACAAACTTAAATTAGAAACTAGAAACTCTCGATCCCTTACTATCTTTGGAAATCCACTAAAAACATTGGATATACTATCGTTCCACCGTTTTACTATGTAGGGCAAAGAAAATTACAAATAATACATTGTAAACTAAAATTATCCTGCTCAGATCTACAAGACCATAATCGATAGCCCTGCTTGCCTCTGTGGTCACAACTTCGAAGATCCCGAACATTATTTGTTTGTATGCCCCTTACATTCAGATGCAAGAAAACAGCCATCCAAAACCTGCAATATAATTGTAAAACTAGCAATCTGGTTAAAACACAGATCCTATTTCGTTTCGTTTTTATAGTTCAAAATTTCGTTTTACTTGTCTTTACTACACTTGGATCTGGAAGACTTGTTATTTAACCCATGTTCTGCTTGAAATGAGGGGTCAGCCAATCAAATGGTCTGTCGAATCGATTGTTTGACCTTTTTTGCCCGGAACTGTGGGTAATCCACTAGTAACATCAATGCTGATCGGTTAATCAATTGTCTGACGTCATAGGTCAAAAGTCGGTCTTTCGGCCCCTGACGTGACCTATCGCTATAACTTGTCAGATCTTCATGTAGTGTAGGCCATCGAAAGTATAAAAAAACGAAACGAAATATAGATCTGTATTTTAATCAGATTGTAAAACTAGCAGTTGTCTCTTGCATGGTTCAACAACACATAGTCCTGAGATAAACACACTTATTCATCGATCAATAAGATTTTAAATCTACATAAAATAATTATAAATCCATTTTCAGCCCTGTAATGCAATAATCGTATATCCTCGCCCCTCTCAGCTGGTTTGGGGTATTTGGAGGTATTAGATGAGTGTACGCAGTACCATACCACAACCATTACCAATACTAAACGCTACTTTCTCAATAATTACTACCTATTCAATTATTTATAAAGATGTCTCAACGTTATCCATTTTATGTATCCTATATTATGGTCTGGGGGGTTGGATCGCTTAGTGGTTAGCACGTGCGCGCTGTATCATTAAGTCTGTCATTGAGTCAACTGGCGTGGTTTCGAATCCCCGGTTACATACTTACATAAGTATAGACCATAATATATATATATAGAGAGAGAGAGAAATGGGGTTTAACGCCCACTCGACAGAGACTAGGTCATTTCGGGACTAACAAATGGTTTAATTTTATTTTAATAATTCGCTTGCGCGTAGGGGTCTTTAGCAGTTTGAGGAAACCGGAGGACCCGAAGAAAACCCACAAGGTTGGACAGGCAACCCTATTCCTTGTCACGTACAACCGGGGATTCGAAACCACGCCGGTTGACTCAATGACAGGCCTTATGATACAGCGCGCATGTGCTAACAATTCGGCCATCCAACCCCCCAATAAATGTAATAATTGTAATAAATGTCATAATTGTAATAAATTTTACTTAACCCCAATTGTAATATCAACCCCTATTGTAATAATTGTAATGAATGTATTTTACCATACAATAAATTCGACATCTAAATTTAAAAGTCTATGAATTTTGATAACGCATTATATTTTAACAGGAACGGACGAGGCGGCCATCATTGATGTTTTTGTAAGGCACACAACTCAGCAAAGAATAGAAATAGAAAGACATTTTAAAACATCCTTCGGAAAAGTAAGTGAGAATTTAGAATTATTTGTCTTGTCTTACGCTGTCTTATTCAATCATTATACATAGCCATGTTGAATTATTATAAATAACCATGTTGAATTATTATAAATAATCATGTTGAATTATTATACGTTGCCATGTTTTAATGGGGTGGGGGGGTGCGTACTTGCTAATTAACTATTCTCAGTCTTAAAGATTGTATTTTAGAAAAAATGCATATGTTTTCTCAATATTTTTATAATAAAAATCATGTTGAATTATTATACGTTGCCATGTTTTAATTGGGAGAGGGGAGGTGTACTTGCTAATTAACGATTCTCAATCTTAAAGATTGTATTTTAGAAAAAATGCTTATGTTTTCTCAATATTTTTATAATAAAAATATTATTCTTGTTCAAAATGGCCAACAGTCCCATTATGCCCATATAAGCCCTTGAACTAACTTTATTATTTATTGGCTTTGTTCTTACGAAACAACACTGTTATGTTACAGGATTTGCGTAAAGAATTGAAATCAGAATTAAGTGGAAAATTTGAGGATGTGGTTTTAGCTCTGTTAGATCCGCCAAGAGTTTACGATGCCAAACAAATCAAACAAGCTATTAAGGTAATATGGTTATGCGTGAAGCTGTTGCTTATCAACGGCAGGCAATATTTTCCATACATTGATTATCGAGTCGTTATGTAGAGTTACTTTCCATTATATTTGTGTTGTCGACTTTGTGGGATAGTCGGTGTATTGATACAAATTACACTTTGAATCATATGCTCAAATGCGCTCTAGGTACGTGGTTGATGTGCCTGACCAAAACAGGCTTGTGGTGACACCTGGCAATATTTGTATACTTATGTAAATATCACATAATATTGGCAATGTGAAGTTGAATCCTTTTACGTTATTCGTTATTCACCAATATCGAATAACGAGATGGCTTGCCTCGTCATTGGCGAATAACGAGGGACACGCTGCCGCGTTATTTGTTATTCAACTTGGTTTTCGGGATTCAATTATGAAGCTAGACATCACTAGAATGATAGATGCCAAGTATCCTCTATAAGACGTATAGTCGGTAAATAACCCAGATTGTTGTTCAAGCGATGAATAACAATTTGGTTTGTTTTCGGCTAGAAGTCGTTTTGCGTTTTTTATGATACTTCGGGATACTTGACATCTATCATTCTAGCGATGTCTAACTTAATATTTGAATCCCGAATAACAACTTGAATAACGAATAATGAATAACGATTCAACACCACACTGGTATTCCTTACCGCCCGAACGACTAGATGCTGTTACTTGTCAGGGATTCCGTCGTGCACCACTGACAAGGAGAAACCACGCCGGAAAATCCTGAGGAATTTTCTCGGCCAACACCAGGATCGAACCTGGGAACCCTGGTTAATAACCCTACTCACTGTGTCACCGCTACTGCTCCCTAATGCCCTCGTCAGGCCGGGTTGGCGTCCTTAATGCGCTACTGCGACCGTACGGCGACTAGAAAATGCACAGACCACAGCACGATATTTGGCGTTTCCACCACGTTTTCTCCACGCTTATGGCGATCATGACGCGCTCTGAGACCATTTTCCGTCGCCGTAGCAGCGCAATAAGGACGCCACCCAGGTCTGACGGGGGTATAATTTCTTAGTGAAGTCATATTATATCATCTTAATATAAATGTGATGTATTGGTAAATATTTACAGGGAATTGGTACAGATGAAGCTGCCCTTATAGAAATTTTATGTACCAGATCAAATACTGAAATTATTGAAATAAAACAACATTATAAAACATGTAAGTTTCCTAAATACTGGTTTATTTCCAACGGTAAATATATATAAATGAAATTAAATTACATTTCTATAACATCCCGTCTAATTCGCTATATGGGAAATTTTGCACGGACAGGGTCGTTTCAGATTTTTCTGTAATGGTATGTGTACACGAGACCTCGGTTTTTGTCCCATCCAAACGATATAATGCGCTATATGGGAAATTTTGCACGGACAGGGTCGTTTCAGATTTTTGTCCCCCGCCTTTCGAAGAAAGCAGGGGACTATTAAAATGGGTTCGTCCGTCTGTCTGTCCGTCCGTCTGTCTGTCCGTCACACTTTTTGGGACACAATAACTCTCTTCCTAATTGAGCTAGAATGTTCAAACTTGGTGTATGTGTTTATTAGGTCAATGCCTTGATGGAGTTCGAAGATGAGCATTTTCCGCTTAGGGTAAGCAGAGATAAGCAATTTGATTGGTTGATGCTTTGGGACACGATAACTCTCTTCCTAATTGGGCTAGAATGTTCAAACTTGGTGTATGTGTTGATTAGGTCAATGCCTTGATGGAGTTCGAAGATGAGCATTTTCCGCTTAGGGTAAGCAGAGATAAGCAATTTGATTGGTTGATGCTTTGGGACACGATAACTTTTAATTGAGCGAGAATGTTCAAACTTGGTGTATGTGTTTATTAGGTCAATGCCTTGATGGAGTTCGAAGATGAGCATTTTCCGCTTAGGGTAAGCAGAGATAAGCAATTTGATTGGTTGATACTTTGGGGCACGATAACTCTCTTCCTAATTGAGCTAGAATGTTCAAACTTGGTGTATGTGTTGATTAGGTCAATGCCTTGTTTTTATCCAGTTACAGTCCGATATGCGCGAATATCGAAAGGAACTGAGATCTTTGGGTTATAAACTTACATTTCAAGTTTCAACAAAATCGGATAAAAATTGTGACCTCTATAGGGTCCACAAGCTAAAAACGTGATTTTTCGTACAAACAGGGGCCATAATCCATGAAGTTTCGATCCGATACATGCCAATATCGAATGCAGCCGAGATTTTTTTGGGATAAACCTATATTTCAAGTTTCGTCAAAATCGGACAAGATAAGCAATATGATTGGTTGATGCTTTGAGGCACGATAACTTAGTTCTATTTAAGTGAGAGTGATGAAACTTGGTGTATAGTTTTATTACATCAATACCTTGACTAAGTTCGACAATGAGCATTTTCTGCTTAGGGTAAGCAGAGCGATAAGCAATTTGATTGCCCGAGACTTTGGAACACAATAACTTTCTTTATAATTGAGCTAGAATGTTCAAACTTGGTGTAGGTGTTTATTAGGTCAATACCTTGACTGAGTTCGACAATGAGCATTTCCTGCTTAGGGTAAGCAGAGTGATAAGCAATTTGATTGGTCGAGACTTTGGAACACAATAACTCTCATTTTAATTGAATTAGAATGTTCACACTTGGCGTAGGTGTCAATTAGGTGAATGCCTTGATGGAGTTTGAAGATGGGAATTTTCTGCTTAGGGTAAGCAGAGATAAGCAGTTTGATTGTTTGATGCTTTGGGACACGATAACTTTGGTTCTAATTAAGTGAAAGTGAGGACACTTGGTGTATAGATTTATTATATGAATACCTTAACTAAGTTCGATAATGAACATTTTTTGCTGAGGGTAAGCAGAGTGATAAGCAATTTGATTGGTCGAAACTTTGGAACACAATAACTCTCCTTCTAATTGAGGTAGAATGTTCAAACTTGGCATAGGTGTCTATTAGGTGAATGTTTAAACTTGATGTATATGTAGATTAGGTGAATGTCTTGACTGAGTTCAATAATTAACATTTCGAGCTGAAGCTAAGCAGAGCTAATCAATTTCATTTGTCAATGGTTTGGGACAAGATAATCTTGATTCTATCTGATAGACAGAGATGAAACTTAGTGAAAAAAATAAATGTGCGATTAATTAATATGCGTCATCTATTTATTTTGCAATTTCGGCGGGGGACATCAGCCTCACTGTTGGCTTGTTCTGTCATGGGATGTGTACACGAGACCTCGGTTTTTGTCCCATCCAAACGACTAGACGCTGATAAGGATGGAAAATCCCATGGATCGTTCTCAGCCAACACCGCGATCGTACCCGTGACCTCTTGGTTAGTGAGCCAGCGCCTTACACACTGGCCCATCGTGTTTCACATTAGAAACTTTTGGCAAGCGTAAATTTCTGATCCGTATCGCATATCCGTATCGATTTTATGTGTGACGTCATCAATGCGTGTGTATTTCTCATATGTGATATGGCACACGGATACGGCAGCACATATCGAACAGCTTTCATACGGAAAAGGTCCGTATAGCTTCGTTGTCATGTTACCACATCTTTTGCTACTGGAGATAAAGACTAGAATTTAATCATTATTTTTGATGAACTTTTCGGGGAATTTCCATATTTTTCCTACCTGTTTGTATGTATGCTGGTTCATCTACGTGCTAAATTTGGGGAGATGGTACCTTTCAAATCTATAAAAGGGGGATATACTTACTGATATGATACATTCGTGAAACCAAAAATTGCTGTCGATTCGAAATTTTTTAATAAGATTCGACACTAAATTTTAAATAGCTCAGCGACTGTCGAGCGACTTTACTCCGTTCAGGAATTTGTAGGTACTTCACTGGTACTGATGGTGATCTTGGTAGATAACTGACATCATGCTGTAATAGAACCAAGCTCAGCTACCCTTATGTACGCGGCGTGAACATCTGCCAAAACTCCAAAACTACATTGACGCAACGTACCACGTGACGATACGGATACGCGATACGAATGGGAACAAATCCACTTGCCAAAAGTCTCTAATAATGGTATTACTTCGTATATACGAGATGCTTTATATTTATCCAATTATTCATCTCGTTTTTATATTCCATGTCCACGGAATAGACTTGTAAAACCTATAATCGAAATCTAAGTGCGTATGGCTCATAAATTTCGTGAAAATTTACGCTGTTAGTCGAATATACGAGATAGAAGATTGGTGTTAAGACTCATGTATTGTATGTTTCAGTATTCAAATCCGATTTAGAAAAAGACATTGCAGCTGATACTAGTGGTCATTTTAAACGTTTATTAGTTGCCCAGTTAACAGCTAACCGTAGTGATGCACCACCTGATCCAACTCTAGCACAAAAAGATGCACAGGATTTATATAAAGTAAGTAATAGTAATTTGGCAGGGTGCCCCACCATAAATAAATGTTATACTCTTCAAAAAAAAGTAGGGGATATTCAGAAACAATACAAAACTGCGGAGATGCACTGCTGTTTTTATTAGAGGTAACCAGTGTATGTTAATAACATGCCAATTGCCTACACATGAACATAAACAGTTCATATGGGCGGCTTATCTGACGGTCCCATTTCACTCGCAAAGACATTCGCCGTCAAAAGTGAAAATGACCTTTTTTGATTTTTCTCTTAATAATAAGTAATTGCTCCACCAATCCTCAGACATTCAGCAATTCGTCGTGGCATCGCCCTAATCAACCGTCCAATCACGATTTGGGGCAATCTGACCAAATCCTCTTGCAGTGCCATGGCCAATTCTTGCAGTGTTGTCGGTTGACGTTGACGTCGACAAACACGTCTCCCGATCAAATTAAACGTAACACACTAAAGCAAAGACACGCTAAACAGTAAATCTTATGCAAGAACTGATAAGAATGCTAACATGGATAGATAAACCAGCACGCGGCAGTTTTCATCAACCCTTCCTTGAAGTGGCGAATTTGATAATGAACCCTTCCCACGTGTATGGCCCTATTGCGTGTCGCATGTGCAGCTCAGTGGTTCTGTTAGGGCGATAAGTTCTTCATCTGTGAACATACTCTCAAAGCATGTCAAGTGTAGATGAATATTTATCATATCACACCCTGCATAGGTATTTGCATTTCAATATCCCCTACTTTTTTTGAAGAGTATATCTCCAAATATCTCGACAATTACAACACAATATTTTTTTATATATATATATATATATATATAATATATATATATATATATATATACACCAAGCCTTAAATCAGTTTCGCACATTTATAGTCAGTAAATAAACGGTCATGTTTTACTTAATAAGCTATGACCATTTAACCATCGATAAATAATAGACTGAAAAATGGTTACGAGTGTCGGCCATAACACCCAGGCATTTTTGAGGAAAAAATAGGTTACGTGCCCTTGTTTTGAAATTAGTCTCGCTTAACCTGTCTGATTGACAGGCCGGGATAATCAAGACTACTTTTTTACGAGAGATAACAGAAAGCTGAAACAAAAAATTGTATTGAGAAACACGCACGTTAGGCAACTCAACAATTGTTTTAAGACCCTTGTAAAAGTAAAATGCAACTACTGCTAGTATCATGTTCTTGCCTAACCCGAGTGTTTCAGAAATATTATTTGTACTAAACCAAAAGATAACGCTCTTAACGGTATAGTTAATGATAAAGCAATTTAAAAATCAAACGAACGTAATTTCGAAAGCTGCTGTAATAACAAAAAAGCTAAATATTACTGCTATTCAGAATCGTCAACAATAGATTTTTTACGGCTGTAATAGTTAATAGATGTGTGGAGAATTTCACGTGCAATGGCTATTTATAGACTCATAGACTCTTGCGCTGAGTGTTATCGCGGTTACTAGCCCGAAATCACTTCGAGACAAGCCACTGAAGCGTGCACATTCGCTGTGTCGAGTTCAACTTTCAGTGTGGATGTGTGGAGAATTTCACGTGCAATGGCTATTTATAGACTCATAGACTCTTGCGCTGAGTGTTATCGCGGTTACTAGCCCGAAATCACTTCGAGACAAGCCACTGAAGCGTGCACATTCGCTGTGTCGAGTTCAACTTTCAGTAGGGAAAATTTTCGCTGCATGGAGCACCCTATCAATGGTGGCTTTAATTTGAGTAACCCATATTCTGAGGTACACGTTTTAATGAAGGTGAGATTTTCGTAGATTTAAAGGGTTTACTAACTATTTTTGAAATGCGACCTCCAATCTATATGAGAATATAATAATACCGTTATACCACCATAGAACACATTAAATCTTGAAGATCTTTTTTAAAAATATAATATTTGTTTTCAAATTTAAAAACCATTGCCGAAGTCATATCCTTCTAAGTACATAATCCAAGGTAGAAACGAACAATTGAACAACCCCCATAAGAGTGGTTTTCGGAGGGTTATAGGGGTTACGTAACTCCTTTAAGGACTCGCCCCGAATATTAAATTAGATAGTTGCTTGGGAATATATTAAAGCGTTCTAAGCGCCTTCCACACAACGTTAACTAGCCTTATTCAATGAAATATGTCTGATGTAGCTCCTCAAAATGCATATATTGCCAAACAACTGTACTGTATTTTGAAACATTGTTTTATTTTTTCTTAGGCTGGCGAGAAAAAATTTGGAACTGACGAGTCACAATTTAATAGAATACTTAGTGCCAGAAGTTACGCCCATTTACGGGAAGTGTTCAACTGTTACCAAAAGATATCCAAAAATACTTTTGAAAAAGCTGTTAAAAGTGAAACCAGTGGGGATTTAGAAGCCGGATATTTAGCCATCAGTATGTTTCGAATATAATCATATTTATGCCGTATTGTATAATTTGATTTTATAACGGGGAGCCACGGTGGCTAGGTGGTTAAGACGCTGGCTTGCTAGCCTGGAGGTCGGGTGTTCGATCCCTGCATTGGCCGAGAAAGTTCATCCCGATTTTCCGACGTGGTTTCCCCTTGTCAGAGGTGCAGAACGGAGGGCCTGAAAAGGACAGCTGTCTAGTCCTTCGGATGAGACGAAAAACCGAGGTCCCGCGTATACATTGGAATGCACGTAAAAGATCCCTTGGCAGTTGGAATTCGATATAAGAGAAGGCGATAGTGCCGCTGCCTGGGCAAAATTTCCCTCATAGCACACTGTATGGCGTATGCCCGTCTTCATTAGCCCAGTATAGGAGCAGAACAGTAGGACGTTAAACCCCATTTCATTTCATTTTGATTTTATAACGTTTTAATAGTTTTGCATAATGATTTCATAATTACGTTGTATAATTATTATGTACAATCAATTGGACAAGCCAAAATAATGATTATAAATCGAGAGATCTAGTCTTGCGATCAAATTAACAATAATATATCTAATTAATACATTGCGATGAAATTAACAATAATATATCTTATTAATACATAAGCCAATTCTGTACAAAATCACATAATAATAATAATAATATTAACTAGATCTGCCAGGCAGATATTAAAGCTTTCATATTCACGGTCAGTTTCTATCACATGTCATGGGTTATATAAAGAATCTCAACAAGAAAAAGAATTATTAAAATCGATCAAAACTTGAAGTTATATACGTATATATATTTAGTAACAGTGCACCCCGGGCAAAAAAAAAAATCTGGAAAATAAAGAGAAATAACTGAGAATTGTGTTGCTGTAAACGAATTGACTCCTTGTTCCAGAAGTTTAAAATACGGATCTACATGTAGATGTTGAAAAACGGGACACGTGAGAAAATGAAATGAAAATGTCGGGAAATAACTCAAAAATGTCAGGAAAATGTCGAACAAGTAAATTGTGTCGTGCAATGATCATTTGGAAAATCATACAACCCTAAATTGCACGGTTATTAATATGAAATGAAATAGGCTTTAATGTTCTGCTTCTACTGGTCTAAATAAGACAGGCATACGCTATACAGAATGCTATGAGGGAAATTTTGCCCGGCCAGCGGCACTATGGCCCACTCTTACATCGAAATCCAACTGCCAAGGGATCTTTAACGTGGACACCAATTTATAGACGGATCCTTAGTTGATCGGCCCATCCGAACGATTAGACAGCTATTCTTGTCGGGGCCTCAGTTCTGTACCATTGTCAACGCGTATATATAGTGAGTAACATTGCACCCGGGCAAAAAAATAAAATTGGGAAATAACTGAGATTTGTATTGCTGTAATCGAACTGACTCCCCGTTCCAGGGGTTTAAAATACGGATCATTTCATTTTTTATTTTAAAACTTGAAAGATATTTCTATAGTTCAAAGAGCTAAAATAAAGTCACCCGACTGGGACATCAGGTGTTTCCATATATCAGACAAAATCAAAACCATGCTATGGACAAAATTGCACAAACATGAAACCCCAAAAATGTCAGAAACTGTTCGAATATAACATATTGAATAGGTCTTACCTCGGAGATTTACTTTTTCCCCACCAGATTACTACACTTATGAGATTCAGTCTAATATTCCCAGAGACCACTTGAATTGGGTTAAAAGGTGAATTATCCATATAATTAACGGCGCTGGCACATTTGAAGTAAATGTTTCAAGGTACCCCCCCCCCACCCCCAAAAAAACAAAAAAAGGAATTAGTAAAATAGGTCAAATAGTCACAAAGTTACAGTAATGTAGGTCAATTGCATTTGTTCGTAAAATTTGGTGATTTCGGATTCGAAAAACGATTTCAAAATATAATTAATCAACGTTCGCACCCCATTTTTGGAGGGGTAGGTCAAAGTTTCAGAAAGATCACACGGTTAGATTCTGAGAAATCCGATTTGCAGAAAATACACACCAAAAAAATAATAATATTAATAATAATCTTAACAGAAACAAATATGAAAGCTTAATAATCTTAACAGAAACAATAAGCTTTCATATGAAATATGAAAGCTAAATAATAATCGTTTTCTATAGCACTGAACATTCAGTCAGTCTGACTGCTCTGTGGCGCTTTACAATGTAGATATGATTATTAACCATAACCATAGTTGTAATAAGCCGTGTAACGTTTTTCAGTAAATGTAGCTACAAACATTCCAGCATTTTTCGCCGAAAGACTGTATCACAGCATGAAAGGTGCAGGAACAAAAGATTCAGAACTTATTAGACTGGTTGTTTCAAGATGTGAGGTATGTATATAAAATATCACACGTCCCTAAAATGGTGATTTATCACGAAAGGATAACAAGATATGTTTTAGCTCACAATGAATGTTTTTTATTGTTTTGATTAAAAATTATCAAATAATTGTGTGGTTTGCTATCCATAATTACCCATCTTGTTATCTTTCATTTTAACCAATCCCTAAATAAGGGGAAATAATATTTCACAAATTCACACACAATCCGTTTGTTTTATATTTGTAATGTTTATTTTCTATATTGTAGGAGGATATGGGTTTTATAAAAGCTGAGTTCCAAAAAATGTATGGCAAGACATTAGGTAGTTTTATTAAAGGCGATTGTAGTGGTGATTATAAGAAAATCTTGCTGGCTCTGATTGGTGAATCATGATTAAAATTCTCCAGAAGTTTGTGACATTATACATGTCCAAATTATTTCCGTATTATTGTTCAGGTTAAATTTGTAAAGACATATTAATTTGGTAATTGGGGCTGTAAATAAACTACAACCCGTTTAAAAATATCCCTGATTGGATTTCATTTTAATATTGATGAATATATTTATAGGTAATAACTAATGCCATTTAAGGTATTTTAATATTGATGACTTTATGACTCACCTGATGATATCATCTTTATATTGATGGCGTTATGTCTCATTTGGCAATCTTCATATTGTTGGTTTTATTAATCATTTGATAATATTATACTTTATCCTGTATGTATATAATATAATATGCATTGTTTAGCAATATATGAAATTTTGTATATCTTGTTTTTAGCAATATATACTCTCCAAAAAAGTAGGGGATATTGAAATGCAAATACTTATGCAGGATGCGATATGATAAATAATCATGGACATTTGACATGCTTTGAGAGTATATTCACAGATGAAGAACTTATCGCCCCAACAGAACTACTGAGCTGCACATGAGACACGCAATAGCGCCATACACGTGGGTGGGGTTCATTGTCAAATTTGACACTTCAAGGAAGGGTTGATAAAAACTGCCGCGTGCTTGTTTATCTATCCATGTTTGCTTTCCTATCGGTTCTTGCACAAGATTTACTGTTTAGCGTATCTTTGCTTTAGTGTGTTACGTTTAATTTGATCGAAAACACTGCAAGAGGAGTGGGTCAGATTGCCCCAAATCGTGATTGAACGGTTGATTAGGAGGATGCCACGACGAATCGCTGAATGTCTGAGGATTGGTGGGGCAATTACTCATTATTAAGACAAAAATCAAAAACGTCCATTTTCACTTTTGACGGTGTATCTCTTTGCGAGCGAAATGGGGCCGTTAGATAAGCCGCCCATATGAACTGTTTATGTCCATGTGTAGGCAATTGGCTTGTTATTAACATACACTGTTTACCTCTAATAAGCAGCGGCTGCCAGGCAGGATACGCCCACATTTTCGAGAGATGGATAGAGAACAAGCTAACAAGAAAGTGATTTTTCCTACAATCAAGGGCCATAATTCAGTAAATTACAATTCGATATGCGCGAATATCGAAAGGAACTGAGATCTGTGTGTTATAAACTTACATTTCAATTTTCAACAAAATCGGATAAAAATTGTGACCTCTATAGGGTCCACAAGCTAAAAACGTGATTTTTCGTACAAACAGGGGCCTATATTTGAAGTTTCGTCAAAATCGGATAAGAATTGTGACCTGTAGAGTGTCCACAAACAATTGTGGACGGACGGACAGGGGCGACGACAATATACGTCCGCATGAAAATGTGGGCGTATAAAAACAGCAGTGCATTTCCGCAGTTGTTTATTGTTTCTGAATATCCTCTACTTTTTTTAAGAGTATATTAGATATATATTGACATCTGGTTATAAATATGTATTGTTTAGCAATGGATTAGGTATTATGTTTCGATTGTAAAATGTATTGTTTAGTAATATATTTGATAATAAACATCTAGTTATAATATATGTAATGCATAGCAATATATAAAATACTATACATCTGGTTATCGTTTAGCAATATATTACATATTATACATATGATTGTCGTTTAGCAATATTATACGGCAGTTCAGTATGCTCGGGTTTGGGATATTTAAAATTCCTTATCAACGGCATAACCGTGACAACGGTTTAATCATGTTTAAAGGACAATATTGGTGCCAGTCATTATCACATATGTGATAGACCTAATTAAACACGTTCCAAATATAATTTTATCACAGAGATAATCAGTTTGATTGCTTGATACTTTTGAAAAAAATAAATCTGCTATTAATTAATATGTGTCATCTGTTTATTTTGGGATTTCGGCGGGGACATCAGCCTCACTGCTGGCTTGTTTCAAGTGGCTTGCCTTGTCTACTGATAAATCGTCCTAATCCTCCAATGCATGAGGATGGCTCCAAGGAATGCAGAACTTCAAAATGTACTGTTCGTATCTGTAAACATGTAAAGATGCATACATAGCGCTCACGGTGCTACGTCCTTGTTTAACGTTAAAGGGACCAAATAGATTAGTGCCGATTCTAGAAAAACGGGGGCTCTTCTGACTTAATTCTACACAAAGGTAAGTCAGCCATCAACTGAACTCCTCTCTTTGCATAAGCTCTTTTACACATCATACAATCTGCAAGAACCTTTTTAACCGCAGATGTTTCCCTTTACAATCCAGAATCTTTGACGAATAATTGACAATATATGATTACGACCTGAATGTCCATATGTTTGGTACATCTCACGAATTATCAGATCTGTCACTGGATGTTTATTGGGAAGAATTACTTGATGACGTTGGTGATATGATAGTTCAGAATTTTCAAGTCTGCCTCCTACACAGAGCAAACCTCCTTCATCCATGATTGGTTTCAGTTTGTAGAGTGAGCTCCTTGTGAGATACCTTGTTTAAGACGTACACCTGGAATCTTCTTGATTCGTTTTGTATGTACTTAAGCACAGTCGTCGAGTCTGTCCTTCAGAAAACTTGTTGGATTACGAACTCGAGCTCTTCCAGTAGAACTTGATTTATTCTTACCGCCATAACTGTCGAGTTGAGTTCTAATCTTGGTATTGATTGGGCCTTCATCGGTGTTACACGAGATTTACCAAGGACGAGACAACAATAGAATTCGTCGTTCTGCTTTCTGAATCGTAGCTAAGACGTTGTACCCATCCCATACTGACTCGCATCTGAGAAGTAATGCATTTGGACAGACACAATTCTACCAAACTCCGGTGGGTAGTAACAACGAGGTATTCTCATATCTTGTAAGTATGACAGGGTTGACAACCATTTTCTCCACTCCCTGGAATCTTTTCATCCCATCCCAGTTTAAGCCTACAGAGTTCTTGAAGAATTCTTTTAGGTTGTAGGGTTTTAACGGCTAAATGTCCTACCGGATCATAGATCGATGCTATTATTGATGGTATACCTCTACGTGTATTATATATCTTATCTTGAAATTCCTGCTTAAATTCAAATACTTATATTAGGGTGACCCACCATAAATAAATATCTCCATATATCTCGACAATTACGCCACAATATTTATATATATGCCAAGTCTCAAATCAGTTTCACACAATTATAGTCACTAAATAAACGATCATGTTGTACTTAATAAGCTATAACCATTAATCATGTATAAATAATAGACTGAAAACTGGTTCCAAGAGTCGTCCATAACATCCAGACACTTTTGAGTAAAAGATAGGTTACGTGCCCTTGTTTTGAAATTAGTCTCGCTTAACCAGTCTATCGACCATTCTACGTCTGATTGACAGGTCGGGATAATCAAGACTACTTTTTTACGAAACGTAACAGAAAGCTAGAACAAGAAATTGAATTTAGAAATAAGCACGTTAGGTAGCTCAACAATCGTTTTAAGAAGCTTGTAAAAGTAAAATGAAACTACTGCTAGTATCATGTTCCTGCCTAACCCGAGCGATTCAGAGATATTATTTGTACTAAACCAAAAGATGCCGCTCTTAACGGTACAGTTAATGATAAAGCGATTTAAAAAATGAAACGAACGTAATTTCTAAATCTGCTGTAATAACCAAGAAGCTTAATTTAACTGCTATTCAAAATCGTCAACAATAAATTTTTTACGGCTGTAATAGTCGATAGATTTGTAGAGAATTGCACGTGCCATGGCTATTTATAGTATCACACTGTCAGAAAGTTGGTCTCGGCACGGCGAATGTGCACGCTTCAGTGGTAGTCTCGAACTATCAGCGGTGTACTGTATTTCTGTGAGTACATGGGTCAACCTACTTATATATATATATATATATATATATATATATATATACACATATGTACGAGTGTTGGTCGTAAATTGAAGTTTGCTTTTCTCGTGGTCTGAACAACTGCACAATTAAGAGGTTGGTTTAAAATGGTGCCCTTGGACATCTACTGTCTAGCTTATTTAGCTACTGGATGGTCGACTCTTATGTGGATGAAATGGGGTTTAACGTCCAATATTTCAACTCAAGTGATAAAAAACAACCACAATCGCCCATCACCGTCGACAGGAACACAAGATTCGGTTGGAGAAATACCTTCCTTGGAAAATTGTTTCCCTTTTTTTTCACCAACCGGGATAATGGAAACGGACATATTTTACGCCATGTAGTGTGCTTTGGGAAATTTTTACCGACTGCATATTTCAACTTTCATGTGATCTTATACGTGGGGACCTCGCTTAACCTTCCAAGAAACCAGGCTGGAAAATCTGGAGGAACATTCTCGGTGAATCCAGCGTCATCTGTTCGGTGAGTCAGGGTCGTACGGAAAGAATTTTTGAATTTGTAGCCTATCCCGTGGTGCCAATAACATGCAGGCTCGGTAAGATCTATTTCATAAGGCCAACCTCAGGTTTGGTCAAAGGTCACGAGATGTAAACAGGGCCAGCGCTAATCCCAACCCTAACCCTAACGCTTACCCTAACCCTAACCTACCATCTCCCCAACAATCCCGTGCCCTAACCTTATTTACGTCTCAGCGACGGTGACGAAATCTTGAGTTGGCCTTCAGAAATAGATTTAGCCATACAGGGTCTGCTCGGGTTCTCTTCTCTTGTCGACAGTTTTTTTGTGACCACTGTTTAAAACTCTGATTTTAAATCTTTAAATTCATCCCTAAACCGATAAACGTATTACCGAAAATGAATTTATTCGAATATATTCTCTGGAACACCGCCTGTGGATAGGGCGGAGTATTAATGGAAGGGAGGCAACTCCATTTTTGCACATCTGGGAACGGCCATGGAGCTCTTCGCGAACGAGTTACTGGGTGATATCAGAAGACTAGATAAAAATAGGTGATATCATGATTTTTGGAATCATTCCGGTAATATCAATTAAACGATATTGGTGGATAAATTTTATAACTATTCAAAATACACAAAAATAAAATAATGAAATATTCTCCAATTACAAAGGATTTTTTTTTTCTTGAAGTAAAAAAAATGTGTTGTTCTTTATTTATGTACATGTTATGCTGAATGTTTTGCACCCCTGATATCCCTAGTGGTATCGTTCCATTCATGGGGGAGACACAGAGTCAAATTTTATGCCCTTGATACTTGGACTTCTTTTATCGACCAAACGAGTGAGCGAAGAAAAGTGACTCACATTTTATTGCAACTAAGACAGCCAATCAGTGTGGTGAATGTAAACAATGACCCTCAGATTGGTATGTAAACTGTTTTTTATTGGTTTGTAGAATCAAGGGCAGATAATTTGAATTTGTGAAAACCCCATGAGTAAACCCTGTCATAGTATAGTGGAGTGGAAAGGAACGACATCACTGGGGATACCGAGGATGAATGTTTTGATGAAGTTGTTTACAAAAATAAAAAACAAAGTTGTAAAACTAGTAACAAAACCAACCACTATAAACATGGAATATCACAGGAATGTTGGTATTTTTTCATACTAATATTTTTAACAATATTAAAAATTATAATTTGATCGTGCTCGGACGTTTTTTCAGTTTAAGATTTCTATTCTAAAAATATTTTTTGTAGTTCAAAATCAGATTTTATTTGAAATCATCCATCATCTACTTTTAGTTCCATATATTTTTTCACAATTCAAAATATATTAAATATTGTATTTTGGAAAATCCTACCTATATATCTATAGTTCACTATGTTTAGTTTGATAACGTTGAGAAAATACTCTTTGAAACGTTGCCCAAATAAAGAAGTAGCTGTTTTTCCATAAATATTTGTTATAGTTTATTGCTCTATCCAGTTACTAAATGTCTCTCAAAGATTATGTTTAGTTTGTAGTCTATTTGTGGTTTTAAATCCTATTTAAATACTCAATTTGGTTCTAAATCTTGTTTATAAATCTGAATACTCAATTTGTGGTTTTAAATCTTGTTTAAAAATCTGAACACTCAATTTGGTTCTAAATCTTGTTTATAAATCTGAATACTCAATTTGTGGTTATATATCTTGTTTATAAATCTGAATACTTAATTTGTGGTTCTAAATCTTGTTTATAAATCTGAATTCCCAATTTGGTTCTACATCTTTTTTTTATAAATCTGAATACTCAATTTGGTTCTACATCTTGTTTATAAATCTGAATACTCAATTTGGTTCTAAATCTTGTTTATAAATCTGAATACTCAATTTGGTTCTAAATCTTGTTTATAAATCTGAATACCCAATTTGCTTTTAAATCTTGTTTATAAATCTAAATACTTATTGGTTTGAAATCTTCTATTTATAATTCCTAAAACTCACTTTGCTGTTTAAATCTTGTTTATAAATCCAAAAACTACATTTGTGGTTTTAAATCCTGTATATAAATCTGAAACCTAGATATGTGGCTTTAAGTCTTGTTTATAAATCTAAATAGGCATACTCTATTGTTTTAAATCTGGCTATTCTAAATCTCAATATTCTATTTGTGGTTTTAAATCTTGTTTAAAAAATCTGAATTGTCTATTGGTCGTTTAAATCTGGCTTTTCTAAATATTTACTTTGAGTTTTATTAACAGTTCTAATTATTCTATTTTTAGCTGTGTAGTTTTTAATGCAGGCCTACTTTATACTAACTAGAATCTTAGTGACATAGTTCCGGACATTAATATGAAGCGTTTCTTTGGTTTCTTCAAAAACTGATTTGGCTAATTGATGAGCAGCCTCACTTCCCTTGACTAATGCTTTATATATTGGTAAGGTATATTTCTGCTTTCCTATGTTAAAGAAAAAAGAAAAAAAAAGACAATTTCCATTATTAAAGTCTCTGATTATCATTCAAAAGAGAAAGAGAGAGAGAGAGAGAGAGAGAGAGAGAGAGAGATGGGGTTTAACATCCACTCGACACAAACTAGGTCATTTCCAGACTAACATATAGTCAATTTTATTTCAACAATTTGCTTGCACATAGGGGTATTTAGCTGTGGGAGGATGCCGAGAAAACTCATGAGGTTGGACAGGTGACCCTACTCCTTGTACAGGGAATCGAAACCATGCCACTTGGCTCAATGACAGACCTTGTAATTTAACGCACATGCTTTAAACCCGCTCCCCCACCTTGCTTGACTGGATACTCGCTCTAATAGGTCAGACTCGCTCTTACGTCAATGACAGACCTTATGATTTCATGTGCACATGTTAAACACCCCAACCCTTCGATTGTCATTTGAGCGATTGGGGTATTACTTGCAAACAACAATATTATAAAAGTTGAATCTCAGTCACAAATAGTTTAAAGTCCATTCAGTATTTACAAAGACATGATAAATATTTTGAGCTTAAACTGTTACAATTTCCAAGTTAAAGGGGCATTTTAGAAGATTAGATAAAGAGCTGGCAGTTCCCATTATAATAGTTAAAAACTAGATAATTCAAAAAAGGAATATGCTGAAAATTTCAGTCAAATTGCTCCACTCTGAACCAAGATATTAGTGTTTGAATTTTAGGTCAAGCCTCGATTATCATTACTCAAGTCGGTACGATAAAAAACATAGTCTCGATTATCCATTTTTAGATTAAATCATCAATGAGGTTGAGCGGCAAATCGGATTCAAATCCAGTGAAAATCGGACACATAAGATGGCATCGAGAGTTGATTATGGTCTTTATAAGTTAATTAATGTCTAATTAATAATTTAAATAATATTTCAGGCCTAAAGAAAGACCTGCAATTGGCAGATTTAGCTCTTGCATAATGTATGTTTAATAGTATATTCAACAAATAGTATTATTAAGGACTGATTAATGGCAAGGGAAAATGTGTAGTCATTCGGATTGGATGAAAAAAAACCAAGGTCCTGTGTACACATTGGCAGGCATTTAAAAGACCCCAGTAAGAGCATAACAGTAGGACGTTAAACCCCCTTTCATTTTATTTCCACTGATTAATGACAACAAGTTATTCTGGCTTACATAGATTCATTGCTAATTCAAGATCTTAATCCATTATGGAGACACAAATCTAGAAAGCTGTTTCAGACAGACAGACACTAAGAATAAAGAGCTGTTTGGTCTTCCATATAGAGAACCCTAGGTAATTATTTTCAGCGACAAATAAAGATGTAAAAAGACAAGAGGAATATCTATAAATAAAATCATATCTACCTTGGCTTTTTAAGAATTTTTTAACAGTTGAGAACTGTTCTTGGAAATCATTCTTAATTACAATCTGACTCCATCTTAACAAAATCTGTACAAAAAAACCCAAAACATTTAAATAGACAAAATATAAATAAAGATTCAATGAAGAAATTGCTTAGTGATGAAAAAACTAACACTATTAATAAAGACATGTGAGAGAGAGAGAGAAATGGGGTTTAACTCCACTCCACACAAACCTTGTCATTTCGGAACTAACATGGTTCAATCTTTATTTCAATAATTGGCTTGTGTGTAGGGGTCTTTAGCAGTGGGAGGAAACTGGAGGACCTGGAGAAAACCCACGAGGTTGGACAGGCAACCCTACTCCTTGCAACGTACAACTTGGGAATCGAAACCACACCAGTTGACTCAATAACAGACCTTTTAATACAACGCGCACATGCTAACCATTCGGCCATTCAACCCCCAGACATGTTCAAGGTTCTTTAATAAAATTAAATACCCCAAAATAGGAGAGAGAGAGAGAGAAATGGGGTTTAACGTCCACTCGACACAAAATAGGTCATTTCGGGACTAACATATGGTTTAATTTTATTTACATAATTCGCTTGCGCGTAGGGGTCTTTAGCAGGGGGGGGAAGCCGGAGGACCCAAATAAAACCCACGAGGTTGGACAGGCGACCCTACTCCTTGCCACGTACAACCCGGGATTCGAACCCCAAAATGAAATGGGGTTCAAGATCCTGAGAGCGAGAGAGAGAGACTAGCACATTTCGGGACAAACATATGGTATAATTTTATTTCACTAATTCACATGCACATACTGGTCTTTAGAAGTGGGAGGCTGGACAGTCGACCCTACTCCTTGTCACATACAACCTTGGGATCGAAACAACGTCACTTGACTCAATGACAGATCTTATGATCTAAAGAGCATGAGTTTACCATTTGACCACCCAACCCCTGTGTCAGCTATATAAACATTCTTACCTCAGCATTATGTGACTGGGGTATTGTAGGATAGGTATCAACTAGATTTTTTAACACAGACTGAGACAGCGAATCCCGTTCTAGTAATTTATCTAAAAAATGGAATATCTGATATGTTTTCCAATTTTCTATCTTTCTATCCACTTCCTACAAAAAACAAAAAAATGTAAACGTTATCCTTAGTGTTAAAAAGGACTGACAATTGAGACTGCGTTTATTATAGTTGAAATGGTACTTGAGAATTGAGAATATGAAATATAGGCGCCGATTCCAGCTACCAATGATGTAATACTTTAGTCCTTGCGACCATATTGGGGATGTTTACTCCATATCTGGGAAGGAAATTAACACCATGGTCAGTCTATGACTTACAGAAATTAGGGGGTTATAAAAGAGGCTGTTGAGCGAAATTCATCAGACCTCACCCAGATAATCCGATCTGCTGCTCAACGCTCATTGATGATTAAATAAAAAAATGGATAATCAAGACTATTTTTTTTATCGTACCGACTTTAGTAATGATGATCGAGGCTACGCCTAAAATTCAATCGCTAAATTCTCGGTTCAGAGTAGATCAATTTGACTGAAATTTTCAGCAAATTTCCCTTTACATTATCTAGTTTTTAACTACTAGTACTATATTGAGAACTGCCAACTCTTTATCTAATCTCCCATAATGTATCTTTAAGCTTGATGATGTTTGGATAGATATATTTGAAGAATTAGTTATACTTACAGCATTAGTTTCACCAGCTATAGCAGCAGCTAGTTGTTCAGCAGGATCTGTTAGTTGTTTACCAGGTGATAGATCAGGTACGTATGGTGGCCAGCCAGATTTATGTAACCACTGATCAAACTCAAACCCTGGTTTATTAGCTACATCCTGCTCCTTTAGATGTGGAAAATACTCATGGAAATATTCCAACATGTCTTCTGCTACTACACTCTGATAAAACAAAAGATAGCCAGGGAATCAAGAGAGAGAATTGGGGTTTAACGTCCACTTGACACAAACTAGGTCATTTCAGGACTAACATATGGTTCATTTTATTTCAATAATTTGCTTGTGTGTAGGGGTCTTTAGCAGGGGGAGGAAAGCGGAGGACCCAAAGAAAACCCACGTGGTTGGACAGGCGACCCTACTCCTTGTCCCGTACAACCGGGGATTCGAAACCACGCCAGTTGACACAACGACAGGCCTTATGATACAGCGCGCACATGCTAACTATTCGGCCATCCCCCCCCTTCCCCCCAAAAACAAAAGATAAGTTACCAGGCAATGAAACATACACCAAGAGCAGCTAGGTAACTTCCTCATACTATATGATATCATTACTACTACACTCTGATAAACAAAAGATAAGTTGCCAGGCAATGAAACATACACCAAGAGCAGCTCGGTAACTTCCTCATACTATAATAATATCATTGCTACTACACGCTGATAAACAAATGATAAGTTGCCAGGCAATGAAACACACACCCAGAATCTTCATACTCTATAATATCAATGGCACTTTGATTTTCATCAGATGCACCCAGATTATAACACGTCACAAATACAAATATATGGAATACAAGTTACTTAGATATTTATTTCTGGCGACATTTCTCTAGTCTATTGTGTCGATGCCTGCTTGTTTCAGAATTCATCTGATCTGGTTGGATGAACTGCTGTTGAAAGGTATACATGCTGATTCAAATTGGAGATGGATCCGTTCTTGTTGACATTGTGGTGAAGTTTCTGGATGCTATATTCAACGCTTGTGACATTTCTACATCAATGTTTTCTTTGTATATTTATTATTATTCAACCTGTATGACTCGTTAACACCTTTCATAATGTTTTCTTTGTATATTTATTATTATTCAACCTGTATGACTCGTTAACACCTTTCATACTGTGTATATATATATATATCTTCACTGTACTATCATTGTCATTAAGACGAGAGAACCCTCGTCAAAAGGATGCCAGAAATAAATGAAATAACGTCTTACTGTTCTGCTCTGACTGAGCTAATGAAGACTTGCTAACACCATGCAGAGTGCTATGCGGGAAAGTTTGCCAGGACAGCAGTGGTATGGCAAACTTTCCCTCATAGAACACTGCAGGACAGACTACTCTTATTTTGAATTTCAATTGTCAGGGGTTCTTTTATGTGCATGCCAATGTGTACACAGGACCTTGATTTTTCGTCCAGACTATATGTTGTCTCTTGCTAGGCCCTTTGTCCTACATCACTGACAAGGGGGAACCACGCCAGAAAATAAATCCCAATGAACTTTCTCGGCCAATGTAGGGATCGAGAACAGGGCATCAAGGTTAGCGAGCCAACATCCTACTCACTGAGCCACCGTGGCTCCCCACCAGAAATAAACATCTAAAGTAACTTGTATTCCATATAATTGCGTATTGTGCTATTCTATTAAGTTACTAAATGCCAAGTAAACAATTTACAGAGATTGTAGACCAACCTCTCCATCTTGGACTTTTCCATTAACTAACCTTGAACTTAAACTTGTTAACGTAGTTCTTGAGAAAGTCATCAAATTTCTGTACATCTCCTACTAAATGTTGTAGATAGCAGACGAAGGAAAAACCTTTCTCATATGGTGTTTCGTTATACGTATCATCAGGGTCCACTCCAGCTTCAATCACTACACATAATCTATTTAATGGATGGTCCTAAAATATACCATGAAAAGATGTTTTAAAGAAATGAAATTCTATCGGGTTTACATCCTACTGTTCTGCTACGACTGGGCTAATGAAGACGGTCATACGCCATACAGTGTGCTATGAGGAGCATTTTGCCCGGGCAGTGGGACTATGGCCTACTCGTATATCGAATTCCAACTGCCAAGGGATCTTTTACCTGCACACCAATGTATACACAGGACCCCGGTTTTTCGTCCCAAACGAACGACTAGACAGCTGTCTTTGTCAGCTATGGGGTTTACTGTCCTATGTTTCTGCAACAACCATGGTAATGAACACAGGTATATGGGGGAGTGAATGACCGAATGGGGTTTAACATCCACTTGACACAAACTAGGCCATTTAGCAGTGGGAGGAATCCGGAAGACACAGAGAAAACCGACATGGTTGAACAGGTGACCTTACTCCTTGTCACGTACAATCAAAACCACTGAAGCTGACTCAATGACAGACCTTATGATACAACGCCATTGCCATTCGGCCAACCATCCCAACCTCATAGGAAAGTACATGCATTAATTAATTTTGGAGTTGTTTAATTCTGTCAGAGGGACAGGAGAATGTCCTCCACGCTAGACACCTCCACTAACAAACGGAGTAAGAAACTATTTGTATCAATGTTGTCAAACATTTTCAATAATATAGATCATTTTTAGGGTGAAAGTCAAAAACCAACATATTTACTCCCAAACATTTAAAAATCACATGTGACAAGTTCTCTTAAGGTGGGTAAGGTTTTAAAAAAATCAAAAGCATACTTCTCCTGTGTCGTCCATATGTTGACGTAATAAAGCCAATCCACACTGCGTCTCTAGGCTCGTATACGCTTTACCAAATATCTCCTCCATTATACGTCTCTGGGCAAACATGGTGAAGCCCTGAAAAATTTCATTACTTGTTCAAATAAAAGTTTCTGTGCGTCATTTGCATTTTTCAGAAAACATCCAATTTTCATGGCTAAATTCACTCTAAAATGTATGCAGATTGATTCTTTACCATTTGCATTGTTTTGGAAAATATCAAATTGCCCATAACGGTACAGAATGCTGAATGTTTTGAAATTTTCAATTCATTATATCTTTGTAAATACTGAAATGAATTGAAACATCTTTGGACTGATATTACCTTTAGAGATTCAACATCTACAATATTGTAGTTTGCAAGGGATTCTGATATCCCCCAAATGACATTCACCAACTTTAAAGATACATCATGGGAGATAAGATAAAGAGCTGACAGTTCTCACTATAATAGTTAAAAACTAGATAGTGTAAAGGGAATTTGCTGAAAATTTCAGAAAAATTGATCCACTCTGAACCGAGAATTTATCGATTGAATTTTCGGCCTAACCTCGATCATCATTACTAAAGTCTGTACGATAAAAAACATAGTTTCAATTATCAGTTTCAATTATCCATTTCATGATCTAAACATGAATGAAAGTTGAGCAGCAAATCGGATCCTAATCCAGTAAATATCGCAGGCTAGCGATGACATTGAGAGTTGATTATGGTCTGGATAAGTTAATTAATGTCCAATTAATAATTTAGATAACATTTCAGGCCTCAAGAAAGACCTTCATTAGACAGATTTAGCTCTTGCATAATGTATGTTTAAGCATTTATAGGGTCAATTAGAATAAATAGATTTAATAAAATACCTCATTTAGCCAAAATTCACTCCAATTAGCATTGGTTACCAAGTTACCAAACCAGCTGTGACTCTAAAAGAAATAAATCAAGTTGCAAATTTAGTAGCGAAATATGGAAGTCCTAAATACCAAAGGGATTAGGTGGTCTAATGCACCACTGAGTCAAGTAGTGTGGTTTCAATCCTGGGCTGGCGGTTGGGGTTGGCCGAATGGTTAACATGTGCACGTTGGATCGAAAGGTCTGCTATTGTGACAAGGAGTAGGGTCACCTGTCCAACCTCATGGGTTTTCTCCGGGTCCTCCGGTTTCCTCCCACTGCTAAAGACCTGTACAATTGAACTATATGTTAGTCCCGAAATAACCTAGTTTAACGTCCTACTTTTTTGCACCGACTGGGCTAATAAAGATGCTATGCTGTGTACAAGGAGGGACATTTTGCCTGGACCGCGGCGATACGACCTACTCTTATATCGAATTCCAACTGTCAAGGGATCTTTTTCTCAGTCAGCGCCATATTCAAAGAGCCACCATGGCTCTCTCAACGCTTTTCCTTGCTAGAGGCCTTCATCCTGAACCACTGACAATTACAAGGGGTAACTAGATTGGATTAAAAACCTGCGACCTCCTGATTATCTAACCAGCTCCATATTCACCAAACCACCTTGGTTATCTGGAATCTAAGTGTTTCTTCGATGACTTACTATACGTCAATAATTTATCGCGGACCAATAAACATGGGGTAACAAAGGTCAAACATGGATTTTCCATTCCTCCGAATAGGAAACAACGTTGGAAAATCCATAGAAAATTTCTCAGCAAACATCGAGATCAATCCTGGAACCTCGATGTTATTCAATCAGCATCTTACTCACTGAGTCACCAGGGTTCCCAGGATTCGATGGGATACGTGACAGAACAAGCCAACAGTAAGGCTGATGTCCCCCGCCGAAATCCCCAAATAAATAGATGACACATATTAATTAATCACACATCTATTTTTTTCAAAAGTATCGAGCAATCCAACTGATTATCAACTATACACTAAGTTTCATCACTCTCTATCAGATAGAATCAAAGTTATCTTGTCCCAAAGCATCGACCAAGGAACTTGCTTATCTCTGCTTAGCTTTAGCTCGATATGTTAATCATTGAACTCAGTCAAGACGAACATCTACATCAAGTTTAAACATTCTATCTCAATTAGAAACAGAGTTGTTATGTTCCCAAGTCTTGACCAATCAAAATGCTTATTGCTCCTTAGCCTAAGCAGAAACTCTCATCATCGAACTTAGTCAAGGTATTGATGTAATGAAACTATAACACCAAGTTTCATCACTCTCACTTAATTAGAACTAAGGTTATTGTGTCCCAAAGCATCAACCAATCAAATTGGTTATCTCTACTTACCATAAGCAGAAAATGCTTATCTTCACACTCTATCATGGCATCGGCCTCATAAACACCTACACAAAGTTTGAACATTCTAGCCCAATTAGAAGGAGAGTTATTGTGTCCCAAAAAGTGTGACGGACAGACAGACGGATAGACAGACCGACAGACAGACAGACAGACAGACGGACGGACGAACCCATTTTAATAGTCCCCTGCTTTCTTCGAAAGGCGGGGGACAACTAAAGTTATAGTGTCCCAAAGCATCAACCAATCAAATTGTTTATCTACTTAATTAGAACTAAAGTTATAGTGTCCCAAAGCATCAACCAATCAAATTGTTTATCTCTGCTTACCCTAAGCGGAACGGACAGACAAACATCAAGGCATTGACCTAATCAACACATACACCAAGTTTGAACATTCTAGCTCAATTAGGAAGAGAGTTATCGTGCCCCAAAGTATCAACCAATCAAATTGCTTATCTCTGCTTACCCTAAGCGGAAAATGCTCATCTTCGAACTCCATCAAGGCATTGACCTAATAAACACATACACCAAGTTTGAACATTCTAGCTCAATTAGGAAGAGAGTTATTGTGTCCCAAAAAGTGTGACGGACAGACAGACTTACAGACAGACAGACGGACGAACCCATTTTAATAGTCCCCTGCTTTCTTCGAAAGGCGGGGGACAAATATCGAAGAAGACTTACTATTTCATGTATGACGACATCTGTCAGTGATTTATCTCCGACCAATAAACATGGGGTAACAAAGGTCAAACATGGATTCTCCATTCCTCCAAACGGGAAAGATGGTGGCATAATAAGTATGTCATATTTATCCCAGACATACGGGCCGAACAATCTTTCTCCGGTTGTTATAAATTCTTCTACAACACCATTAAACTCATTCTTAGCACTTTCCTAAAATTAAAAATAGAATCAAGTTTCCTAGGCAACTACAGTTCTACTCTAAGTTACATGTACATACGCTTTGCAACCTTCACACACAGGAAATAATGTGCACAAATTTTAGGTTATATATAAAAATGTTTCTGGTTCTCAAATATTCTGCTGCAAATGTTATATACAAGTCCAGTTTTATTAGGCATGGAAGCTAAGTTAAGCCTCAATTTCTTTAAAGGAGCTATATCTCTGTTCATTGGAAACTAGAAATGGACACAAATGGATTGCAAAGCATAGAATAATGTAATGTGAATGTAAATAAACTGATTTAAATTCAATCGTTTCTGTTTTTACTGTAATTTCCAATCAGTTATGTTCGGCGAAATACCCGAAGAGTCCAATAGTATTCTCCTGTGGGATATGTTTAGCCTCGTTCATCAATTCGCTTCATTACAAATGGCACTCAAAAGTATTCTGGCACGTAATTCGTGTGCCAATTTCAAAATTTTCATTTTGTCTTAAATATCTTTTCACGGTAAGATAATAACATCAATGTTGATTTAAATTGACAAATAATTTGTGTTTTTGAATGTTGAAGACTGTGGATAATATTGAGTTAGCAACTTGCCTCCCTTAAAACAATTTCAATTTTACATTTGTACAAACATTTTTGGTCACAGGAATAAAATTTGGATACCATACTCACAGCTAAAAAATTAAGAGGGACGTTATCGTAACCCTCATTTATATAGGTGTTATAAGTTTGTTTATTGGCACGACAGGTTAAACATACATTATGCAAGAGCAAAATCTGCCTATTGCAGGACTTTCTAAATTATTAATTAGACATTAATTAACCCATCCAGATCATAATCAACTCTCGATTAGAATACGATCTGCTGCTCAACGCTCATTGATAATTAAATCATAAAAATGGATAATCGAGACTATGTTTTTTATCGTACTGACTTTAGTGACGATGATTTAGGCTAGGCCTAAAATTCAATCGCTAAATTCTCGGTTCAGAGTGGAACAATTTTCAGCAAATTCCCTTTATATTATCTAGTTTTTAACTATTACAGCGAGAACTGCCAGCTCTTTATCTAATCTCCTACAATGTATCTTTAAAGAGTTCCACAAATTGTTTACATAAACTGTAAAGCCTATATGGAAATTAACTACTTTACTGTGATTGAAAACTATGGCACCTTCCTGATAACTATTCAAAGAAATATATTACCAAAACACTTGGTTCTGCCCATACTTTGCTACGAGGTCCAATATCTGCCGATTTTAGGTCTCCAACAGCTAGCGCCACCAAGTAGACTTGAACAGGTTGTTTTAAACTAAAGTAATATGTGTCTTTATCACCCGATAAATTTGCAATTTGACCGTTGCTACTCTCACTTGCACTCATAACAGGCGTAAAACCAGATGGAACCTGAAAACAGATTAGACCTATACATTAATACATGTATTTGAAATGAAACTGTGGACTAATGAAGAAAGATATAGGCTATATGTCATGCCTGGACAGCGGTGTATCCATCCACTATACGTCAGTGCATACCAACATGTACACTAGACCTTGGGTTTTCATCCCATCCCATTTCTTAAAAGGACCTCCATCCTGCAACACTGACAAATGGAAACCACACTGAAATATCCTGAGAGAGAGTGAGGGAGGGAGGGAGAGAGAGAGAGAGAGATTAACATCCACTTGATATAAACTAGACTATTTCGGGACTAACATATGGCTCAATTATATTTCATTAATTTGCTTGCATGTAGGGTCTTTAACAGTGGGAGGAAACCGGAGAACCTGGAGAAAACACACATCACTTGACTAACTGACAGATCTTTTGATACCACAGGCACCTGTTAACCATTCGGCCAACCACCACCCCCAACCTCCCTTAAGGAATACAGGGCCCTTATTCACGAAAACTTAAACTAAGATACAATCAAAATTTTAAGAAATACTGCAATTCGATTGGCTGACCAGTAAAATCAATTTGCATATATCCAATTTGCATATTGGTCAGCCAATCGAATTGCAGTATTTCTTAAAATTTCGATTGTATCTTAGTTTAAGTTTTCGTGAATAAGGGCCCAGGGATTGAACCCGAGACCTCTTTCTTAGCGAGCCAAATAAATTACTCATTTGAGGTACATGTACTTAGTAATTGGATAGAGCAATAAACTATAATACATACTTATGGAAAAACATGTACAAGCAATCGACATTTACATTTAGCAATTGAATAAGTGACCTTGACATTAGTTGTATAAATTATAACACATACTTATGGAAGAATGAGTACAAGCATTCTACATTTAAGTTTAGCAATTGAATAACTGACCTTGACATTAGCTGTATATGGTGCTTTAACTGCTGGGGTATCTTGACATGGAAAGAATGAACGATTACATGCTGCTTGTCCTTGTGTATACATATAAGGTAACTTTTTACCTGGTAACAAAAAAAAAATCTTTGTGTATACATATAGGGTAACTCTTTACAAAGTAATAATAAAAAAATATATGTATAATATTATGTACAATGCGTTTTATTCACACAACTAAGGGTTATGCCCAAAGTGGTCTATAGGATACTCCCTTCACCCCCTGAGATTTTTAAGGACCACCATCTTACCAGTATATGGTGGCTGATTGGTATCATGTCGTAATGTCGTGATGTCGCCTTTCATAACGCGACAACCTGACATCACGACATTTCTACCCGACATCACAACATTTCTACCCGACATCACGACATTTTTACCCGACATTACGACACTAAAAATGTTGGGTTGTCGTGATGTCGTGATTTCGACTTTCATGATCAATGTTATAAACGGCCACGATGATATTCATAACAAAAAACTGGCAATTAAGAAAATGCTTGATCAAGTGGAAGTCGATTCACACTCACATTGCAGTTTGAGTTGCATTCGTATCCATTTGTATACGTCCACATTCATAATTTGAACCGTCTTCATTAGCTCAGTCGGAGCAGAACAGTAGGACGTTAAACCCCATTTCATTTCATAATGTGAACATATTATGAAGCCGCCCTTGTCTGTGTGTCTGTCATTGAGTCAAGTGGTGTGGTTTCCAGCCCAAGCTTGTACATGACAAAGAGTAGGGTCTTCTGTCTAACCTCGTGGGTTTTCTCCGGGTCCTCCGGTTTCCTCCCACTGCTGAAGACCCCTACGCGCAAGCGAATTATTGAAATAAAATTGAACCATATGTTAGTCCAGAATCTCTCTCTCTCCCTCCCTCCCCCTCTCTCTCTCCCCCTCTCTCTCTCTCTCTCTCCCCCTCCCTCTCTCTCTATCTGTGGGTGGTGTGTGGGTGCGTGTGTAAGGGGGTGGGGGGTTTAGCTGAGACTTCCTTAGAGTATTTTTACTAAAGGTCTGTCATCAGAAAAACAAACTCCAGGTAATATAGGACCCAGTTGAACTTAAAATAAATCCTAGGGAAAACCTCTCTATAATTTATGGTATACGTGAGCTTTTCACGTGGACACAAAATAAATTGATTGTTCAACTGAAGAAAGAATCGTAACATTAAATAGATTATTTATGGTATACGTGAGCTTTTCACGTGGACACAAAATAAATTGATTGTTCAACTGAAGAAAGAATCGTAGCATTAAATAGATTGATTGTTCAACTAAAGAAAGTATCGTAACATTAATAAATACATGGAGACGTTTTATTGTGTAATCATCAATAGATATATTATTATCAATATAAATCTACACGTCAGAAATTAAAATACTTTACCTGAGCAATAAGGCTTCACCCTAAACACAGAATTGAACCCAATAAAATGTTCTCAAAAACGCAATCTGACTTCTGAGATGGTAATGTGTTCTCCATGATTTTCATGTAACTCATGCTGCACGTGCTGTTCGCCGGGGCCAGCCCTATAAAATGCACCCCTATACCTGGTTGAATCATTCACACTACAACTTATAAAGCAGCATGCCACAATTCACGACAGCTCTGAGGAACCAGGCGCTTGGAAGACTCGACGCTGGCCACACTGCCCAAGCCGTTGCCAATCACTTCCAGGTCAATATTCGGATCATCTACAGGCTTCAACAACGCTTTCGGCCACCGACACAGCGAATGATCGCCCCGGAATTGGTAGACCAAGGGTTACCACAAAGCGACAAGACCGCCATGTTGTGCGACAGCACGTGCAGAATCACTTCACACAGGCATCAGAGACAGCACGTCAGACAGTGGGGATACACGGAAGACCCATCAGTACCGATGCAGTGCGCCGACGTCTCACCAGAGAGAACATCCATTGCCGTAGACCTTACCGTGGACCGATCCTCACCCCTCGCCATGGACGTGAATGCTATAGTTTGCCCAACAACACCAGACCTGGCGACACAGGCAATGAAAAACTGTTCTGTTCACAGATGAGAGTCGGTATTGCGTATCAACTGCAGATGGTTATATAGGGGAACAGGTAATAATAGTGATAAAGTCTACATAGTCACGTGTTAGAGTTGGATATTAGAATTTACATCCCGCTTCTACTCGTTGCCACTGGCAACCTTTGATAAAACTGTCCTGTTTAATTGCAATACATGCTTAAAAGTATCCGTGTATCAGAAATGTACAGAAAGAGTACTGTTCATTTCTGATACACGGATACTTTTATACCGTTTTAGATATCTATCAAGCAATAAGTAGCGGACGTTTAGTCCGACCCAGATCGCAATTGATAACGAGGCTCTAACCAATGTACATGAAACAACTAGTCAAAATCATAGTAACAAAACAAAATGGGGGGGAACTACATGGCAGTTCAAAAACATATACAATGACATTAAATTAACATAACAACATATTACAAAAATCAATTATTATACATATCAATTGGCATCTATTTCATAATTTGGTTTGATTTATATTAATATGCAAAATATATAAATTAGAATATTGAATAATTATTTTAATTAATTGTGATGATAGAAGGCGCAGTTCTCTTGCTGGACACTTCACAGGCATTGAAAATAAGCAGGATGAAAAAAAAACGCCTAGAAAGTCATAAACTTTATTACAAATAAATTTCAACGGAAGAACCATCCGCCGATGCATACTTTCACCAGGAATGACCCACGTTTCGCATTTCCTTTACACTACATTTAATAATATCGCAGTCCTCTACGCCATAGACAAGTTGTTTTGACGATGTGGTCTAAACAAACACGTGATTGTTTTACGCTCAGAGTATCATAGCAAGACGCACGTGTAAATACTACTCAGGTCGTCTCTCCACTGCGAAATCATTCTACCATGAAATGTAACGTGAGGCTCAGAAAGGGATAAATAATGAAAGAACAGAAAGTATTTGTCACTTTTCGGTTGAAACGACTCGATAATAAATACTATTTTTCACATTTTGCTTCACAATACTCGATAGAAATGTGATGTAAGTAACTTATTAGCACCTTTCCTCGGTGTATTGGTGAATATCAGGACAGTTTTGGTCGGGAGCCGCCTCGGCTGGGCCCCTCGACCAAAACTGTCCTGATATTCACCGATACACCTCGGAAAGTGTGCTAATAACTACTACATACAGTTGCTATGTTTAAAGATACATTCCCATGAAAATATTTACAGGGTAGTTATCGCTCCCAAAAGTTTGGTATATATGCAAGTAAACCCATCCAATCTGACTAGAAAAATACTGGATTCCATGATAACACCTATGGGAATCACGTGACAAGCATGTGACGGTATAGCCCTAGAAGGCAGCATGTAACGTCCAGTAGATTTTGTAAATAAACAACGGAAATAGAAGTTGGGAGAGGACAATTCAGGAATTTAGTAAGGCTTCGGTATGTATGGTAAATTGGCAGCCACTAAACGTAAATACGGGCTGTTAATGGATTGCCCCTCAACCAAGTCATGTTATAAACATGGCTGATTCCTGTTGTCATGGAGTAGTTGTCTTAGCAAACTTTTGATACAGAAATTAGTTTGAATATGTTTTTAGTTCAAGTATGTTACACAGTTTGTACGAGGTGGAAGTACCTTTAATAGTTATATATTATCAAATTACACAGTTTGTACGAGAGTAAGTCCCTTTAATAGTTACACTATAACCCATTGATATTAAATATGGGGAATACCCTTAACATACAGATAAACCGGTTTGACCAGTTTATGACTATAGGTATATTGTAACCAGAGGCGGTGTCACACCTATATCTTTGTTAATATTTGTGTCTGACAAAGCGAAAACCCGACATCACAACAACCTGACATTTTTACCCGACACCACGACATTTTTACCCGACATTTTGACATTTTTAGTGTCGTAATGTTGGGTAAAAATGTCGGGTTGTCGTGATGTCGGGTAGAAATGTTGTGATGTCGCGTTATGAAAGGTGGCATCATGACATTACCACATGATTTTGGTGCATGAACGAGCCCGACCACCAGAGGCGGTGTCACACCCATATCTTTGTTAATAATTGTGTCTGACAAAGCGACAACCCGACATCACGACAACCCAACATATTTACCCGACATTTTTACCTGACATTACGACATCTTTAGTGCCGTGATGTCGGGTAAAAATGTCGTGATGTCGGGTAAAAATGTCATGGTGTCCGGTTGTCGTGTAGAAATGTTGTGATGTCAGGTTGTCGCGTTATGAAAGGCGACATCACGACATTACGACATGATACCAATCAGCCACCATACCAGTACCCATTTACAGCTGGGTGAACCGGAATATGGGGTATGAAATGTCTTATTCAAGAAAACAAAAATTTAATGTACAATTTGTATCTTGAACCTGTAGCCATGTTGTCACAAATTCTTCTGTTGCAGCGAGTTCTTGGCGTGCGATGTGCGGAACTGTGGGTAACCTACTAGAAACATCAATGCTGATTGGTTAATCAAATGTCTGTCGTCATAGGATCAAAAGCCACTTGTATGACCTCTGACGCAACCTCGCACTACCATAGGCGTACGGGCTCGATGACAGTTTTCGGGTTTACAGAGAGCGCCGGTCTTCCTTGAAGAGGCGAAGAGAGCGGAGCTTACCTTGCACCCCCAGCCCACCCAACCTCCCTACCCTCCCACACCCCCCTCAAAAGAAAATTTTGGAATATTTGACGGCTGCAAACACGTTTTCCTGCTATTTCAGCCCGTGAACAAAGTAACTTCAAAGTGGTCTAATATAGCCTTGTTAAGGTGGCTGACTCGAATTCCAATCAATCGTTTACAGTCCACGAAGACGGGACCGCAAACGCGTTTTCCTGCTATTCGAGCCTGTGAATACAGCAACTTTAATTTGGTCCAATATGGGCTACCTGGCTGACCGGAATTCCAAACAACCAATCAATCGTCGCTGGGTTCGGGGTTATACCCTCCCGGAGAAAATTTTGAAAATTTAATCGCCACAAATGCGTTTTCTAGCCTGTGTAAACTCCAAAAGTATCCAATGGTTTTGTAACCGAAATCTCACTCTTAATTCCAACCATCCAATCAGACTGTTGCAGCTGCATTCACAACTAATAATCGATGATCGAAAAATGTCGCACAAAGTAGAGTGGCTCCAGGCAACATTTTTTAATCCATAGTCAACTCAGTACAAATTCGTGGTATTCAATTAAAAGAAAAGTAAAATTAGTGTTATATTAAGGCTCGATAACAGTAAGGGAAGCAAAACTAGAAATGCCCGAAAATATTTCGGGTTTACAGACAGCGGCGTCGGTTTCTTTGAGAGGCGAAGAAGCGGAACTGACCTTGTATGGACCCCCCAAAGAAAATTTTGGAATATTTGACAGCTGCAAACGCGTTTTCCTGCTATTCCAGCCCGTAAAATTAATCTTTTATTAGATTTCGGGCACTTTATTTTGCCAAGTAGATGAAGAAATTTTTTTTTCACTTTACCCGTCTGCCCGAAAAGTCAGCTTGCCCAGAAGTTATGGGGGCAGCTGCCCCCCCCCCCTTTGCCCACTACAACTGGTCAGATCTTCATGTAGTGTAGGCCATCGAAAGTATAAAAAACGAAATGAAATATAGATCTGTATTATAATCAGATTGTGAGAGTTTACGAAAGTGAAATCAAGTTATATGTACCTGCCGTTTGTTCGGGGTTTAACCAACAGATTCCGGTGCCACCAGTAGCAGTAAAATTAATATATACATCGAAATTTGATACATCAATTGGAGCTGTGGATAACTAGAAAAAATGACATATAAATATTTACACAAGTACATCTAAGTTTATTTTAGAATCCTCCACAGAAAGCATGTGCAATGGGTCTAACTGTTTCCTTGCATCCAGTGGCGATGAAACCCATGATGGCACCTATTCTCCACTGAGTTGATGTCCAACACTCATCCAATGAGCTATTGCACAACCCAATGTTTAGAGATAGATTTAAAATGACATGAAATCGTGTTTAACATCCTAATGTTCTGCTCCGACTGAGCTGACTGAGCTAACAAAGACGGACAGCAGTGCTAGGCCTACTCTTATGATGAAATCCAACTGCTAAGGGATCTTTTTCAGGCACGCAAATGTGTACATGGTCCCCCAGTTTTTCGTCCCATCCGAACGGTTATACGTTGTCAATAGCATGAAAAGCCTCTGTGACATTTGCGGATACCATTACCTGGATTTCTAATGTAGAACCATAATCTGTAAATGGTTTAACTTGAAATTTTAAAGCATGTCCATTCTTTCCTAGTGTTACACTCTCCACTGTCAATGTCTCGTGAATGTCTAATATAACTGTAAATAAAATTCAAGTTTTAATTCAAGTTACATGTTTTAAAATATTTCCTTATCAATGAACGGTTTCAGTCATGGAATATTTATAACCTTTGTGATTTCTAATTGTAGATAATAGTTTAGTCTTATTGTAAAATTGGGTATCTATCTGCCTCTAGATTGGGTTTAGGCCCATCTATTGACCTCACCGGTGATGGCCAAGTATTGGTAAGGCTTGATGGGTCAAGGGGTGTTTTCCCTGTACAGCTAAGTCTATCTTCAGTATATCTGAGTATAGATAAAAGGGTACTCATCAACCAATGGTCTGATACTGTCTGATCAATCTAAGTCAACTTCTGATTTCTGTCTTATGTCTGTCTTCTAAATCACCACAACAATTCTTGTCCAACACAGCTGGGTTGCATCATTCAAATCGCAACAGGATATAGAAAAGTGAGAGAGGACATGTGAATATCAAACTGGCCTTTTATCTCTTATTCAATGCACATGCATTGGACCAGCCCACTATTAAACCTGGCCCAGTCTATTATAGACATAAGGTAGACTAGGCAATTCTACAACAGTCTACATGAAAATGCAAATAATAGTTTAAAATGTAACAAAATAAATATGATGATATAATAAAATGATGAAATCAAAAAATAAAAAGTATCTTGTTGGGCATTGTTGGCTGATCTGACTACTACCCTAACCCATAATCCACATACAAACGTACGTAAGACTAAAAGGGGGAAATGGAAAAAGTAGTCAGATCAACCAACAGCGCAAATTATTGAAATTATATAGGCTTCTACATCTCACTAATATAAATAATATATATAAATTTCTTGGAGACCAGAATTAACATTAAAGTCAATGGTGAAATCATTGGTGACCTGTGGCCATATATATTAGGCCTATCTATAATTATAGTACTAGTAGTAGTTTACCTTCCTGGGTGGTTTGTACAACAGAACAAGTCAAAACTTCAACACCTCTAATCTCTCTTTTATCAAAATCAACATGGAAGTCAAAGTGATATTTAGAGACTTTGATTTTCCTGAAGTTTGATGAAGACGCTACATCCACGGCGGAATCAGAATGGAGACTCATCTTCAGCACCTCTTTCCCTGCGAGACCAAGGAAACTGAAACTGCAAGTAGACAAAAGTGGGCGTATCTAAATTATTTCCTATTCACTCGGTAAACCCATGGACCTTATTCAGAGATTCATTCCAACCATGGATCGTATACCCGTAATGAAATTAGATTTTAATGGTCTTTGTATCCTCAATTATATGATTTTGAACACGCCATATAAAAATATTAAACGATAAAATCAAATTCTTTCTATCAAAGACTCATAAGCTTTCCAGAATTAACATTCCTTCTTCCGATTAGTAGCAAAGCTTTCACCCTTATCTCAGTCGTTGGTTATTTTGAAATTAACTAAGTTGTCCGAATGATAATTTGAGTTTTCTCCCTTACACCACTAATCTTTCCCAAAGACAAAAAAAAAAAAAAAAAAAAAAAAAACGCCCCTTCATATCCCATGATATCAAATACGTCATAATTTATATCAATATAATAAGGACTGTATGTGCGAAGGCAGCAGTTCCCACCAGACTACCACTGCAGCAACAAAAAAAAAAGGTTAAATAAACACTCGAAATAGATATAATCTCCGCGAGCTCCTATAACTACTAAACTGGGGGTAAAAGTAAAAGTAACATAGTTTTGCCGTAAACAATTTTACATCAAATAGCCTACTATAGATTACATACCAATATTTTGTCTACTACAGTGCATGTCTACAAATTAACAAAAATAGTCGAAAACGAAAGATTGTCGTAAAAAAGTTTGAAAAAAAAAAAAAAATATGTCATATTATTAGTCAATAATATTTTCCCGCCAAAAATAATTGATCTCGTTTTTCAATGTCTAAATTGTATTTGTAAAAAAGTCTTAAATGATTTTATCATGTTCTCATGAAGATCAATAAGTTCAACAAAACAAATTACCAAACAGTTTCGAATATTATAACCAACAGACAGTTTCTGAGACGACGGTTTGTTAATGAATGAATGAATGAAAGCGTAACACGTGTATTTGTTTACATCGAGACTAGCGGCCTCTACTGGTAGGCCACGTGTACATAGCCTCGTATTCATATTATTGTAAACATGGCTTTCTCGGTAAAAATTTTATCGAAACGATGGATCTATGTGACGTCTTTTATAATTGGAGTTTTTGTTTGGAATTTTGTAAATGTAGAAAGCCATTCGCATGATCATGGACATGCACACGATCATGGACATGCCCACGACGAACCGGCGTCATTTAAATACAGCAGACAAGCCAACGACCAGCAGGCGAAACAAGAAGACAGTCACTCCCACGATCATGGTCACGCACATGGTGGACACGGTCATGCACATGGTGGACACGGTCATGCACATGATCATGGACATGCACATGGAGGACATGGGCATGCACATGGAGGACACGGTCATGCACATGATCATGGACACACACATGGGGGACATGGGCATGCACACGATCATGGTCATGGACATAAAGAGGAACCCTATGTTCACCAGGATGATGGCACTGGCAGAGATTTTGCAGAAAAATATTTAGGTGCCACACCAAATAAGCCCACAGGTACATCCAAGACAATGATGTTATGGATAGAAGCTTTGGGAGCAACAGCCATTATTAGTGTTTCACCTGTATTTATCTTACTCTTCATTCCATTAGACAATACCTCCGAACATCAACCATTGCTCAAAGTCTTGTTAAGTTTCGCTTCAGGTGGATTACTCGGAGATGCTTTTCTCCACTTGATTCCTCATGCCACTAACCCACATTCCCATGGTGGAGAGGGTGAGGAGGGTCACGGACATTCCCATTCACACGGACACAGTCATGGTGGTGAAGGAGGTGGTCATGGACACGACATGACCGTTGGATTGTGGGTGCTTAGTGGAATTATTGCCTTCTTAATTGTTGAAAAGACAGTGCGTTATCTAAAGGGAGGTCACTCTCACAGTCATTCACATAGTGCACCTGCTAGTAAAAAGTCTGACAAACCTGCTGAAGGAGATAAGAAAACACAAAAAAAGAAAGCAAAAGTTAGTGATGATGAAGATGATAAAAAAGGTGGAGATGCCCAGGAAGAAAAGAAAGATAAAGAAGATGAAAAAGACAGCAAAAAGGATGCCACTAAAAAAGATGAAAAAGAGACCAAAAAAGATGAAGAAGGCAGTAAAAATGAAAAAGAAACAAAAAAAGATGAAAAAGAATCCAAGAAAGATGGCTCAACATCGAAAGATAAATCCGGTTTGTTTATATTTGTTCTTGATCTTTTTGATTAATTGTTTGTCCCCGGCCTTTTGACTTTAGTGAGAGTGATGAAACTTAGTGTATAGTTTCTAATCCCATTTGGAATTCAGTTCCGGAGATTTTTTATTTTGTCCTCCACTAAATCCCATTGCAATCCTTAATAAAAACATTCAGAAAACCTTCGGGAACTACTCCGACAAAACATGGTTCAGGTACACATTAGTACACATTGATATTCAGTGAAGAATAGAGAGAGAGAGAGAAATGGGGGTTTAATGTCCACTTGACACAAACCAGATCATTTTGGGACTAACATGTTGTTCAATTTTATTTAATTAATTCGCTAGCGCGTAGTTGTCTTTAGCAGTTGGAGGAAACCGGAGGACCCATAGAAAACCCACAAGGTTAGGCAGGCGACCTTATTCCTTGTCATCGAAACCACGCCAGAATAGGGTTTTACTGTTACGTCTCATAGTGACCAAAGTATTGTGTTGATGGGGTATTAACCCCATTTTATAACCACGCCATAACAATGGGCCCATAACTTTTGAATTGATCAATGTTTTTTTTGTTTTTTGTTTTTTTTCTCGTATTTTCAGTGACTCCAGCAATCTGATTTAATTTTGTTTTACTTGTCTTTAGTACTCTAGGATCTGAAAAGGTTGTTATATAACCCACGTTCTGGTTGATGTGAGGGATTAGTCAATGAAACAGTCTGTTAGAGTGAAATATAGATCTGTATTTTAATCAATGACTCCAGCTCCAGATGATTGAGATATTAATTGGTCGATGTCTTTTTTTTGTATTTACAGTGACTCCAGCACCAGAACCAGAACCAGAAATAAAAGTGGCAGGCTATTTAAACTTAGCAGCAGACTTTGCTCATAATTTTACGGATGGATTAGCCATTGGTGCCTCGTTTATAGTCGGACGTAATGTAGGAATTATCACTACTATTACCATATTTCTTCACGAAATTCCACATGAAATTGGAGATTTTGCTATTCTAGTTCAATCAGGCTGTACTAAAAGAAAAGTAAGTACTGTATTAGGAATAACATCCTGAGTCCATAATTACCCAAAAGTTTCCATTAACTGGGACCTGGGTAATGTTAGGTTCCCTCCCACCATTGTGCGATGCTTTACAATAGGACTGTCCCTATTGAGTCCTCGATCTGTTACGTTTCGATACAGTCAACACGATTGCTACAACGGACCTCAATATGCAATAAGACTTGATAGGATCACCACATTTACTTTACAATTAATAAATTAGCTCGAATTGTGATAGTGAGAACCTAGCATTACTTATTACAGATTAAGGAATAACAAGAAGACTCGGCAATAAGTACCAAAATGTAAAATTTGTTTCCAAAAATTATTTAATCTGTAAAATTTATAAAGGTGGAACTAATATAGTACTTAGTAGTTTGATATGTGTACAAGGCTTTATGAAGATATGCTCCAGACAAAAAGACAGATGGATGAACAGAACCGATTTTGATACCTCTCCCTTCATTCGGCATGAAATAATAGAAAAGCCATCATACAGCCTTTAGTTGTGGTGTTCTCTTTTACTGCACATTAAGGAGCCCTGAAAAAAATCAAAATGAGAGTAGTCCCGCTGTCCAGGCACTTTAAACCCCATTTCATGTAATTTAATTTTGATTTACAAGAACGTCACTATAACAGATGCATGCTGACACCTTTCTTATATCATATTTTGCTTATTACAGGCCATGATGTTACAATTTTCTACAGCAATAGGTGCTATGTTGGGTACAGTGTGCAGTTTGATGGCCGAAGGAGCAGGGGATGCGGCTATAGCCTGGATTCTCCCCTTCACAGCAGGAGGATTTATTTATATAGCTACAGTTTCTGTTATTCCTGAATTATTAGAAGACAGTAAATTCGGACAGTCTTGTAAAGAAATAGTAGCCTTATTACTAGGTGTTTATATGATGGTGCTTATAGCCGAATACGAATAAGCATTTCAAATCTAGATACAATTATTACTGTTACTACAGATTAAATATTGTAAATGGAATATTCAGATTTATTAAAGGGACAGTCCCAGAGATTCCAAAGGGCACCGTAAATAAAAATAGGTTTAAGTTTGTAATTTAAATGTCAAAATATGACGATATGGCCTATTTATACTACTGTACCTTGTCTGATAATTTTAAATCAAAATATTGAGACATGGTTACATAACTTATTTTAGTAATTTCAATCTTCGGTTGTACATGTATGAGTGACTGGATAATAGTGTTGATCTCTTACCACTGTACATTAGTAAGTACTTGGTTATCCAGATTCTTACACAGTGTAAATATTTGAAGGAACTTATGCCCAGCTTCACATGGAAACTGAAAGTTGGTATTTCTTTGAAAATGTATCACAGGGCTTCCGATACTTGCAAAGGTCTTGTTAGGTTTGTGAATCCCTACAATCTCTAACATATATCTGGGACTGCTTCTTTAAGAATATTCATGTCAGATTTATTGTGAATATTCATATTATATATTTTTGATGCCAGAAAATAGAAAGAAGTGGTGTATAATTTATTTGAATGAATGAGGGTGTAAAACATTCTTCAAGTCTTGCCTACTATTAGTCACCTGTAATTAAAATTTTAAGTTGTTACAGAGACATTTGTATTTCTGCAAAATAACATAATGAAGGAAACATCTAGTCATATGTTATAACTGTTCAGGGCAGTGGTTCTCAACCTTTTCTTAGCTAACACCTTGGAACACATGGAAACATGTATTGATGTATATGAAAAATATTTGAATTTTGCAAAATAAAAACATGGCAAGTCATAGACGGCATACAACCGTAGACACAGACTAGTCATAGACACATAGAATGATTCAAACTAAATAAAGAACAACACAGCTATGAACTTATCAGTAGACACCAGTGGATACTCAATTGGGATCACATGGTTTTTCGCATTTTCTTAGTGTGCTGTTCAAAATTTCGCGGCACACTTAGGAAGATCTCGCAGCACACAGGTGTGCCGCGGCCCACTGTTTGAGGATCACTGGTTTAGGGTAACTGTTGCACTCGAGGTTGAAATTTGCTTCTGTTTCTTTCAAGGCTCTTAATTCAATCTTATTTGCCGGTCTTGACTGAGTGGCAGAGAAATTGACCAGCTGGAGAACTTAAATGTCAGTCAATTTACATTCCCTAAAATAAGAATATCTAAGAATTTACCATAAACTACAATAAATACAGTTAAATTTATAGCCTTTGAGTGCTTCCACTTACAAATTGTTGACAATGTGAGGTAATTTTGCAAATAAAATTTCATATATCATGTTTTTATTTATGTCGTGGTATCTATACCATGATGTATGTAAATAAATTATATATTGGACTAATTATTTATTATTGAAATATTTCTTTTTCGCTATTGAAAGAGCTCTTATTATTGAAATTAATTAAAGATAAAGAGTTGAAATGGTCATAGAAAGATCTGTTAGGCATAGTCAACAGTGTTGACTCAACACATATTGATAACGGTATTAATTTCTATATACACGTATTCATAAATATTCACATTGATGCTCAAAATGTTTTCATGAAATATTTACACGGAAGTTGAATAAATTATTGGTGAATGTAAGTTAGTAAGAAGGATTATGTCAGTCGAATGTGGTATTAAGAGTTACTGTTTGTTCTAAACTTTATAGTGTCATATTAAAGCTGCTGATAGTTATTTGCATTTTTCGAACAATGTATAATTTGAATCAATATCAGATAATCTCCCAGCTTGCATTTATTTGGATTTGGGGGTGGGGGGGGATGACATTGAGTCAACTGGCATGGTTTTGATTCACTGGTTGTACGTGTCCAACCTTGTGGGTTTCTCCAGGTCCTCTGGTTTCCTCCCACAGCTAAAGACCCCTACGCGCAAGTGAATTATTGAAATAAAATTGAACCATTGGTTAGTCCCGAAATGACCTAATTTGTGTTGATTGGATGTTAAAACCCCATTTCTCTCACTTCCTCTAATTTGGATTAAAATGAGGTACATCAAAAGATTTTACACAACATTTAAAGGTTGCATTGGTTTCTTTATATTGTATGCAGAAATGGCCAATGTTGTGAAATTTTCAATTCATTATTTCTTTATAAACAATGAACGGAATTGAATCTTTTTTGGACTTGGCCAATATTGTTGTTCACAAAGATCCAAAATTCCACAAATGACAATCTTTAGGACCCAAGTTTTCCACAGACCGGAAAAATATTCCAGTTGTCCATGTTATGCCTTGTAAGAGGTAGCGAATGTAGTAATGATTTTTGTGTTAGAATCTCTACTTCCAAACTGGTGATGGTTGCTTAGCTACAGCTGGTTCATTTTTAGAATGTTTAAAAAAAAGAAAGGCTTTATTCCAAACGGAAATAAAAAAGACTCACCTCCAATCCAGAAGTTATCAGATAAAATTAATTATTCATTCCCTTTTGCTCATTAAATGTCCTGACAGTGGTTCATTGACGGTGCTGCGGAAATAAATGTCCTTCATAGCACACACTGTGACATATCCTTGTCTTTAATAGTTTAAATGATGGTGTAGAAAACCCCAGATCATTTCATTTTAATGTTCAGGGGCCTGTTTCACGAAATTTTAACTAAGATAAAATCCAAATTTTAGTAATTTGATTGGATAATATTAGATTGATATTAGTGCTTAGCAAATCAAAATTGAAGTATCTACTAAAATTTGGATTTTATCTTTAGTTAAAATTTCGTGAAACAGGGCCCTGATGTGGTATTACAAATTGCAAAGAAAGGCTTTCTTCCAAACGAAAATGGAACGGTTTAATTTACAGATCTATTCCTTTCTCTTCTCTTCTTTGACATAAAGATCTTCTGAAAATGAACACCGTAATTTAAGTCTTATCTGCTATTTTATAGAAGATCTTCTGTGACATGTAAAATGAACTAGCTGTAAGGCCAAACCAATCTGAATTTTAGTTCTTTGGGTAAGACGTTGGCTCGCTAACATGGAGGTTCTGTTTGATACCTGCATTGGTCGAGAAAGCGCATCAGGATTTGCCGGTGAGGTTTCTCCTTGTCAGTGGCGCAGGACAGAGGGTCTGGCAAGGGACAATGTATAGTCCCAAGGTCCTGTGTACATAAAAAGCTCCCTCTGCAGAAGGCCATAGTGCCGCTGTCCGGGCAAATTTCTCTCCTAGCACACTGCATGGCGTATACCAATTTCCATTAGCCCAGTCAGAGCAGAACAGTACGACGTTAAACCCCATTTCATTTCATCTTTGGGAACACCTATTCAAATTTTGCTTCCTGTTGTTTCGTGAAATTAAGCAAAGATAATTGGTTGCTCTTCTGAAAGGCTTGTAGTTCCAAATTTTGGAGTTTGGAAATATTAAACAAAACATCATACACAAATCTTGAGTGCCCATTTATAGAAGTATCAAGAACTTGAACAACTAAAATTTCAATTGGTTTGGCCCAAGTGTTAAAGATTTGTTAGTTAAGATAAATATTAATAAATATTAAAATATTAATAAATATATATGTATGTTTGTGTACTTCCTTGTTACTATTGGTTACAGGTTAGTAATTATCACCGTTCTCTGTGAGTAGTCGTAACTTTACATCAATAAACAATCCATGACGTCATTTTAGTTCTTATGCTCATATTTCTATGTGCAGAAGGACTCAAATGACGTCATGGATTATTTATTGATGGAAAGTTATGATTACCCACAGAGAACGGCAGAAATTAGTAACATTGAAATTTACCTGTTGCAGGTTATATTGACATTCGGGTTCGTGTTATACTTATGGAAAGGATATGTTGGCATAATTACTTGCATTATTCATAAAGCTTTTCCGGTGACCTTTAATTCAAACATTAATGTATGTACCCATACTTTTCATTTGAAGCTAGCCATGTCCAAAGTTCCTGGAGTCAATTTTTCCCCTTTTCTGATTGATGCTAAGATACAATTGTTATTGGGGGCTCGGGTGGCCGAATGGTTAAGTCATGTCTGATGGCTCATATGATCTGTCATTGATACGATTCCCTGCTTACAGTCAATGACAAGGAGTAGGGTAGTCTGTACACCCTCATGGAGTTTTCTCCAGGTACTCCCAGAGCTAAAGACCCCCTACGCGCAAGCAAATTATTGAAATAAAATTGAACCATATGTTAGTCATGAATTACATAGTTTGTGTCGAGTGGATGTCAAAAACCATTTCTCTCTCACATTTGTTTCTGTTCAGGTATTATTATCCAGAAACATATTCCACATCACAGATTTCACAGAAAATGTTCTGAAAAAGACCCACTCCCCAACCCTGCTCTTCTACTAGGAATTTAGAAAATTCTGGCACCGCCACTGATGTAATGTAACCAACAAAATACTGGTTGTTATAAATGAAATAAAGATCTCATTGTAGGTAGATTTTAAGCTTCAGACAACCATTTGGTCAACAACAGCACAAAAAAAAGCCAACCATCTTGTTTCAATAATCTTTTATGTCTATACATAATAAATTACTACAATTAGATTCATTCACATATCTAAATTCAAATAAAAAATTGAAGATAAATCAATTTGGGATTTTCTTGATAAATTCCCTGTGTCATTAGTCATTTATTAGGCAAATAATAGATATTCTTAAAGGGGAACTCCAACCTATTTGCAGATTTTAAAATTTTGTATTTCTAACCCGATATTATCATTTGGTACATGTATATACTGACTTCCCATTTCCTTAAAGAAGATTTTTGAGAAAAGTGATGCCTGTGTATCCATGGACAGACCAAACAACTGTTCATTAGACTGCCTCAAACTGCCCAAGTATGTGAATAGCTTCCCGTAATAACAAGGTACAACTTATTTCACAGTTAATAAACAAATGAGCTGTACATGCTTCAAGGATCTTTGGTTTAAACTAAACACTTTCTAACTGTACTCACCTACAGCCACATCCTTCCAGAATCCAAGGGTCTTATTCACAAAAAAACATGCTGTCTTTTCACTGGCTAAGACCTAAAATTTGAACTAAGATTCTAACTTTCAGCCAATAAAAAGGCTAAATCCTTAAAATGAAGGACAGCTGGTTTTCTTAATTACAGTAATTAAAGTCGCAAACGACTTCTTTACAGTGACCCGGTACTCTAAATGAATAAAATATATTAAATCTGCAATGATTAGAGTTCTCCTTTAAATAAAATGTGGAAGCTCAAGAAACAAAATGGAGTTTTAAGCAACATCACTAAAGAATAAACTATATTGTGATTTTGATTTTAAAGGTGTGCCAGTCCCTTTTTTTCTAATTCCAACTGACATGGGATTTTTTCCAACTACTCAGGCCCTTGATTCTTCTTACAGTCCCAAGGACTTGACACACTTTGAATGCACTGGAAATATTATCATTTGCACGGTGCTATAGAAAAACAAAGTGGACAAGCTTATTTTCTAATAAGAAATGTATAACATATAATATTTTAAATAGTATTGGGTTAAAGTGACTAGAATATATAAATTAATAATCTTAAAAGACTGGAATTCCTATTGACCTAATCAATGAGATAAAAGTGTGCTCACTGTTATAAATAATAAATTCTTTGTAATAAAATATAATATCTCTACTAATTGCATACCCTGAATTCATAATTCACTATTTCATACATTCTAACATTTTACCTTATTGCGTTGGTTGCCATTTATTCATCTTTGGTACATCTTCACAAGAGAGAACTTATTTAGGCCTTTGCCTGTTGTTCAATCCAATTTAGCTTATTTAATAAAACTAATCTTCAAAGGAAACATTTCTATGTAATTTCAATTTGTATCCTATTATTTCACACATGCTAACAATTTAACTCAATGCCTAAATTCTACATACATGTACCATTAGATTGACTTTTATTTATCTTTGGTACATCATCACATTATCAACAGGAAAAAATCTAATTATAATAAACTATAATACCAATAAACTTGCGTATACTAAATTCAAAACCTACTATTTCACACACACACACACCAACATTTTGACATCATTGCGTAAATTTTACACAAATTGTCTTTCATACATCTTTGATACATTTTCATGTTATCAACAGGAACAAATGTTATGTAATAAATTATAATACCAATAAAATTAAAGTATCCTGAATTCATATCCTACTATTTCAAACATCCCAGCATTTTACCAAATTCTACATAGATACATTTGGTACATATTCACACTATCAAGACAGAAATCTCTACATAATATCAATAATGATTGCATATCCAGAATTCATATTCAACAATTTCACACGTCCTAACGGTTTACCTTTACATTTGTCTTTCATTCATCTTTGGTACATTATCACATCATCAAATTTCAAATATACAGACAGCTGCTCCAACTCAAATTGTTGCCACTATGACAATAAAATATTTTGGTCGGCACAAAATTGTCCCAGTTGATTATATAATAACTAGCCATGTGGCTGTTTGCACATACATGTCTCAATCCACCACCTGCAAAATGAAATCAAATGGGGTTTAACGTCCTAATGCTCCGACTGGGCTAATGAAGACGGGCATAAGCCATACAGTGTGCTATGAGGGAAATTTTGCCCGGGCAGTGGCACTATGGCCTACTCTTATATCAAATTCCAACTGCCAAGGGATCTTTTGCGTGCATGCCAATGTGTACACCGAACCTTGTTTTTTGTCCCATCTGAATGATTAGACAGCTGTCCTTGTCAGGCCCTCCTTCCTGCACACCCATCAACTGCATACATCCAACACCAAAATAAGGCACCTGTCACAGACAGTGTTTGGCACAAATTATCAGGCGGAACGGTTCTGGTGCGTCATTTTGTTAAGACACAGATGTGTTTTTTTTTCTTCTGTGTTTTTAATGATGCCATAATACAAGTCTGGCATAAAATTCAAAATGTCAGATATTAATTCATTGGTGCCTACCAATCGTAACACCCACAGAATCCTCAATATGACATTTGACACTGCATAGACAATTGATACCATTCTATGCCAATGCAGTCAAAACAGACAATTTGGGCACAATCAATCTGCAAAGCCAAAGATACAATCTGATCTGATAGTAAATGAACACAGTATAAAATGTCAAACTCTCAAATAACAAACTGACACAATGTCAATATGACTTTAGTACTACAAACTACCTGAATCTGGTGTAGAACAATATAAGGACGACTGGAATGTGGGTTAATGTCTTGTTACAATACTTTGGTAACTAACAATTGCCAATAAATATATGGTTCACATGATTAAATGTCCAAACTGATTGTATTTTAAGGACACGTGACTGATAGAAAACATCACAAGACAAAATTCTAATAAATATATGGTTCACATGATTAAATGTCCAAACTGATTGTATTTTAAGGACACGTGACTGATAGAAAACATCACAAGACAAAATTCTAATATGTCCAGGCTTTAAATAAAATTTCTATCCTTTATCAAATAATAGCAAAAAAAACAAACCCTTGATTTAGCTTGATGAAATAGTAATTTTCATTTCAGTGGTTCTGCAGTATAAAGGGAGAAAATTTTACCAGATAGCCTTTTCCACAGTATTTATTTCACTTGGACAATGTGAGAATGGGTAAATGCTCAACAAATTATTAATATTTGGTTTATGAACAATTATACAATTATAACAATTAAATTTCACACTAACCACGTACACTTGCACAACACAACATTTCACATACATGTATTGCACAGTACAATACGAGGTTATGTAAATTCCAATCTGATTCAAATACAGATCTATATATTTCGTTTCGTTTTTTTATACTTTCGAAGGCCTGTACTACATGAAGATCTGACCAGTTGTAGTGATAGGTCGTGTCAGAGGTCATACGAGCATACGAGCAGCTTTTGACCTTATGGCGTCAGACATTTGATTAACCAATCAGCATTGATGTTACTAGTGGATTACCCACAGTTCCGTGCAAAACGTAACTGACCGTTTCATTAGCTAATCCCTCACATCATTCAGAACATGTCAATGATAACAACTCTTCCAGATCCTAGAGTAGTAAAGACAAGTAAAACGAAATTTTGAACTATAAAAACGAAACGAAATAGGATCTGGGTTTGAATCAGATTGTGTAATATTCCCACAGTACATAAATATTAAAGAATTTCATAATAATAATATATATTTATAGTGCGCTCAAAACCCATCCATATAGATATGCTCAAGGTGCTAAATGCATTCAGTGCAAATACATGTAGTACAGTCCCTGTAAAATGGAATGATCATCTAACAACACTCACTGTAACCCAGGTATCATTTAATCTTGTGTATCTAGCACTAATTTCTTTCACATTCATTTAATATCAATCTTTGTTTAAAAATTCGTAAAAATCGTTTAAAATCACCAAAAATCATCTAATTTGTACTTCTGTCCAGTTTAAAGCTGAGTGATTAATTTTGATAATGAGTGTACAATTTACAAGTATTTAATTTCCTGATCAGGGTTCAAAAATTAATCATTATACATCATTAATCAATTGGGTTGTTTATTTTCTAACAATGATTGAGAAATTAAACACTTGTAAATGGGACACTCATTATCAAAATTGAATGGTCAGCTTTAAACTGGACAGAAGTACAAATTAAACGATTTATGGTGATTTTAAACAGTTTTTACAAATTTTTAAACAAAGATTGGATATTAAACGAATGTGAAAGAAATTAGTGCTAGATACACAAGATTAAACGATACCTGGTTTACAGTGTAAAGTTGTGAATATATCTACGTATGTAACAATACTGTTTAATGATCATCAGTCTGGTCACCTCCAACTGATTGCAAGAAATAAAGGTGTCTTTTTTCAGGTGGGTTGAGGAGATCAGGTCAATTGGCACAAATTCATTAGTAGTGATTTCAGAAAGTCTCCGATGGTACAAGTGATAAGGGTTAAATTCATTTTTGACACATATCGTTATATATACCAGGTACATTGTATCTATCCTTTATCTGTATTCAAATTACAAACCAGAAGATATACATCCATAATGCACAACCAAATTGACTTAGTTCTCGAATGTACCAACAACAGGTGTTAAAGATACATGATGTAAGAGCTAAATCTGACTATTGCAGGTCATTTTTTTTGGCTTCAAATGCTATATAAATTTAAATGACAAGCCTATAATTAACTCTTTAGACTATCCAATGGCCAAGATTTATACGGATTTGAACACCCGTCAGATCTTAAAATTTAATAATAAAATGGATAATTGAGACTTAAGTCTCAGTTAACAAGTACCGTTGCTATGACACTGAACTCTCTACGCTACATCTTCAAACAGTCATACATGTACATGTAACAATGCCAAGAATAAAGTAATTTGAATGAAATTTTCAATTATCTATTTTTGAATTATTACAGCGAGGACGGCCAGATCTTTCTCTAAATCTTACATAATGCATCTTTAAATATATTAGTAGTGTAAAAAATGAGATCACATGATAAACACAACAAAGTTCACAGTAACGTACAAAATCTAGTGGGGTAAATCTACAATAACCTACAAATATATATACATGCATCTATAACCTACCCTATAACGACAGACATTAATTAATCAACCAGCGTTCATGTTTCTATTGGTTTATCTACAGTTCCTTGCATCGCACATTTCATTGGCTAATTAACTAGAAAGCGAGTTATATAACAACTCTTCCAGATCCTAGTGTTGTGAAGACAAGTAAAACCAAATTTTGAACTATACAAAATGAAACGAAATAGGATCTGTGTTTTTATCAGATTGGTTATAATATTATTGCATTAATGTCATGTATATACTTATTTCATTACTTACTAATACTGAATATTGAAATCATATTTCATATAATTAACTAAAACATGTTTACTATACACCACATACTCTCTAATAATTAACAAATAATGCCCTTAATCAAATAGGACAGGTCTGGGTGCAACAGTGTTTCAGCCATGTTCTCTAGCACAGATTATAACCAAGCCTGGAAATAAGGCACCTGTCACAGACAATGTCAGGCACAGTATCAGGCTTTGTCGGGCACAATATCTCTGATGCCTGTCATTTTGTTCGACACTGATTTGTCTGTTTTATTGATATCATTAATACATGTCCGGCACTAAGTTGGAAATCTCGGGTACTATTTTATTAATGCCTGACATTTTGTCAGGTACATGTAAAACTGTTATTTCCAAGCCTGTTTATATAACAATGATTTTCAAAATTTCAGGTACTAACATTTGAGTTGTGCCTGACATTTAGTCTGTACAACTAAAACCATTATTTTCAGGCATTCAGATTACATGTCACTGAAGTTGTAAACATACAAAAACATAAAATTTAAATCTTAAACAGATCTCTTGGATTGATATACATTTAAACATAAAACACCACATAGAACCAAATCATTTTTAACCAAATTTAATTATAACAGACTATAAATCATTAGGCCTACATCTCTACAGTAATCAAAACCCCTTATTTTTCATTTCTTTGACTTTCTTCAAGCAAATCTTAGCTTGTTCTATGGCTAGTTTATCTGTGTATTTCTTCGCTAACTGTAGGCCATGTTTACAGGCTAACTCTGTATCGGACAGCTGAGATTTACGTAAATAAACAGCGCCTAAATTACAATAAAGAGCGGGACAGTGAGTTGATTCCACTTTTTCTCCTGTTTCTATGGCCTGTTTTAATAATGCCTCGGCTTTTTCAAAGTCTTTCTTAAGAATATAAACAGTCGCTAAATCATTCATCAAAACTAAAGTCTGCATACCACTTTCTCCTAAAGTTGTTTTTGCAACTTCAACAGCTCGTGTCAACATTACAAGGGACTGTTCTAAATTTTTATGGTATAATAAATATCGACCGTAACTTTCTAAAGCTATTCCTAATAACGCTAGGGAATCTATGTCACATTCAGGATCTTTCACTTTTAGGTCCTGTGTCTCAATACAGAATTCGTAGCCCCTGACAGCCTCGTCCTCACGTTTTTGCATGGCATATATGCTTGCTAACTTTATCGACATTTCCACCATGGCATTATCTGTTTTAGTAATTCCAACTTCTAAGCAACCCTTCATAGTCTCTTTAAATAATTTTTCTGCTTTTGTGTACTCTCCTTTTGCCAAAGCAATATTTGCGAGACTATCGAATACATTTATCCTAGCGTAAATATAATCTTTTTCAGACATTCGATTGTGTTTGAATTCATCATCAGCTGCTGTTAAGGCTTTGTGTAAATAGGTGATAGCTTTCTCTTCATCTTGTTTCATCTGTGCCAATCTTGCCATTTTAAAGAAAATAATAACAGGACTGTCCTTCTGTTTTTCCTTTTCACGATCTTTCTCATCATTGGTTTCAGCTTGAACCAGGACAGCTGAAGACAATCCAGCACAAATCAAAACAGGATATTTAATGCTGAAAAACAAAATAAATAAAATGATGATGGAAAAAAAATGAGGGTTTAAACGTATTGGTTTTCTGCACCAATTGCAGGGATGTAGCCAAGATATGCTGAGTGGTGGAAAAAATAGCTTCCGAGCGGAGCGTGAAATTTTTTTTTTTGGGAGGGGGGTGTGGTCTTTTATGAAAATTCAATATTTCTTGGTGTATTTTCAGAGCATCTGCTGCCTTTTGTATTTGCTTCAGTGCAAATCAAATTTCCTTTCATACATTCAAATTTTTACCAAATTCACTTAATTTTCTTCAATGATACAGAGACTCTGCCAGGGATCTAAAAACGTTTTGACACCAACCGACTGAGCATAAAATTTCCCCACCCAACTCTGTTTCTCAGGTTTTTTTGGGTTTTTTTTCAAATATTACTTTATTACTTTGAGATTAAAAATTAAAATGATTCTTAAAACGGTGTTTGTGTTTTATTTGAGTACAACGAATTATGACAACAGGTACATGTAGATATTGATAATTAAAACAAGTTGTTTTATTTGACTTGATTCTCACGAATTACGACACCATTTACGACATCCAAACCTTTAACATTGGAGTGCTGTAAATTGGTCTGGGTGACCTATTTACGGCAAATATACAAATTTAAAGAAGGTAGAATTGTAAAATGAATAGACCTACACAACTTCTAAACATAAATAAACAAAATACCAATACTTCTTTCTTTAAACTAATTTGGGATGATAGGGTCTACTACGGCACACAAAAATAAATTATGCCGTGGCAGACATGGTTTACATCAGCTTTTACCATGGCTTTGCCGTTTGCCGTGGTAAATTTCGAGCGCTGAGTTTGTGTACAGAGAAGGACAAAGGGGTTTAAATACGACTGGGCGGCTTTCTTCTTTGTGCTGGGCGGCAAAAAATAGTGACGCTGAGCGTGGCTACATCCCTGCAATTGGGCTAATGAAGTACATGCTAACGAGTATGGTACATGGGTGGACTAAAGGCTTCTTGTCTTGGCCTCTGTCCTGTGCCAATGAAAAATCGAGAGGAGCTTTCTCGACCAAACTAGAGGCCTACATGTATCAAGGAAAACCCTATTCACAGTTTTACGTTTGTTACATCAGGGTAAATTTAAGAGTTACAATGAATAAGTTGACTAAAAAAAGATGAATACATGTACTTCACATGTTTGTTGGATGAACAGCAATTTGACATATGGTACTTTTCACTCCATGGTGTATACTTAAACATACATTATGCAAGAGCTAAATCTGCCTAAATTGCAGGTCTTTCTTTAGGCCTGAAATGATTCTAAATTATCAATTAGACATTAATTAGCTTATCCAGACCATGATCAACTCTTGATGCCATCGCTAGCCTGTAATATTTAGTGGATTGGGATACATTTTTTTGAAAAATAATTAAACGTAAAAATGGAGAATTGAGACTTTGTTTCTTATCATAACAACTTTAGTAATGATGATCGAGGCTAGCCTAAAATTCAAAAGTAGGGTGGCCCATGCACCTACAGAAATACAGTCAACCGCTGATAGTTCGAGACTACCACTGAAGCGTGCACATTCGCCGTGTCGAGGCCAACTTTCTGACAGTATGATACTATAAATAGCCATGGCACGTGCAATTCTCTACAAATCTGTCAACTATTACAGCCGTAAAAAAATTATTGTTGACGATTTTGAATAGCAGTAAAATTAAACTTCTTGGTTATTACAGCAGATTTAGAAATTACGTTCGTTTCATTTTTTAAATCGCTTTATCATTAACTGTACCGTTAAGAGCGACATCTTTTGGTTTAGTACAAATACTATCTCTGAAACACTCGGGTTAGACAGGAACATGATACTAGCAGTAGTTTCATTTTACTTTTACAAGCTTCTTAAAACAATTGTTGAGCTAGCTAACGTGCTCATTTCTTAATTCAATTTCTTGTTCTAGCTTTCTTTTATGTTTCGTAAAAAAGTAGTCTTGATTATCCCGACCTGTCAATCAGCCTTAGAATGGTCGATAGACTGGTTAAGCGACTCTAATTTCAAAACAAGGGCACGTAACCTATCTTTTACTCAAAAGTGTCTGGATGTTATGGACGACACATGGAACCAGTTTTCAGTCTATTATTTATAGATGATTAATGGTCATAGCTTATTAAGTACAACATGATCGTTTATTTAGTGACTATAATTGTGTGAAACTGATTTGAGGCTTGGCATATATATAAATATTGTGGCGAAATTGTCGAGATATATGGAGATATTTATTTATGGTGGGTCACCCTATCAAAAGCTAATATCTTGGTTCAGAGTGGTGCAATTTGACACGCCAATGTGTACACGGGTATAAACAAGTCTTTATCCAATGAAGTTTAATATTAAACTGACTGCCTTGTACATAGATACAATGTTACAAACAAATAGACTAAACAATGTTCACCCAATTCAGTAGACTGATTACTATTTAAGGTATATCAACAGGACCTCTGTTTTTCGTCCCATCAAATGACTAGACAGCTGTCCTTGTCAAGCCCTCAGTCCTGCATCAATGACAATGGGAAACCACGACGGAAATCTAGATGAACTTTCTCTACCAATGCAGGGATCGAACACCCGATCTCCAGGTTAGTGATGAGCCGGCATCTCACCCACTTAGCCACTGTGACTCCCATAGAAATGGAATGGAATTGTAGGTCTAAATAATATGGAAAGTTGATTGATGAGTTAATGTACATGTATATAATAATGACACTATAATGACCTCTAGAAATAGACTAGTCTTGTGACTTGTGATTGTGTTGGGAAGTGCTATTTTCTACTAATCTGAGTCTCTGGAACTGCATTAGTCAAGTCTGGAGGGTGGATGGTTTGAGAGCCTGTTACTAGGCAGTGCCATTGATCATCGTCACACCATTCACAATAATAAAACTACATCAGCAAATCAAGTCGGTGGCTGACGTAATTTTGAGAAATGTCATTATTATCATTATGATTATTATCATGATAAATGAAAATTTACATAAAAATAGGCGAAATTCGAAAAATACCTCGGAGACCCTCTATGATTTTCATGCGGCTTTATTCGACTGAAAGTTTTTCGTTGACTTAAGTGAAATCTATCTGTGTCATATCGATAAAATATTGACCTCAAACGACTTTGCCATGCACAGAACCTGCTTCTCATGTAAGTCGCCATGTTGAATATATCTGTTGTAAAAAGTTCCGTATTCTCCACGGTTTCGTATTTTGATTCTGTCGAATTCATTTTTCATTCAACTAGTTTAAAAACTCAATCACTAGTTAACAATTTTCAGTCAATTAAAATTTATAGTGCGCATTAAGTATACAATAAAACAGACTTGATTGTAATTTCGTTTCGTGTTATTTTCCACGAAAATAGACAGATTTTATTAGTCTTTTCCGCGTGTAACAACGTGTTGAATGTGACTGGATGTTCAACCTTTTTGCATAGCACGTTTATGGTGGCGGGAGAATAGTTTATGTTGGAATCAAGTTTACCATATGTCATGCTTATTCTATGATGCAGAATTTGACCCTACTTACTTGTCTGTCAGAAAAATAAATTCAACATAATGAGTCAAACCGCAATCCGTCGAGCCGAGGTCGAAAAACACATTCGTGCAGTGCTTCTTTCCTCCCCAGTTGGCCTGACAATCCAGGAATTGAGGAGAGATTACAATGATTTTATTGGCTCTCCTCTTCCCTTCCGGTCATTTGGGTACCATGATTTGGAAGACTATATTACTGACATTCCAGAAATATTGACTGTCACATGGCAGGATGGTAAAAAGGTACTTCGTGCTACAGCAGACGAAACTACGCGACACATTGAAAAATTAGTATCCAGGCAAAAAGTAACGAACAAGAACAAATGGGCCGTCTTACGACAAAAATCAAACCGACCATCATACAGATCCCGTTATGCCCCCGCCCCTTCAGTCCCAGTATCAATCAGGCAGCAAATAAGACAAATGTTCAGACACACTAAAAGTTTACCGCTTACACATTTTGACGGGTTTTTCTACAAACGATTTGGATTTCATTTAGACCATGAAGGTCTGGGATTTTCCACTGTGAAAATTCTTTTAGAGAGCATACCAGACACAGTCTCTCTAGTAAATCAGTATGGTGAATGGAGAGTGTTGTCGGCACACAGAAAAGTAACTCCTGCTAAATCCAACAACCCATCCCCTGCTAAAAGCAGCCAACCTCTGTCTACAACGTCCACAAAACCAATTCCTGGACAATATGAATTACCTCCTCCTTTGTCAACTCCAGGTGTTTATAAGTTATTATTTTGTTAGTTTGGTAAACCAAATAGACTATTATTACAACCCTAGATTTTTAGAAGTCATCTGTAGAGAGGGTTCTAAATGAAATGAAATAGGAATGAACATCCTACTTTTCTACTCCGACTGGGCTAATGAAGACAGGCAAAAAAGGGGAATTTTGCCTGGACAGTGACGCTACAGCCTACTTTTATTTTGAATTCCAATGTGTACATATATAGTACCTTGGTTTTTCACACTATCTGAGCCCTCCATCCTGCATCACTGACATGGGGGAACCACACCAGTAAATCCCGAGAGTGGGTTCTAGGATAAGGTCATGTGATTAGCTAACCCTCCTCCTGGGCTAGGACAAAAGAGAAACGACTATGTCCTGATTGGACTGTTCTGTTTGTACTCAACAGTTGTCGTCACTGTGAATACAATGTATATCTTTTTGGCAAGGGAAATATTTATAATATGTTTAATGTCCTTCCTTTGTGTTTAGTTTGTGAAAGGGTGGGGGGTTGGATGGCTGAATGGTTAGCGTGCGCGCGCTGTATCATAAAGTCTGTCATTGAGTCGACTGGTGTGGTTTCGAATCCCTGGTTGTACGTGGCAAGGAGTAGGGTCACCTGTCCAACCTCGTGGGTTTTCTCCGGGGCCTCCGGTTTCCTCCCACTGCTAAAGACCCCTACGCGCAAGCGAATTATGTAAATAAAATTAAACCATATTTTAGTCCCGAAATGACCTAGTTTGTGTCGAGTGGACGTTAAACTCAATTTCTCTCTCTCTCTTGTGAAAGGGTAGGCAAAATGCCCTAACATGCTCTTTAGATCAAATAGTCTGTCATTGAGTCGAGTGAAATGGTTTCGATCCCACATTTACATGACAAGGAGTAGGATCGTCTGACTAAACTGGGTTTTCTCAGTGACCTCTAGTTTCCTGCAACTCTTAAAGACCTGGGCCCTGTTTCTCGTAATCTTAACTAAAGATAAAATCCAAATTTAAGTAAATACTTCAATTTTGATTGGCTAAGCACTAAAATCAATCTAATATTATCCAATCAAATTACTAAAATTTGGTTGTTTTCTTAGTTAGAATCTTGTGAAACAGGCCCCTGTACAGGACCTACCCGCTAGCGAATTATTGAAGTAAAATTATGTATAATTTTTTTTAGAAAAACCAAAGAATGAAAAGATAACTCCACCAGTATCACCAATTAAATCATGTCCTGTAACACCTACTAATAAATCTGTATCTCCACCTGTAGATGACAATAATTACCTGGGAAGCTCACCTGAACAAGATGATTATATTGATCCTATTCATCAACAACTTAAACAGGTAAAACTCAAAACAAATACATATATATTCCTGAGAGTCGTCATTAGTAAGGGTTGCCCAATTCCTGGTGGGATGAAAGGATGGGGAGGGGGATGATAAATAGCAGTAGTTTTGACGCCCGATTGACAGTTATTCATTTCATAGGGGAAAAATGAACAGTGATTAAATTTAGTGGATTCATCAATAACTTAAACAGGTAAACACAAAAATAAAAGTCTTCACAGATATTTTTGAGACTCATTCTCACTATCAGCAAAATACATTAATGGTTGCCTGACAGCTGGGCATCAAAAATTTGTTTTCCACAAATTGTGGTAGTTTTGATGTTCCCAGTTATTATTTTCATAGACTAAAGGTGAACAATGAACAAATTTAGCAAAATCTGTTGTGAGAATTTAGATACTGTGATAAGAAAAGATCGTTCTGATCTAATACAAACATAGGGATGTTGGAGTTCTGACAAATTCTTCTATCTATTTTCTATTGCCACTATATTCCCATTTAGCTGAAGATTAACCATGTCAAGCATCTTCTCGAAATGAAATGAAATGACATGGAGTTTAACGTCCTACTGTTTTGCTCCGAACTGTGAAGACGGGCATACACCATACGGTGTGCTAGGGGGAAATTTTGCCTAGACAGTGGCACTACGCGCATTTTCTCGAAATATTACAGTACACAGGAGGTATTTTTAATTGAAGGATTTTCTTCACATATAGGCCTACGTATTATGTAAATAGCTAAATATGCCCTGTCTGTTTCTGTTAAATTTCATCATGTTCTTTCATTATGTTGCATGGTCTAATGATGAAAGGTTGGAGAAAAGCTGAAAATTTCCTTCAACACAAAATATGATCTACATTCCTGCTGTAAATGTAAATAATATGTAAGAATTTATACAGCAAGCATATATTTGAATATTAGTGAAGTGTTATTTATATATTATAGGTTTTGATTGCCAAACCTGGTATACAAGCAAGCCGCTTAGCTTTCGAGTTTAAGGTAAGAAGCTGTATCATTCACTGTACTGTTTTAAAGAAAAGACTGTATGTAATTAAACACACTAGGTATAAATAGACTTTTGTGTAACTTGTACAAACTTAATGATCCACTACCAATTGCTATGATTTTTATTAAAGGCAAGAACCTCCCACTAAACCAGTCCATGGCAAGAGGCCACATGGAAAGAGTGCAAAATCATATTCGAAAAAGAGGAAAAAGATTTGGCTCTCCTAGGTCTTGTCTGCGATATCACTAGGTCTTGTCTGCGATATCACGTTTGTAAAAGCAAACATAAACAAACTAAGGTGCTACTACTTCTTTTACAAAAAGTAAATACGAAACGAAAGTTCAGTGGAAATGATGTCACTCATATATAATATGGAGACCATGAAACGAGCATGATGCCTAGCAATGGAGGTCATTGTGCATGATGCTAATCAATGGAGGTCATGCAGTGAGCATGATGGTTATCAATGGAGGTCATAAAGCGAGGATGATGCTTATCAATGAAAGTCATGAAGTGAGAATGATGCTTATCAATGGAGGTCATGAGGCGAGCATGATGCTTATCAATGGAGGTCATGAAGTGAGCATGATGATTATCAATGGAGGTCATGGTGCACTAATTGGTCAGACATATTTTTATTACGATATGCTATATGATTTCTTATATGTTTTAAAATTTGCTATGAGTCTGCTAATTGTTTATTGTTTGTATTATTGTAGACTATAATAGGTAAAGACTTACCATTTAAAGATCATGGTTATCACAGTGTTATAGAATATGTCAGTGATTTACCAGCTATAGTTAGAATAGAAAGACCTAATCCTAGTGGTGATTGGTTACTTTACGATGCTACTGCACCAATCAGCCCTTCTGGTTTGTTTTTGAATACTCTATAATTTTTTTGCTCCATGCATTATTGAACATTGGCCAAAATTTACCGTCTTTATTTTGATAGAGTTAATATAAAAGCTTTTTTTTTTTAACCCTTTTGTTTCTGGTGTTGAAAATTAGGGACCGTTAACCGAGTCGTCCATAAAGTTTCAATAGTGTGTGAAGACCCAGTGCCTGGATGGGTGCCACATGTAGTAAAACTATTGGTCAAAATGTTCACCAGGTTTACAGTGCCCATTGCATATTAATTAAGAATTTTAGTTGCTCGTAATGCCCACTTATCAAGTCACGTATTGTAAAGAAAAATGTTAACTTGGTTACCAACTAATTTAAGAATTAAAGAGTTTTTAAATGATTTATTTGAGAACTATGAAGGTTTGTAAGATTCTATTGGTTTGTAGATGACCATAACATATTATGTTTTACCTCTGTGAATGGGTTTGGATGGCCGAATGGTTAGCCGAATGGTTAGCATGTGTGGGTTATATTATAATGTCTGTCATTGAATCAACTTGCATGGTTTTGATTCGCTTATTATTATTATCAATGTTTTATTGTAGAGGGAATACTAAACCCCATTTCATTTCATTTTAGAGAAAACTGAACGTATAAATAAGAGTATACCATCTTATACAGGAGGTCGGAGAGTATTAAAAGATGTTAAAGAGGCTATATCACAAGTTTTACAATTACATCAGCCTGATGGTATCGCCATGTTCAAATTCCCTCAAGCCTTTCAGGTTAGTGGTGTTTCTCCCATTTGACGCACTCAAAAAGGGAACTGTTTTATTGTCAGTGTTCAAAACAAAAAGTGTGATTACTTTTTCAGATGCGACAAAAAAAAAAAACGAGTTCCACACATATCTGTATAAGAGTACACATAAAATAAAATTGGGCAGATGAAATTCAAGGAACACTAGGGAGGAAATGCAGTTGTAGTGGCAAAATTATCCTCCTCACAATCCCGAAAATGCAGATATTATATCTGAGAAATTTCTAATTAGCAAAACACAACTACCATAATAGTTTGATGTTTGTGCAAAGTTTCATAAAGATATTAGTGCAGGGTATTGCCACTGCAGTCACGATACGATACATATTGCGATTCAGGTGCTACAATACGATTTGATTTGTATCACAACTCATAACCAGGTCAATATTTACCAAGAAAACAAGAGGATAAATGAATAACTGATATTTTTAGTCCTTTTATTTGAAGAAATAAAAAAGTTTGATATCACGATTGATGCGGATCAAAATAAGGAACAAAACAATTTAAGAGTGTACCTATCGATAATGTGTGACGTGGATAATTATGAGTGACAGGATATTTACTGAAGCAACAAAATAACATAAAAAAAAAAAATCATGATACATCGATACTGGAATTGTGGGAAGGTGAAATGCGATTCATCGCTTCAATGATATATATCGTGCCAGCACTAAAAGATATATTGAACAGTTTATGGGATATGCTCCAGAATCCAAACTGAGATGGAAGGACTGACAGATGAGTGAGAGCACATTTCAATATCCTTCCCTTAAATACTTTTTTAATTAGTTTACAGTTGTATTGGTGTGGCCGAATGTTTCCATGGCGACAATTTCTTGAGGTTTTTTTCTGATAAAACATAGATAAATATTTATTTCTAGGATTATACAGGCCTGACAATAGATCCTTGTTCCATGGGTTTTGCAAGTTTTGAATCAATGTTGTTATCACTAACTGATGATGTTCTTCAAGCTACATACAGAGGTCGAGGTAAGTTAAACAACTCATCTATAGGGCTGTGTTGGTCAAGATAAATTAAACAGATATTCTATAGAGTAGAGCTGCTGTGGTCGATGAAAATTAATTAGGTATTCTATAGGGCTGATATAGTCAAAGTAAATGAAGCTGGTATTCTAAAGGGCGGAGGGGACCACAGTGGTCAAGGTAAGTTGAGCGGATATAACATAGGGCTGAGTGAGTCAAGGTAAATTAGGCAGGTATTCTAGTACATCAATTTTTTTCACGCAAGGATTCCCGGACATATTTGATACCTTTGCAAATTTCGCACAAAAATATTTTTAAATGCTCTGTTGACCTGTCTTTGCAATATATAGGAAAAATATGCCAATTTAGAAATACAGTAGAATCTGTATGAGCAGCCACTCCTATTCAGCGACATCTCCTTGTAAGCGGTCACGATAAATTCCCCCCGTAAAAATTCTGTTGTTGTCCCCCGCCTTTCGAAGAAAGCAGGGGACTATTAAAATGGGTTCGTCCGTCTGTCTGTCTGTCCGTCTGTCTGTCCGTCTGTCCGTCTGTTTGTCTGTCCGTCTGTCTGTCCGTCACACTTTTTGGGACACAATAACTCTCTTCCTAATTGAGCTAGAATGTTCAAACTTGGTGTATGTGTTTATTAGGTCAATGCCTTGATGGAGTTCGAAGATGAGCATTTTCCGCTTAGGGTAAGCAGAGATAAGCAATTTGATTGGTTGATGCTTTGGGACACGATAACTCTCTTCCTAATTGGGCTAGAATGTTCAAACTTGGTGTATGTGTTGATTAGGTCAATGCCTTGATGGAGTTCGAAGATGAGCATTTTCCGCTTAGGATAAGCAGAGATAAGCAATTTGATTGGTTGATGCTTTGGGACACGATAACTTTTAATTGAGCTAGAATGTTCAAACTTGGTGTATGTGTTTATTAGGTCAATGCCTTGTTACATCAATACCTTGACTAAGTTCGATAATGAACATTTTCTGCTGAACGTAAGCAGAGTGACAAGCAATTTGATTGGTTGAGACTTTGGAACACAATAACTCTCCTTCTAACTGAGGTAGAATGTTCAAACTTGGCATAGGCGTTCATTAGGTGAATGCAATGATGGAGTTCAATGATGAACATTGTCTGCTTAGGTTAAGCAGAGATAAGCAATCTGATTGGTTGATGCTTTGGGGCACGATAACCTTGGTTATAATGAAGTGAGAGCGATGAAACTCTTAAGTTTGATGGTGAGAATTTTCTGTTTAGTCTAAGGCGCGATAAACAATTTAATTGATTGGTCAAGACATAACAACTCTGCTTTTAATTGAAGTAGAATGTTTAAACTTGATGTAGATGTTCATTAGGTGATTGTCTTGACTGAGTTCAATGATTAACATTTCGAGCTAAAGCTAAGCAGAGCTAAGCCATTTCTTTGGTCGATGCTTTGGGACACAATAACTTTGATTCTATCTGATAAAGAGTGATGAAACTTAGTATATAGTTGATAATCCGTTTGATTGCTCGATACTTTTGATAAAAAAAAAATGCGATTAATTAATGTGTCATCTATTTATTTTGGCATTTCGGCGGGGGACATCAGCCTCACTGTTGGCTTGTTTCATCTCTTTATTCAACGGCCACTACTCTAACGCGGCCAGCGGTCACTATTTTACTGATAAATTCAACAAAACATCGCCCATTCAACGGCCATTGTTGAATGATACCATCTTGTCGTTCTTTGTAACACCCCCGCTAATCCCGCGAGTAGTAGTTAATTAACTGGACCCCCACTGATCAGGTAAAAAGAAATGTAAAAATAACAATCAACCCAGGATTATCTGTTAATTAATCTTTTGTTTTATTAACCTGATCATTGTTTTCATGCGTAACGACACATTATTTGATACTGATTGAATAAAATTAAAGTACCAAGTTTTGTCACGGTCATCTTTTGCATTGCCACTTTGTTGTTAAACAGACATTTTAGCACCTCCTATAATATTACATACAGAGTTACACCCCCTGTAAATAGGTGATAAAATCAGCGATTGTTTTTTTGTTCGTGTGCTTTTTTGATAAAATAAAATTAATTCATCGATGTTTTTCACAAAAATGGATAAATATTATCGAATGCATCACAATGGTAGACAGTAGTATCGAAGGTTGGTACAAAATGACAAGTTTACAGAAGTTATATCCGAGATTTGAGTAAAGAATTTTCGTTCGGCGCAAGATTCAGCAAAGGTCAAATTTACCGATGCAAGTATTGATGTTCGCTTCCAATGCATCCAAGCATAATATTTAATTTATGTCAGCACAAAAAGCACCGAGATTTTATTAAGAGGCCACTCCCGTTAAGCGGTCAGTTGTGAAAATTCCTTTGGGTGGCTGCTTAATGCAGATTCTACTGTAGTTAATGTTTAAACATTGTTGTCTTTTGAAGACAGGATTCTTGTGGAATTTAACATATTTTCAAGCAGTCATATACTTGATGAATGATACTATTATTTATAGAATGTGTGATATTGTCAGCCAAGAATACAGATGAACCAAGAAGATTTGATCAACTCTTACAGAAATTTCAGCCTCATGCAACACCAGTGGTAAGATTAATTTGTGTATTTTTTGACACCCTTTTTCTTGTTGACTTGGGCCTAAATTCATATCTGCATCAAAGTGTGCAAGGTTAGGGACAAACTTTCAAGTCCTCCCATTTACTCAGAGTGACGTTTGTACCCTACACACATTAATTTATTATTAGTCTGCTACGTGATGTAAATGTTATAAAGATATTGGTATTAAATCTGCCAAAAACACTCAAAGGGCAATAAATTCCAGTGTTTAAAGACTCATCTGTTTGAATGTGAATACAGTTGTATTTGACTGAATATACTGTTGTGTAAATATACAGTGTACATAGTGTTTGGCGCTTTGAGCTTGCATATGTGTATGGAAATTTGTGCATTATAAATATCATCATTATTATTTGATTTTTGCTGTTTTCGGATCTTGATAAGGGATCTTCATGAATAAATACAATTTACCATTCAGCAGAACAAATCAACATTAAATGCAATATATGATTTTATTTTGCAAAACAAAGAGAAAGCTGTATATAAAATAATGTTCTGATTAAATTGAAGATTCTGGTTGTATTTCAGCCACCTCACGTACAATCATACCAAGAGAAGGTTGGTCTACCTGAGGACTGTGTTCTACCACGAACATATTACACGTATCAGACTTTACCAGAAGTCACGGGAGAATATATAGAAGTATTTATATCAAATATTGTAAGTCCAGGTTTATTCTGGTTACAACTTCGTGGTAGACGTACAACAGAAGCTCTGGAAACTTTAATGGATGAGTTATCGTAAGTATCCTGCGTTAGTGCTGGGTATTTCAACTCCAGTCACGATATGTTACGTATTGCTCAGTGCCGGACTGGTGGGCCTTTCGGCCCACCTGTCAGGTCATTGACCAAGGTTCACACATGTACGCGTCAACGGCGCATCACGAGCGCACCAAAGGCACGCGAGCGTCCCAGGGAGGTCGGGAAGCATTTCAGGCCAAAGCAGAAGAAGGCAAATTTTTGATTTCCTGATACAATTAGATAACAGAATGACCTAAGAGCACCATCATTAGATGAATTTGAGAATTCTCTTCAATGTCAAAAACAAAAGATGAATTACATGGTTCTCGGTATAATGAGGTTGAACTCATAAAGTTCTTTCCTTGTAGTACACTTCTTTTTTTGTGTTGTTTGTCAGTCATTTTTTTCCTATATTTTCCTTCTTTCTTTTCTCCCCCCCCCCCTCCTTTCTTTCTCTTTTCCTTTTTTTTTTTTTCTTTTTTCTTTATAGGCTTAGGCCCACTTTTTTTGTCCCCCGCCTTTCGAAGAAAGCAGGGGACTATTAAAATGGGTTCGTCCGTCTGTCTGTCCGTCTGTCTGTCTGTCTGTCCGTCTGTCCGTCTGTCTGTCCGTCACACTTTTTGGGACACAATAACTCTCTTCCTAATTGAGCTAGAATGTTCAAACTTGGTGTATGTGTTTATTAGGTCAATGCCTTGATGGAGTTCGAAGATGAGCATTTTCCGCTTAGGGTAAGCAGAGATAAGCAATTTGATTGGTTGATGCTTTGGGACACGATAACTCTCTTCCTAATTGGGCTAGAATGTTCAAACTTGGTGTATGTGTTGATTAGGTCAATGCCTTGATGGAGTTCGAAGATGAGCATTTTCCGCTTAGGGTAAGCAGAGATAAGCAATTTGATTGGTTGATGCTTTGGGACACGATAACTCTCTTCCTAATTGGGCTAGAATGTTCAAACTTGGTGTATGTGTTGATTAGGTCAATGCCTTGATGGAGTTCGAAGATGAGCATTTTCCGCTTAGGGTAAGCAGAGATAAGCAATTTGATTGGTTGATGCTTTGGGACACGATAACTTTTAATTGAGCTAGAATGTTCAAACTTGGGCTCAGGGTAAGCAGAGCGATACCCAATTTGATTGGTCGAGACTTTGGAAAACAATAACTCTCCTACTTTGATTGTCCCCCGCCTTTCGAAGAAAGCAGGGAACTATTAAAATGGGTTCGTCCGTCTGTCTGTTTGTCTGTCTGTCCGTTCTGCTTATTTGTGATAAATTTATATGTGTCCTCTAATTATTTTCCTATTTCGGCGGGGGACATCAGCCTCACTGTTGGCTTGTTTTAATGAGTTTAGGCCCAGTCCGGCACTGGTATTGCCATTTTCAAATGGTTAACACTTTGTTTTTATTGTTTGCAGTGATTTTTACATGTCATCTGACAGTAAACGTTATAAAATGCCTGATTGCTTGTATATGATTGGTCAAGTATGTGCTGTGATATTTCCAGAGGATAATAATTGGCATCGTGGAATCATCACTGGTATTAAAAGCATGGAAATAGTGGAGGTTTATAGTATTTAAATTATAGTTATTTACATTTCATAATTCAATGTGTTAGCTGTGTTTTGCGGGCATTACTATTAAACACATCTAGTTGTTTGGATGGGATGGAAAACCAAGGTCCAACTGTGTAGCCTACTTGTTGGCATACACATAAGCGAACCCTTGCAGTTGGAATCTATGAAATTTGTAGACTGGAATGTTATAAGTGCATAACCTTGGGTGGTTAGAACATTAAACTCTATTTCATTTCTGTTTTTATACGTCAACATGCCAATTTTGATCAAACTTGAAATATAGGTCTCTACCTCCCAAAGATCTTGGTTTCTTTTGAAATTGGCATGTATTGGACTGTTACTTCATGGATTATGGCCCCTGATTGTTCGAAAAATCACCTTTTTAGTTTGTGGAGCCTCTAGAAGTCACAATTTGTATTAAATGTTAAAAACCGTTTAAATATATGTATATCACCGTTACACCTCAATGAAGGATGAGTTTGAATTTCGTAACTCCATACACTTCATGTGTCCTGGTCTGATTCTAGTATTAGAATAGCCTAGAAATAGAAATTGGCGCAGTATGATGGGTGAATAAAGTAACCAATAGACAGCGATTTGATCAATTTGAATTTGTATTCCATTTTAATTTTTTTCCAGGTTTATTATGTGGATTATGGTAATACATGTTCTGTTCAGAAAGATACGATACGATTATTAAAGTAAGCTTATGCTATTTTACGTTACACTTAATTAAAGAAGTAAGATGATTATTCTGATTATTATTAATTATTTTCTTCATACTACAGTGTTTCTATGATTATACCTCCCCTCTCCCACCCACCACCACCCCTTCCATGCGATATCAGTGGTCACCATGTTCCTGATAGTATTGTGTAGCTAATCTGTATCATTATTTTATTCATGTTGATTTTGAGAAAAAAGAAGAGTAATTCAAAATATTTTGTATTTTTAGAACTAAGTTTAGAAGACTACCTGCTCAAGCCATCCAGGCCAGACTAGCAAATATTAAACCTGTTAAAGAGGTATAATTGTTTATGTATTCACTCGTATTTTAGCGACATTTAAAGTAAAATTGAAACCTTACTATGAAATGAAATGAAGGAACCCTCAACATTTAAGGATTTTAAAAAAAAACATTGAAACTATTCTATACATGGTATATGGGGGGGTTGGATGGCCGAATGGTTAGCATGTACGCGCTGAATCATAAGGTCTGTCATGGAGTCAACTGGCTTGGTTTCGATTCCCTGGTAGTACGTGACAAGGAGTAGGGTCACCCGTCCAATCTCGTGGGTTTTCTCCGGGTTCTCTGGTTTACTCCCACTGCTAAAGACCCCGACGCGCATCGAATTATTGAAATAAAATTGAACCATGTTAGTCCCGAAATTACCTAGTTTGTGTTGAGTTGACATTAAACCCTATTTCTGGTATACAATTGTATGGAATACAGTTACTGTTTATTACTAAGCAACATTGTGACTAGGATTCCCGTTGCTTGATGAAGACTGAATAATCCTAGTTGAAATGTAACTTATAAAGAGTGATTTATTTCATAGAATTGTGTGCTGTATTTCCAGTACAGTATTAAATGCAACCAAAAAAAAAAAAACCCAGAAAAACTATTCTATTTGAGATAATGTTCGACATAATTAAGGAAGGAATAACACTGTATTGCTGTCACCCCTGTCCATCTGTCATTCACATTTCTCATTAACACAATAAAGACTATGCAATCATGCATGTATCTGTCTGAAAATGATATTCCCTGTTGCTACAAAATCTTATTAGTTTGAAATTTATATTGGTTGTCTATCCTATTGAATTGGAAGAATTCTATTGATTTTCAGCAATTTTCGGTGTAACTTCTAGAGTTATTCCTCTTTGATGCGAAATCCTAGTATCTTTATTATGGGCTTCAGGACTGATCCAACCCTTTTTAAAATGTTTTGATCCTAATTAATTACTTGGATGATTTAGGCCACACAAAATAAATGTCTTGTTTCTCGGGCAACTGACAGCTGAAACTGTAGGGAGGGAGGGCGGTTTCTTTTTTTTTTTTACTCATTGATGGTGCAAAATAAAATTTGGCTATTGCTGAAAATTGTTGGGGCGGGAGGGCGGTCTTTCTTTTTTTTTTTTTTAAAATGAGAAAGTCATTACTTGTTTACGTTTTTGCTTTCCGTTATATTCAACTTTATTGTACATACTTAAAACATAAACCCAAAATCAAGTCTACTAAAACACTGAGACTGAACACTGACTGAAAGGAAAATAATTTTCCATATTTAATTCACATAATTGAAATTGGTTTAAAATAAAATTCCATACGACTATGTAATAGCCCTCCATAAAGACAACAATATTTTTAAAAACTAAGCCTCTTTCACCAGGTGTATCAAAAATAATAATCATGGTAAACAGTATTTAAAACTAAATCTAGTATCGCCGGTTTATTTATAATTATTTACCGAATTCCAACCAATGCATGTCACACCGTGTCATCGGTATTGGAGATTGCCGGAAATACTGTTTCTTGGGATATTCGGTGTGTTTCTCAGGATATTCGGTGTTCTATCCGGTGTTTATATTGAATGACTATTTAAATCTAACTAACAACTGGTCAGTAAAACCATCAAATCGGTAATCCAATTATTATTTTCCGGATTATCGAAACTACCGTAAATGTGCTAATAATGACCCAGATTCTAAGGTATGCATTATGACGACTATCGTCATCGTATCGTATTCTTAGCTATAATTAATTAACCTGTTTTACGGTTCATTATTTTATCAATAGGATTTTCCAAACAAGGACCGACTGAAGCCGGCAATAATGAGCCGATTACGATCGAATGATTGAAATATTGTCGCCAATGACTTTTAACACGAATCAAATTCTAGTTTATCAGGGGAGGTAATTAATATCACGTGATACAAAATGGAGGTTCTTTCGATATCAATAAAAAAGGCAAATCTGCCAAACTTCGCCATTGTTCGGATAAAAAAGACAGCATGTTCATCTGAATCAGTTTTAATACATTTGAATAGATATACATGTATGGCGGATGTAGGTACATGCGGGATATTTTTTTTACGACTTGCTTGTCGATGTGCGGGCGGGCGTTACATATTTATTTTTTTTCATCAAGACTAATAAATAGACTGCACGCGCAACCAATTTTGCGTGCGGGCGGTGCCCGAGAAACAAGTTATTTTATTTGTGTTGCCTTATGCTCGTAGGTAAATGTTTTATTGCCTGGCAACCCATATTTATTCAAAATTAAAATTACATACTTTAACATTGTTGCAGGGTTGGTGTTTGGCATCTCGAGATCGTATGTTAGCCATCTGTACCAATAAACCTCTAGTTGGGTTCCTAACAGCGGTTAAAGTAAGTACACAAAACATGGTAGTATGAATTATTTATTTACAAGTATTTTCAAGCATGACTATTTATATACAGATATTTTCAAGCGTGACTGTGCTATGAAAAGAAAAGGCAGTTGTAACTTTAAGATATAATTAATAATTTATGTTAGAGTATTTAGGGGCGGATCCAGGTTTTTGCAGGAAGGGGTTTCCCAGGTTCCAGGGATAATGTATCTTTTGGAAAGGTCCGGATGGGTTCTCTCCCCCTGATCTTGAACATTTTTATACGCCTACATTTTATTCGTTCATCTATTAACAGAACCGTGTATTATCTCTGTGTTTAACTGATACGTCACAATTAGAAGATATACATCTCAATGATTTACTAGTAGAAGAGAAATACGCTGTATTTGCACCTGATGAACTTCACCCTTCTACTCTAGGACCCACCCAGTTTGCTGAGGTAAGTATCCAAATTCTCATGATCCCCCTCTTTGTCAGTGGTTCAGGATAGAGGGCTTGGCAAGAAACAGCGACTAGTTGTTTTGATGGGAAGAAAAATTAAGATTCCAGTGTACAAGTTAGATTGCACGTAAAAGAACCCTCACCATTAAAAACGACAAAGAGTAGGTGGAAACACTGCTTTCAGGAAAAAATTTCCCTCAGCGCACTGCCGTCTCCATTAGCCCAATCTGATTTAAAACGGGAGTCAGGGCGGCTAAGTGGGTAAAACGCTGGCTCGCTAGCCTGGATGTTGGGTGTTCGATCCCTGCATAGGCCGAGAAAGTTCATCCAGATTTTCTGGTGTGGTTCCCCTTGTCAGGACAGAGGGCGTGCACGTAAAAGATCCCATGGCAGTTGGAATTCGATATAAGAGTAGGCTGTAGTGCGACTGCCCGAGCAGAATTTCCCTCATAGTGCACTGTATGGCATATGCACATCTTCATTAGCCCAGATCGGAACAGAGCAGTAGGACGTTAAACCCCATTTCATTTCATCTGATTAAAACACAGATCCTATTTTGTTTCATTTTTTATAGTTCAAAATTTTGTTTTACTTATCTGTACTACACTATGATCTGGAAGAGTTGTTACATAACCGCGTTTTAGTTGATGTGAGGGATAAGCCAATGAAACAGTCTGTTGCATCGAGTTATTGGCGTGCGATGCACGGAACTGTAGGTATCCTACTAGAAACATCAACGCCGATCGGTTAATCAAATGTGTGACATCATAGGATCAAAACCAGCTTGTATGACCCATGTCATGACCTCCCACTACAATTAGTCAGATCTTCATGTAGTAGAGGCCATCGAAAGTATTAAAAAACGAAACGAAATATAGATCTATATTTTAATCAGCTTGCCATTAGCCTGGGCCCTGTTTCTCGAAATCTTAACTAAAGTTAAAATTCAAATTTTAGTAGATAATTCAGTTTTGATTGGCTAAGCACTAAAATCAGTCTAATATTATCCAATCAAATGACTAAAATTTGGATTTTATCTTAGTTAAAATTTCGTGAAACAGGCCCCTGGTTGGTACCATCAAGTAGGATGTTAAACCCCATTCCATTTCATTTTGTGTCGTTTGTAGGTTTAAGATTTCAGGTGTGAGTATAAAATGCTGTTGCCTGTCACGGACAGCTCAAATGTAGCCTTTTTTATGAAAATGGTTTTGGGACAAATTTTGTTCATTTTATGAAATAGAAGTTGAAATGAAATGAAATGGGGTTTAACGTCCTACTGTTCTGCTCCTATACTGGGCTAATGAAGACGGGCATACGCCATATAGTGTGCTATGAGGGAAATTTTGCCCGGGCAGCGGCACTATCGCCTACTCTTATATCGAATTCCAACTGCCAAGGGATCTTTTACGTGCATTCCAATGTTTACACGGGACCTCGATTTTTCGTCTCATCCGAAGGACTAGACAGCTGTCCTTGTCAGGCCCTCCGTCCTGCATCACTGACAAGGGGAAACCATGTCGGAAATCGGGATGAGAAATAGAAGTTGACATATGTTCAGAGCTCTTTTGGTCAATTTTTAAGACTGGCAGATTAGTAGATACAACCAAAGCGGGACTTGCTGGCTGGTCTTAAATACCATTGCAATTTCAACATCACTGTTGTCTTGTAACTTACATGACCTTGTGGATTTTCTTGGGGATCTCTGGTTTCACAAGATCAAGATAAATGATGAAAAAAAACCCAACAGAATTAAGAAACCTGATAATGAATGAATATTGTCAAATACCCAGAGCGAGAGATTAACATTAACAATCAAACACAATCAATCATAATCTCTACAATACAGAATCCACTCAATCCAGTGAACAAATCCTCTCTAAATGAAGCCAAGTTAATTAGTAATTGAAGACAACTTGTAGAGTAATGAATGATTAAACAAAGGGGTTTATTGAGATAATGATTTATTATAAACGATGACAAGGATACAGGTCAATAGATTGAGATCAGTAACAATATCACAATATTAACTACTACATACACATGTACACTTAAAAACATACATTATGCAAGAGCTAAATCTGCCTATTGCAGATCTTTCTTTAGGTCTGAAATGTTATCTAAATTATTAATTAGGCGTTAACTTATCAAGGCCATAATCAACTCTTGATGTCATCGGATATCTCAGATATTAAGTAGATTAGAACGGTCTAGCCATATTTTGATTTAATTTAAAAATGGTGAAGTGAAGCTAAGCTTTGAACAACAGTCCGGTTAATGCACACATCTTGTCAAACAGTCAAAGGCTAATATCTTCACTCACAATGGAGCAATTTGAATGAAAATTTTAATAAATTCATTTTGCATTATCTATTTTCGAACTATTATAGTAAGAATGGCCAGCTCTTTACCCAAATCTTACATAATGTATCTTTAAATTATTCCTGATATACTCTACATCTTATTAATAGCTTTCATTTCAATTTCAAGAAAGAATTTCCAATTGGAATGTGGATATAAGATATAGAATTATATTAACTATTATTGTTAAAGTTTGTATGGTTAAATTCTAAATGCTTAAAGATATTTACTACATACACATTATCAGACTTATAAATTAGCACTTGTCTTAGTGTAGACATTTTATACATATAAGTGCGTGTGAGTTCTACTGGGGTACACTCAGCATCGAGATAATTAGAGCAACAATTAATTACGTTGAAAGCTAATGTTTTTCTGGCTTGTCTTCTTCTATGGATATAGTTTTGCATGTTATAACATTTGTCTGGTTAATGAAAAATAAATTAATTTGGATACTAAAGATATTGGTGAACACTAAACAGAAACAGCGATGGCATGAGTCTCGGTTGTCAAGTACCATTATATTTGAAAGTGATTTTATAAATGCCTGTGTTAAGAACATGGATGTTAGAGGTTTTAACGGATTTATATATACCTGATGAAGCTTATATATATATATATATATATATATTATAACCATATATAGCGTTTCTTATATAATAAATTACTTTAGCTAGTCATGAGACCACACAATAACATAATAACATAGAGAACGTATTTTCTAATGACATATGGGGGATTGGATGGCCGAATGGTTAGCACATGCGCGCTGTATCATACGATGTGTCATTGAGTCAACAGCCGTGGTTTCGATTCCCCGGTCCTCCGGTTTCCTCCTACTGCTAAAGACCCCTATGCACAAGCAAATTATTGAAATAAAACTGAACAATGTGTTAGTTCCAAAATGACCTAGTTTAGTGGAGAGGATGTTAATCTCTCTCTCTCTCTCTCTCTCTCTCTCATATGACATTAATGGAGCATAATTTCTTTTATTATCAGATAAAATAAGTGCAAGATAAGTAGTTCTTGTAAAGGCTGTTGTTTATGTACCATAACTATCTCCCCTAAGTATTAACTACATTCGCTAATTGTCTTGTCAATGATTAATCTGGAGCTAAGCAACTCAGGAAATTAAAGATAGATCTGAATGATAAGCATTTCCTGTAATGGTTTATTCGATAAATGTGTTTTTGTCGACTTTTCATTCATTATTTATAGCTTCCTTTATTAGAACAGTCAGTAATAAATGTGTGGCCCAGAAGATTCGATGAAATCACATTAAGTATATATATGTTGTTTGGATGAAACGAAAACATTGGAGTTTGTACGTGACAAGGAGTAGGGTACTCCAAGCTCGTGGGTTTTCTCCAGGTCCACCAGTTTCCTCCCACTGCTAAAGAACCCTACACGCAAGCGAATTATTGAAATAAAATTGAACCATGTGTTAGTCCCGAAGTAATCTCTCTCTCTCTCACTCTCTCTCTGACAGAGTTACATGTGTTGCAGTTTATAAGACCAATTAGAACACGGGAGAAAAAACACTGATTGTTTCTAATGGACAAGACCCTAATCTTTATTCCATTCTCGAAGAAAGATCAATAGTTTCTTGGGTTTTTTTTTTAAAAAATGCCTATTTTTTATTTTTTTTCTAAAGCTTTTGAGAAAATACCATAAAAAAAAAAACCTTACAAATAATAATATCAAAGGCAGATGTTTTCAGTTGTTTCTGCTCAATGTTTTTATCACCTATTAAAATCACTTTCAGACCTAACTGATTGTGTGTATGCATGTTATTGACATTTATCAGTTGAAAGGCTAATTGATTTATGAATTACACATTAAAAAAACAAAGCCACGTCAGCATGCTATAATGTAAGCTATGACAGACAAATTTACTCCTAATATCTAATCAAATCAAGGTTGCTGACTGGGGATCATGTCGATTGACTGACATTACTTTTAACCAACATGTAAAGTTAGGACTGTGAAATTATGTTGTTGAGTATATAGGAGGTTGGGTGGCCGAACAATTTGCACGTGCGCGCTGTATCATAAAGTCTGCCATTGAGTCAACTGGCGTGGTTTCAATTCCTCAGTTGTACGTAACAAGGAGTAGGGTTACCTGCGTTGGTTTTCTCCGGGACCTCCGGTTTCCTCCCACTGCTAAGGACCCCTACGCATAAGTAAATTATTGAAATAAAATTGAACCATGTGTTAGTCCCGAAATGACCTAGTTTGTGTAGAACTCCATTTCTCTCTATCTCTTTCTGTTGAGTATATATGAGAAACTGTGTTATGTTATTGAGTTATGGCTTATGTTGTAGAGTTGAGGCTGTGAAGAACAACTATCTGTTCAAATTATAAATAGTCATAAAATTTGATAGACCCTTCACACGTAGCCACCATTAATAGTTTATCCGGGGTGGTCGACGCAAATTTAATATTGTCCGTGGTAAATAGACATTTTAGAAGTTGTCCCTCATGATTGAGTACGTCGAGTCGTCCCTCTCGTTTATCAGTAACAATAACGTTGCCATCTTTATCCGTACATACAGCGTCTGGTCCCACGTAAAATTCTTCCTCTGTGTCTGTGTTGCCGTATTCAAATAGAAGTTTTCCATCTGACGTAAATCCACAAACAACATGGCTTCCAGGATCTGTCACGAAAAAGTTATTGTCTTTGTCCACGCACGTGCAACAGGGTTTCTCTAGGAGATAAAGATCCAAGTCTTGAAAATCGTCGTTGGTTATGCGTTTGATCATGACACCATCAGTATTATACATAGCAACGTTTCCACCAGACTTTGCGGCCTTGCCTTGACTTACGCTACGTTGTCCATACCTGTTTGATGTGGCTATCACATGACCGAGAGAATTTGACGTAAAATAGTTCAAGCCAAATGTTTCAAACTGAACATCAGATATTGGAGTACCAGTTCCATCGTTTGATAGAACTTTGATTTTGTAACGATTATCTCCCTTTGTTGACATCAGGGAAACTTTTCCATCGGAAGCCACCGAGTGGAGGTTCCATCCTGGTTCCACTGTTGATTGACCTCGAATAATTCCACGTTTCTCCATGACATGGATGGTGTGACTACCTGGGGAGACAGTCCCGATCACGATGTCTCCGATACTATTCACACCAATACCCTTTATACACTCTTTCTGGATGTTGGACGGCAACATTATCTCTTTTGTTGGATTGTCAAGGTTTTGGCAAGGGACGTCGTCATGGAACGAGGAGTGAAAGGAATTATCAGCACTTTCGTCTGGCACTTCTTCCACTGTTGGAATCTCTTCCGGCTGAGATTTCATGGAGTAAAAGACATCACTATGGTTACTGGCACTGAGCATATCGCTGTCTTTGTCGAGGTCTGAGCCCTCGTCAAGTTCAGTAATTTCAGTCAGGTTGTCTTCAGTATATTCACTGGTGCTCCCTGGTCTGGATTCTCGAGAATCAAGACTACTGACTTGAGAATTAACCAGTCTCTTGGTGAACCTTGGGGTTATTTCACGATCTGTAAGTTCGCCAAACATATCACAAATTTTTTCAACCGACATTTTTTGTTCTGATAATTGGAGGCAGATCGGTTCATAGCAGGCCTCGTCGGGTAACGGATCTTCACATAACTCTCGAACCCGTCTGCCAATCTTTCTTCTCATGGAAACCTTTTCCTCATCAGAACCGAATGTAACCAGCTTCTCTGTTAGCTCTGTCACGGCCGTTAGAGAAGCCAAATGCATTTGGATTTCCGATTTCTTTTTCTTGATTCGCTTTCGGGAATCCAGGTGGCGCTTGTCAATTTCTGATATTAGCACATTTTCATATTCCTGAATGAAATTACACAAAACCTTTGTTCTCTGTTTGACAAGCTTTTGGAGTTCTAGTTGATTTTTAGCAACAATTTTCTCAGATTTTTCAAGTTCATGCAGATTTTTGGTGAGAATTTTTGAATCGTTGGCAAGTTCTGCAAGAGGTTCCTTGATTTTGATAACAAAGTTTTCAGCTATGGCGGACAGTTCTGCACACCGATGATCAACATGATTGGAAGTGTGGCAGTCCGAACATAGTGCCATATCACAGTCGACACAGAACATAGCGCCGATATCCAAAGGATCGTACAAATCACAGCACTTTGATAAAACATCTGACATATCGTTTCCGTTCGATTGATCGGATTTGGCTTTTGAATCGTAATCTTTGACTGGTTGTATTTTGTGACTGGCTGTTTCCTGCTGTTCAAGATGAGCCTCAGCGCACTTCTCACACAGAAAATCATCGCAGTTGACGCAGTGAGAAACAGATTCTGTAACCTTGTCGTTATATTGACAGTTGCGACACATCTTCTCCCGAACTAACATTGGCACAACTGGACATGAGAGTCTACGGGCAAAGACATTGTCTGGTAAGTCTTCCAGTCCCTTTTGTCTCACATTTGATTCTGTTTTACACACAGGACAATTAAAATAACCATCATCTGTTGACGTTCGCTGAACATATTCCATCAAACAGTTCTTACAGAATGAATGAAGACAAGGTAGATATTTTGGTTGTCGGAATTCTTCATCACATAATTTACAACAGAGGAATTTTCTTGGTATTACTTCGTTATGTCCTTCCATCTTGCCTGCAGCTAGAAAAAAAGAAGAACAAAATATTAAAATCAGAGTTACAAAACCAGTTATTTGAAGGACATGATTAATTTTTCAATTTCATTTTAAAACCAGTACTAAACTTATGTTGTCTGTCTACAAATGGCTTCGCTTGAGAACAGACACTAAGTTAGTTGACTGACATTTTAAGTCCTAAATCGACGATTTGAATTTGGAGAATTTTGAGAAGTATTTATTCCACATCCATTTAGTGAAATTGAATGGGTTTATTTAGTCTTAACTAAAGAAAAAATCCAAATTTTAGTAGATACTTCAATTTTGATTGGCTAAGCACTAAAATCAATCTAATATTATCCAATCAAATTATTAAAATTTGAATTTTATCTTAGTTAAAATTTTGTGAAACTGGCCCCAGACGTAAAATGGACAGGTAGAACCGCATTACAAAAGAGTATTCCAAATTTTAGATATGGCGGCCATTCAGGGCAGGGATCTATTCTCAAAGTAGAGGAGATAGTTCTCTCTGTGCCTAATGAATAAGGGTGGTTGAATGGCCGAATGGTTAGCACGCGCACGCTGTATCATACGGTCTGTCATTGAGTCAACTGGCGTGGTTTCGATTCCCTGGTTGTAGGCTACGTGACAAGGAGTAGGGTCGCCTGTCCAACCTCGTGGGTTTTCTCTGGGTCCTCCGGTTTCCTCCCACTGCTAAAGACCTCTACGCGCAAGCGAATTATTGAAATAAAGTTGAACCATGTGTTAGTCCCGAAATGACCTGGTTTGTGTCGAGTGGAGGTTAAACCCCATTTCTCTCTCTCTCTCTCTCTCTCTCTCTCTCTCTCTCTCCTCTTTCTTGTTTAATGAATAAAACCAAGCAATGTTAACTATACAGAACATTAACTGGATAATAAAACTAGATCTAAAGGTGTCAAAAGTTTTAAGCCACTTATTGTCTGTTGAGTAATATTAATACCCTTTCAAACTATAATAGTGCGAAAAGCTGAATCTCAAAAATGAATATCAGTCAAAATATGGTTTTGTCCCATTCAGTATTTGCTAAGATATAATAAACTGAAAATTTTGCAATCTTCTGCATACCCTGCACAGTGGGTAACATACTGGCTCTCTAGCCTGGAGGTCGGGTGTTGAATACCTGCACTGGTCTAGAAAGTTCATCCACATTTTCCAGCGTGGTTCCCCCTTGTCAGTGATGCAGGATGGAGGGCCTGACAAGGACAGCTGTCTAGGCATTTAGATGGGACGAAAAACCGAGGTCCCATGTATACATTGGTGCGCACGTAAAAGATCCCTTGACAGTTGAAAATCGATATAAGAGTAGGCCGTAGTACTACTTTCCAGGCGAAATTTCCCTTATAGTACACTGTATGGCGTATGCCCGTCTTTATTAGCCCAGTTTGGAGCAGAACAGTAGGACATTAAACCCCATTTCATTTCATTTCATGCCTCTACAGACAACATAAATAAGTTGTGGATTGAATCCAAGGTAGGAGATTATCTACCTGTCGAATGTTAGTTTTGCGTGTTATGTTTTGACAACGTTACTTTCGCCTCCATCATGCCAACCAATATTTGTGTGATAAAGACAAAAGTATCATCGTTGAATCATTGCGTGTTTATAAACCAATAATTATTATTCTATATATAGTTTTTGTGTTACCATCCAATTATTAAATGTAACTCAATGAAGTGCTAATAGTTATCATAATAATAATACAAGACCATAAAAACCTTTTAGAACAAATACACATGTAACTGATAACTTTAACATTGGAATAATTAACAACCATTACTCCTCGTATCAGTATTCTAAAATTTGCATTTAGATGATTTATTTTTTCTACGCCCACATCTTCATGTGGATTTATTTTGTTGTCCATCTTTCTGTTCACATTTTGTTTGTGAACATTCTACAAGTCACAATTTTTATCCGATTTTGACGAAACTTGAAATATAGGTAACTTCCTGGATTATGGCCCCAGATTGTACGACAGATGACATTTTTAGCTTGTGAACACTCTAGAGGTCACTATTTTTATCCGATTTTGATGAAATTTAAAATGGATGTTTACAACCAAAACAACTTGGTTCCTTTCAATATTTGCACACATCGAACTAGAGCTTCATAGATTATGTCCCCAGATTGTACAAAAATTATGTTTTTTTTACCTTGTGGAGTCCAGAGGTCACAATTTTTATCCTATTTTAAAAACGTTTAAATATATATCACCGTTGCACCCTAATGATGGTTGAGTTTTAATTTAGTGAAAATCTGACCAAATGGCCGCTCCCCTTAAGCAAATATTGTAAAAGTATCTTAATACATATCATGTACCAAGGTTGGGGACTCTTAAGAGGTCACAAATTTTATCTGATTTTAATGAAGCTTAAAATATATGGTTATATCCCAAAGGTCTGGGTTCCTGTCAATACTTGCACATATCAGACTCTAACTTTCTGGATTGTGGCCCCTGTTTGTATGAAAAATCGCTTTTTATACACCCACATTTTCATGTGGACGTATATTGTCGTCAACCCTGTCCTGATTGTGGCTTGTGGACCCTATAGAGGTCATAATTTTTATCCGATTTAAAAAAACGTATTATTATATCATCGTTAAACCCTAAGGACGGTTGAGTTCGAATTTCGTGAAAATCGGCCCAAAACTGACCGACAAAATGGCCGCCATTCGTTCTCAAATAGCGTAAAAATATGGTATATCAAGGTTGTGGACCCTATAGAGGTCACAATATTTATCCGATTTTGTTGAAACTTGAAATATAAGTTTATAACACAAAGATCTTGATTCCTTTCGATATTTGCGCATATCAGACCGTAACTTCATGAATTATGGCCCCTGATTGTACGCAAAAACGCGTTTTTTTGCTTGTGGACCCTATAGAGGTCATAATTTTTATCCGATTTAACAAAACGTGTTAATATATCACCGTTACACCCTAAGGACGGCTGAGTTCAAATTTCGTGAAAATCGGCCCAAAACTGACAGACAAAATGGCCACCGTTCGTTCTCAAATAGCGTAAAAATATGGTATATCAAGGTTGTGGACCCTATAGAGGCTACAATTTTTATCCACTTTTGTTGAAACTTGAAATGTAAGTTTATAACACAAAGATCTTGGTTCCTTTCGATATTCGCGCATATCGGAACATAACTTCATGAATTATGGCCCCTGATTGTACGCAAAAACGCGTTTTTTGGCTTACGGACCTTATAGAGGTCATAATTTTTATCCGATTTAAAAAACCGTGTTAATATATCCTTGTTACACCCTAAGGACGGCTGAGTTCGAATTTCGTGAAAATCGGCCCAAAACTGACAGACAAAATGGCCGCCCTTCGTTCTCAAATAGCGTAAAAATATGGTATATCAAGGTTGTGGACCCTATAGAGGTCACAATTTTTATCCGATTTTGTTGAAACTTGAAATGTAAGTTTATAACCCAAAGATCTCGGTTCCTTTCGATATTCGCGCATATGGGATCGTAACTTCCTTAATTATGGCCCCTGATTGTACAAAATATCACGTTTTTAGCTTGTGGATGCTATTGAGGTCATAATTATTATCTGATTTAAAAAATCATATTATTATATCACCGTTACACCCTAAGGACGACTGAGTTCGAATTTCGTGAAAATCGGCCAAAAACTGACATAAAATGGCCGCCCTTCGTTCTCAAATAGCGTAAAAATATGGTATATCAAGGTTGTGGACCCTATAGAGGTCACAATTTTTATCCGTTTTTGTTGAAACTTGAAATGTAAGTTTATAACTCAAAGATCTTGGTTCCTTTCGATATTTGCGCATATCGAATTGTAATTTCCTGAATTATGGCCCTTGATTGTAGGAAAAATCACTTTCGTTTTAGCTTGTTTTCTATCCATCTCTCGAAAATGTGTGGCGTATCCTGCCTGGCAGCCGCTGGTTTGTTTTTTTCTGTCAGTCTCTTGCAAAATGTGATAGTCGTAATAATTTAATGTCAGTTACAACTAATACAAATTAATCCGTTTTGGTTTTTTTCTATAATAGGAAATATGAATGAAATCAACTAATTTTCTGTGGTCATTTGAAAGATTCTCAATTTCTAGAAATCTGACAATGTAAAAATTGATAATTAGCATATAATCAAATATTTGCATGGCCTTCAAATAATGACTTAGGATATTGAAATAATGACATATCAAATGAGAGCTATTTCGAGAATACGCTCTAATCTTAATACTGATGCTTGCCAGAGTGTTGTTAGAGCTTTAGTAACATCGCACATGGATTATGCAAATTCTCTTCTATTAGGAGCACCAGAAACAGCTTTAAACAGACTACAAATAGCGCAAAACAATGCTGCACGTCTTATAACTAAAACACGAAAATTTGATCATATATCAGCTAAGTTACAGAAACTCCATTGGCTTCCAGTTCGAGCGAGGGTTCAATTTAAAGCTCTTGTGAATGTGTTTAAATCAATTTATTCTGACACCGCACCTAGTTATTTAAAAGAACTCTTTGATTTCTATACTCCCCAGCGATCCAACCTTCGTTCTTCAAGTGATCGTAGCATATTGAGGATCCCCAAATATAATAAGCGTTCTGGTGAATATGCTTTCTCCGTCAAAGCAGCAAAAATGTGGAATGATCTTCCAAAAACTCTTAGAGAGTCCTCTTCCATCCAGAGCTTTAAGACTAACTTAAAAACCTACTTATTTCAAAAATGTTTTTGAACTGTTTTGTTGTGAATGCGCTTAGAAACACTCATGTGTAATGAAGCGCTATATAAATCGAACAATAATAATAATAATAATAACTTATTCCAACAAAAACATTCCAAAAATTGATTAAAAGCATGTAATACAATATTGCAATAAAGACTGGTAGATTAATGGAATAGTAAACTCAGTCTTTAATGTTACCACTAATAGCAATACCAGCTATGTATATATAATTACTAACCATGTCCTTGTCTCCCTATAACATTGTATATACTAC